AATAAGTAGCGAATCTATGTACTTTCACATACATCTGTATTGTTCTTTTCTCTAGATAACCGCCATTACTCCTTTGGTATTAGATATTAAAGCTACAATTTCATATTTTTAAGTTATATTTTTAAAATGTATTAAAATAAAGCCTTAAACTCGATGCTATGTATAAACAGTGCTACCTTGATAAAGAATAATCCTTTTAATCCTATAATTCACTATTGCCATAGTTGAGAAACTGGCAAAAATAACATTTTCAACTTCAAATTCAAAAGGTTTGAAGATAGGTAACTGTTATTATTTCGGGTGTGAAGATTTTTAAGTGTGAGAAAGATAACCTATGATCGTATAATAGTGAGTTGACAACCTATTGAGCAAAAGACATAGAAATAATTATGTTTTGACTTTCTTAGAAAATATGGAAAATATGAAATTGTAACTTTAAAAACACAATTTTGTTGGCCTTTTCTTAAATGAAAGGGGTATATAGATGTCCCGTCAAATGAACTCGGGTTTATTCTGCACCAACCGGGATCATGAAATGAAATGAAATGGGGTTTAACGTCCTACTGGTCTGCTCCTAAACTGGGCTAATGAAGACGGGCATACGCCATACAGTGTGCTATGAGGGAAATTTTTCCCGGGCAGCGGCGCTACGGACTACTCTTATATCGAATTCCAACTGCCAAGGGATCTTTTACGTGCACGCCAATGTGTACACGGGACCTCGGTTTTTCGTCCCATCCGAATGACTAGACAGCTGTCCTTGTCAGGCCCTCCGTCTTGCATCACTGACAAGGGGAAACAACGTCGGAAAATCTAGATGAACTTTCTCGGCCAATGCAGGGATCGAACACCCGACATCCAGGCTGGCGAGCCAGCGTCTTACCCAAATAGCCACGTGATAATGAAGACGGCCACGTCATTCGATGAGCTTAGTGATACATTTTGCCCGGGCAGCGCCGTTTCAAGCCACTCTATAGTAGTAGTAGTAGTAGTGGTAGTAGTAGTAGTCGTCGTAATAGTTGTTGTTGTAGAAGCAGTATACAGGAACGGGTATAATATTCAAGGTCACTGTGTATAAATATAATCGTTTGTTTACAATATGAAGTTTGTTTTGTCTGAACTCAGCAGCTGGAGCAAGTCGTCGTCTGAATCTGTAGCCAATTGTAGCAAGTTAAAGTCTGAACAAATCGATTACTTGAACTTTTATCACAACACAAATATATTATACGAACATGTATTCCATATAGTTTGTCAAGGAGTCGCCTACTTAACCTCGTGGCGTTTCCCCGGTTTCCTCCCAATGCTCTCCTCTACGCTCAAACGAATTATTGAAATAAAATCTTACGATGGGCGTGCACTATATTAATCTTAAAATGGCAGAGGTATGTGTTGTGTTGACGAGGTGTAAAACGCCATTCCATTCTGTAGAGGTCAACAAAACAAAGACTTGCCGCTGTCCTTGCAAAATTCCCCCTTCTCAATCATTAAATCCTGAGACTTGAGAGATGTAAGCTTCCTTCAAATATATTTTTTTTATGAGGCTGATGTTGGTAGAGGAAAAGAGAATAAAGACTTGGCGCTGTCCTGGCAAAATCCGCCAGTCTCCCATCATTAAATTCTGAGACCAGCCAGTTGTGTTTACTCCTCGAATGTAAGCTTTCCATCTTAATAAAAAAAATATTTGTGAGACTGATGTTTGTAGAGGTATAGAGAATAAAGACTTGGCGCTGCCGTGGCAAAATCCCCCGGTCTCCTATCATTAAATTCTGAGACGAGCGAGTCATGCGTTTACTCTTTCCGTCTTAATATAAGTTTTTTTAAGGCTGATGTTTGTAGAGGTATACTGGTGTAAATATTGACGAATGAAAGTTTTTATTGTCGACAGATGTAACAAACGTACACAGTGTATAAATACTGATACAACTAAATAACTCCTGCACATGGATAAATATATATACAACTAAATAACTCCTGCACATGGATAAATATATATATACAGAGAAAGTTTACTAGACGCTAGGCCGCTCCCGGACCGAACCGCACACAAATGATCCTATGAGGTATGCATCATCCTCGACAAAGTATATAAAGTATTATGCAGGTACCCCGTCAGAGGAGGTATGCGTGTACCCCGACAGAAAAGGTATGTACGTACCCCGACAAAGGAGTTATGAATGTACCCCGACAAAGGAGGTTTGCATGTACCCCGACAAAGGAGTTATGCGTTTACTCCGACAATGGAGGTATGCATGTTTCTCGACAAAGGATGGATGCCTGGCATGCCCGGTTAATGGGATATGCATGTATCCCAACGAAGGAGGTATGCATGTTCCCTAACAAAAATAGGTATGTATGTTCTATGACAAAGGAGATATGTATGTTCCATGAAAAATGCGGTATGCATGTTCCCCTGTAAATGAAATATGCATGTTCTACGACGAAGGAGGTTTGCATGTTTTACGACGTACACATGTTCTATGACAGAGGAGGTTTACATGTTCTCCGACAAAGGAGGTATGTATGTTCCTGAAAAAGCGGGTATGCATGCCCCCCCCCCCATTCCCCAACCCCCGATAAAGGTGGTATTCATGTTTTCAGACAATGGAGGTATGCATGTCCCCCTACAAATGAGGTACGCATGTTCCCCGACAGAGGAGGTATACATGTACCTTGACAACGAAGCTAACAGAAATATAAATATTTGTATTATTTGTGTTTTTACGTACAGGATAATATGGTTGACAATGATATAACCAATTGTTATGTCGTGTATTCAGATTATTTCAGTAATGTACAATATTTACATGATCAAAATATTGTGACATTAGACGTCAATTACATAGACCATAAACCGAATAACGAGGAAATATTATCCTAGTGTTAACCCCACTCACATCAACCAATTTTGTCGGCTCTTGACCACAGGTTAGGAACGATCCATCTGTTTTCCCATTCATCTCTGTAGCCATGGTGACCCCGCCCGCCTCATATCATAATCGTCCCTTCCAATATTGTTTCCTAGCCGGAGTAAATAGATCGCTCATGCATCCTCCCCATACATGTCGCTAGCTAGGGTTACCCCCCCCCCCATCCTTGTCATCCCTCCCCATACCCATCTCCCAATAGGCACACCCTCCCTCCCCACACAGGCGTAGAAGCACCCAATCCCACAACTCTCTTCACTTGGATTCCCACACATCTCTCTAGTCAAGATTGGCCCTCCAATCGACACTCCTCGCTCGCCAGGGTGCACTATCTCTCCCACACATCTCGCTAGTCAGGGTTGGACCTCCAATCGACACTCCTCGCTAACAAGGATCCTTCTAACACACACACACCTCGCCAGCCAGGACGAACACTCTCTCCTTACAACCATCCCTAGCTAGGATGAACTATTTCTCCCACACCCTTCGCTAACCAGGATGAACTATCTCTCCCACACCCTTCGCTAACTAGGGTGAACGATCTCTCCCACACCCTTCGCTAGCTAGGATGAACGATCTCTCCCACACCCTTCGCTAACCAGGGTGAACTATCTCTTCCATACTCCTCACTAGCTCTGTTGAACCATCTCTCCTCACCCCCCTCGCCAACCAGGGGAAACTATCTCTAATCGCTAGACAGGGTAAACCATCTTTCCCCGCCCACTGGTTGTTTTCGTTTGCGATGATACGCCAGATTAGTCATTTAATATGAGGCAGAACAGTAGGACGTTAAACCCCATTTCATTTCATTTCCATTGTGGGAGACTAACATGCGACAAAAGTAGAGTTTCTGATATGAACCGGGCTTTATAACTAAGTGATGTGATTTTACAGTCATAGATAGTATTTATTTTAATCCCGAGAGAGATTAAGATATCGACAACAGCCATTATAAATAATGATGGTGAGAGATCAAGTGACCAGTATACAACCCCATAACCATAGTTACCATAGAGACATATAATTATAACCACGCCCGTCTCAAATTCTGACGTCATATGTTGAACATTCATTTTTATTATGTCTAGTAACACAAACAGGAATTTGAACCCTGGCAATGAATTCTCCCTTCCAGATATAATATCTTAATCCCAACCACCGCAGACGAAATAAAATGGGATTTGACGTTCTATGTTGCTGCTCCTAGTGGGTTGATGAAAACAGGTCCACCGAAGATTTAACACCAATCACAAACACCGCCAATGACCAATATAGAAAAAGAACCAGAAATAAGCAGAGATTCTCGGCCAAGTAAAATGATGCCACAGTCAATGTATTTCTTTGACCCGAATTAATAACCCCCTTTGATATTGTTATTGTGATGAGAGAAAGAGGGGTGTGGGGAGTGGAGGGGGTGGGGAGAAAGAGATAGAGATGGGGTTTAACATCTACTCGACACAAACTAGGTCATTTCGGGACTAACATATGATTCAATTTTATTTCGATAATTTGCTTGCGTGACAGAGAGAGAGCGGAGGGGGGGGGGGGCTGTGAACGTCCACTCGACACAAACTAGGTCATTTCGCGACTAACATAAGGTTCAATTTTATTATTTCAATAATTCGCTTTAGCAGTTGGGGGAAATCGGGAGACCCAGATGAAACCCACCCTCGGTTTGATGGACAGGGTGGATCTGGTACTAGGCTAGATGGACAGGGTGGATCTGGTACTAGGCTAGATGGACAGGGCTGAGATGGTACTAGGCTAGATGGACAGGGCTGAGATGGTACTAGGTTTGATGGACAGGGTGGAGCTGGTACTAGGCTAGATGGACAGGGTGGATCTGGTACTAGGCTAGATGGACAAAGTGGAGCAGGTACTAGGTTTAGATGGACAGGGCTGAGATGGTACTAGGTTTGATAGACAGGGTGGAGCTGGTACTAGGCTAGATGGACAGGGTGGAGCTGGTACTAGGTTAGATGGACAGGGTGGATATGGCACTAGGTTTGACGGACATGGCGGACGACTATATACACCGACAACTGCCATATAAATAAAAACGATAGTAACCTGTAATCCGTGCCTTTATCTTTATAATAGAAGCAAACATTTAACATAATCACTCCCAAACGTAATGCATAGTTCTTCGACATCCGCCAGGTACTCATTGGAGTGCTCGTAAAAGAATCCTTGGCAGTTGTTTTTAGAAACTTCGTTGTACGGTCTATAACTAACACCCCACCCCACCCCTTCCCTCTGCCCACTATAGAGACAATATAATCGTAATCACAATCGTCGTGGAATTGTCCGTCATCGAAGTTATTCAATCGATTCACAATTGTTCCAACAACAAGCTACGTTTGTGTCTTGTGTCTTTTGTTTTAAGACGGTTGCCTCTAGAAAAAGATCAGCACAAGGAAGATTACCACCTTTCTGCTCAAGCAGACACACATAGACCATGCAGTTTGCTATGAGGAAAGATTTCGAATTCCAACTGCCAAGAGTTTTTTTTTTTTGTTTTTTTTTTACGGCACCTCTGTTTTTCATCCATCCAAACGACTCTACGTTTGCTAGGTCCTCGGTCCTAGACCACTGACAAGGGGGAAACACGCAGGAAAATCCCAACGAACTTTCTCGGCCAACAACAAGATCGAACATGGAACGAGTTGCTGGTTGACACACGTGAATGTATATGAAGCACACTATGGACGCAGGTAATCCTTGTTGCCCAAGGCTTGCGTTAATTTTAGCCAGAAGAGCCTGCGATGTTCTTCCCCGTCACACCAAGTTATATATTCATCCGCGTTAATAATTCTGTAAATAGCCCTAGTAACGTTCAATGTGTTCATTTCTTGTAATAAAATAATTATCATACAGTTTGTTTTTCGTGCAGATATCGCTCATACGCCAGTGTTGCTTCAAATTCACAAAAATGGTCTCGGGCGTAGGAATTTGAAATAAACAAGATGGATCTCCTACTGGCATCCATGTTGAGCAATATGACGTCAATTTTATTGCCTATTCCGTCACGTTCTGGGATGAAAAGACGCAGTCCCATCTCCTGTTCTAGTTTTGGAACTATTTCGTCCAGAACAAGATCCAAGTTATCCTCACTGCAGCTGACGTAAACATCAAATTTATAATTATCTCCCTTTTCAGCCAGACGTTGGAAACGACGGTGTTGGAATCGTAACATGTAGGCAGCATATTTAAAATGCCATCGGTATCGGAACACAAATGATCCGCACAAAACGAATAGAACTAAGCTCGATACAGCTGATATTAAACTGATAGCTATGGGCGACGGAAGAAAACAGAATCTCTCCGAAATAGGTGTGCTGGATATCTGTTTTCCTTTCCATTTAAGCGGTGCGTCGCATAAATACCTTTCTGGATAACCGCGAAATTTATATTTTTCCAGGAGGTTATCTTTAAACATGGTGTGTTCTAATAAGCTGATGAACCACAGCAGCTGACATGAACAGACAAACGGGTTCCCCTCTAGTCCTATCAATTCTAATCGTGCTATCAGGCTTTCTGAGATCGATTTTTTATAGATAATCTGTATCAAATTTCCAGTCAGGCCCAATTCTCGTAAATTTGTTAAAGAGGTAAAATAATCGTCAGGCCAACTGGAGATCTCATTTCTGTCGGCGTGTAATTTTTCTAAGTGAGTGAGATTCTGACTAATTACTCGTGGAAGATATCCTAACCCAGTTACATCGAGGTCTATATCTTTGAGATTTTTCAGTGGACTCAAGAACGTGTAGAAATCTGCCTCGTTAAAAGTTGCCAAGGAGTTACCTGATAAGAGTAAGACCTCGAGATTTGGACACAGGGTTAATAGATTCATGTTCACCCGTGACCAGTCTAGAATTTGGTTAGAGAAGTCAAGTTCTGTTAATGATTTGCTATTGAAGGCACGTGACTCGATGGTAAAATACACACTCCGAATTCCAGATAAAGAAAGGGTTTTTAACGTTGGTAGGTCTACAAAGGTATTATTCTTTATTACAAACAGTGGATTCCTGTCTATATTGAGAGATGTCAGTCGTTTCAAGCAATTAATGTCCGATGGTTTTAAAGTAGTCAGGAAATTAAAACTGAAGTCAAGAAATGTTAAATTAAGGAACACGGGTTTATCGTCCACACAAAATCTGGGAAACGATGTAAGTCGGTTATTCATCAAACTGAGGTTTTCGAGGGTGTCCGAATGCCATAAATGAGTTTCGTTGAGGTTACAGAAGACCAGTTCAAGATGGCGGAGTCTCGGGATGATTGAGAATATCTCCTGGTTGTATATATTGACGTTAGTTCCATATAGATTAAGTCGCTGGACCAAACTATTTGCCAACCCTGAAAATATATCAGGTGGAAAAGCTGACAAATTAATCCCTGACAGTTCTAAGTTTGTGGTCGACGTCTCCGAAATTTCATTTAGACATTTCTTTAGTTCCTCTGGCGAAAAATTTTCCTGGGAAATGTTCAGCGTTTTTATAAATTTTAAATGGCCGAAAGCCCGCGGTCGACACAGAGCCATGGAATTATTCTTTATAATTAAAGTCTTTAGTTTCAAACTCGTTAAATTAAAAAATGTGGATTCCGAACAAATGGCATAGTTATGGGAACAAACACACCATCTACGAAGCGCACATGGTTTTCTAGGAGCATCTTTAAATCCTAATGGATGAATATTTCCCATTTTATGGACATCTTTAACATTTTTTGCACCCCCTGTTGCCCCATTTATAATTTTCTCCTTATTATTTGTCGTAATATTGTGATTGTGTGGTTGTCACACTTTTAAAGTTACTATTATAATGGTCGTCTACTTCATCCTGGTTTCTCATAACTTTTCTTTCATATTTGCTAAGCAGATCGATGCGATGGTTTAATCCCAGGCGATTGTTTAATCCAATGCGATGGTTTAATCCCATGCGACGGTTTAATCCTATGCGACGTTGTGATAATCCACTTCTTGTGTTGAAACTCATTCCACCCGTTTTTAGTATCGATAACAACACAGATAACAACACCAGTACACAGATCTTGAGAGTCCAACACAACTTCATCTTCTTAGTTCCAGAGTCCAATAATAATCACGAGTTGTAACTTTTAGTGCAACTCTTCTGTCAGTTGTCAATCGAAACTCTTGGCGCAATCGAAAGTTTTACCGCACACAAAGATAAATCGAAAAGTGATTTTTTTTTTATATTAGTAAATAAAAGTCACACTTCATACAGCCACAGAAAAAAAATTCTGACAAGGTACCTAATAATTCTTGAGCTGCTGTCTGTGCATCTAATATTATACCGGGAGTTTTTACTGTGTTATCATTGCACATAAGTAAACCTTATTCTAGCTAAATCATTCTCAAGTCCATCTTGACTTGAGTTAATTATCTAAGGCAATTAACAAGAACATGATGCACATTATTAATTTAAATAGATGCATCGATGCATTAGGTGACACGGACGATACCAATTCATGCTTCATCTACATCGTACGGAAGATAACGATCAAACCAAATGATTCATCTACAAGGAGTGGCAGTGACTGGAGTTTAACGTCCACTTCCACCAAGGTTGGTATCGTAGACAAGTATTAGGATGTGTACTCGTTGGCCTAGGTACGTTTGAGAACCCTCGACAAACTTCGAAATACAAGTAGGCCGGAGCCCCACTGTCCATCTTCATTGCCCGATAGGACGATATACTCCATTTGTTTCAAACGCAGCCAATGGTGTGAGAGAGAGAGAGAGAGAGAGAGAGAGAGAGAGAGAGATTAACGTTAACAAACTACGTTATTTCAGAACTAACATATAGTTCAAATTTATTTCATGAATTCGCTTGCGCGTAGGGTTTTTTAGGTTTTAGCAATGGGAGGAAACCGGAGGACCCGGAGAAAACCAACCAGGTTGAATAGGCGATCCTACTCTTTGTCACGTACAACCGGGGAATCGAAACCACGCCAGTTGACTCAATGACAGACCGTATGATACAGTGGGCAGGTGCTAATCATTCGGCCATCCTCTCATAGATAGATCTAATTGTTCGTAAATCAAACAATTTAAATGTTTTGATTTCGGGGTGCTACTAATTCAACTGAATGGTTCGGTAGAGAAATGATTTTATAACATATAATAATTACTGCTCCCGTTCCAGGCGACATGTTGTCAGCGTTCGGGAGTCAGGTGAACAATCTAAAGATCTCGTAGCAAAAGAAAAAAGGCAAAATTTCCATCATCGCACATTATTTTAAGCATGGATTATACCCGTCATCAATTGCCCGCCTGGTTTGTAGAGGATTGTAAGACGTTAAACCCCATTTCATCTGATTTCGTAACAAGCGCGTGCTATTAGACCAAACTTTATACAACTGATGTACCAGAAATAGGGGGTGTTGGGTGGCCGAATAGTTAGAATGTGCGCGCTGTATCATAAGGTCTGTCATTGAGTCAACTGGCATCGTTTCGAATCCTGGGTTGTACGTGACAAGGAGTAGGGTCTCTTGTCCAACCTCGTGGGTTTTCTCCGGGTCCTCCGGTTTCCTCCCACTGCTAAAGACCCCTACGCGCAAGCGAATTATTGAAATAAAATTGAACCATGTGTTAGTCCCGAAATGACCTAGTTTGTGTCGAGTGGACGTTAGACCCCATCTCTCTCTCTCTCTCTCTCTCTCTCACTCTCTCTCTCTCTCTCTCTCTCTCGATGTCCATTAGTTTCACGCCGTGTATGTAAGTTTAATAAAAGAGTTGTTTAGGTCTACTAAATGTAATAATAATAATGTTTATTCAGATCTCACAATGAGAAATATAAATACAATTTACAAAAATAGTTTATACAGTTAATGACAGGTTGTGAGCAAAATACTACATTCATACATATATATTTATTTATTTATATATGTACATTACATGTTATATTAAACTACGCACATCTATACATTACATGTTATATTAAACTACGCACATCTATACATTGTGATAATAAAGCTTTAAATATATTATCCAGTCACTCTTGAAGGATGAACACTTAAAAACTGGAATTCATCACTTATTTCGTTATCTGAGCAAAGGACCCATAGTCGATTTTGTCTGGGGATTTTTTAAAAACAAATCAAACTCGATCGGTACTCCATGGCATCAAGATTTAAATGTATGAAAATAACGTATATATTTCCATGTATTCTTCAAGCTTGAGAGAAGATGTAAATATATAGTTTTATTCTATTATACTATGTTAATTTTATTGTCAGTGGTGCAGGACGGGGGAGGGGGGCGTCTAATCCTTCGGATGAGACAAAAAACGAGGCCCCGGGTATGTAAATGAACCCTTGACAGTATGAATTCGATATAAGCGTCCTGTCACAGCACACTACATGACAAACAACCGTCTTCATTAGCCCAGTCGTTGCAGAAAAGTCGGACGTTAAACCCCAAGTCATTTCATTTCATCATTATCTACTAATATGGTAGCTTTTTTCATAGATTGAACGGAGGGAAAATTATCTAGTCCTTCGGGCGGGACGACAATTCGAGGTCTCGTGTATTACAATTCGCAGATAAAAATCTCACGACAGCTGAGGGGCAAGATTCCCCACATAGAACACTGCATGGCGTATGTCCGTCTTCATTAGCTATGTGCTTGAAGAAATATAAAACATTGAATTCCATTTCATCTCATTTCAGAAATCTTCATTTTTTTATAAACAGGTATACCACCATGTTGACGTGTTTGTAGTCATGTAGTTGTTGTCCTGTATATATACAGGAAGTAAAGGGGGGGGGTTGGGCGGTCGAATTGGGGAACGCGTGTGCGTTGTATCATAAGTTCTGTCATTGAGTGAACTGGCGTGGTTTCGATTCCCTGGTTGTACGTGACAAGGAGTAGGGTCGACTGTCCAACCTCGTGGGTTTTCTCCGGGTCCTCCGGTTTCCTATCACTGATAAAGACCCCTACGAGCAAGTAAATTATTGAAATAAAATTGAACATTATATTAGTCCCGAAATGGCTTAGTTTGTCTTGAGTGAACTTTAACACACTCTCTCTCTCTCTCTCTCTCTCTCTCTCTCTCTCTCCAGTAAGCAAGAGAAGAGGTAATATTACCGATGAAATAAACGACTAGCTATATAATTTATTTGACTTCAATATTAAAGATATCAATAATGGAATAGGTTATATACAATGAATTTGTCATTAGTGAACTCGTGGTAAAATTTGATTCCCTGCCAATTATTGTCAGCGAATAAGGAAGTTTTTATCAGAACTGTTAATCCACAAGTATCTTATAATAAAAGACAGGCCTTACTCATGAACGGGGCGGTAATTTGATATAACGACTCATTGTCGTACGAGGAAGTAAATACCATCTAGTACAATTCCTTGGGAGATATTAGACAAATAATATGTAGGTACTTAACGTAACTATATATATATATATATATATATCGATATGTATTTAATATATCATAAACTATACTTATATATACGTATATCAATAATATATCACCAATTATCATACAAATCATTTACAAAATATACAAACACCTGGGATAAAAGTCAAGGTTAAATACACATAACCAACATTAAAAGGGGAGAAGTTAGAAATAAAATAAAATGGGGTTTAATGTCCTACTGTTCTGCTCTGACTGGACTAATAAAGTCGGGCGTACACCATACAGTGTACTATGAGGGAAATTTTGCCCGGACAGCGGCGCTACGTCCTACGTTTATATTGGATTCCAGCTGTTAAGGGTTCTTTTACGTGCACGCCAATGTGTATACGGTACCTCCATTTTTTGCCCCATCCGAACGACTAAACACTGTTTCTTATCAGGTTGTCCGTCCTGCACCACGAGGAACTAGTCGTTCGGTGATAGGACAACCCGAGGTCCAGTTGGAATTCGAAATAAGAGTAAGGTGTAACAATAATGGAAGTGAACTCAAACACCGTCGTGTCGTCACACCTTATGATCAGAACCAGCCATTCATGACCGTAACCGGACAAACCTCGCTGGAAACCTCGACATTCTTCTAGACGGAGTCGCATTGTTATTAGAAAGTTCAAGTCCTTGAGTCAGCCGCCTCCCACCACAAAAACCCCAACACAAAATACATCAAACATTTAAATATTATCACAAAAAGTGAAGAAATAGAAACCCGTGAAAAAATTATGACACCCTGTTTACTTCTGTAGTGAAAAAAATTAACAACAAACTTTCCATGCATGTTTAATACTGTTGTCGTCTTCAATGGGAGACAATCTATACCACCGTCGGAAATTTCCAACGTTGTGCAGTGCGGACATTGTCTAAGGGAGTGCACCACCCCACCCCTCACTAGCTAGACTAAGGATTCGTGTGTTTATTTTAAATATGATATTACTAGAAGAATGCCCGGCTTCGCTCGGGGGTCATAACCCCGAAACCGGAAGTGGTAGACTAACGCCACCTGGCCTACTCTAATATCGTATTCAGGGGGGTTGAATGGCCGAATGGTTGGCACGTGCGCGATGTATCATAAGGTCTGCTTTTGAGTCAACTGGCGTGGTTTCGATTCCCCGGTTGTACGTGACAAGGAGTAGGGTCACCTGAAATACAATTGAACCATGTGTTAGTCCCGAAATGGCCTAGTTGGTGTTGAGTGGACGTTAAACCCCATCTCCTCCCTCCACCCCCTCTCTCTCTCTCTCTCTGTCAAGGGTTATTTTAGGTGCACGCCAATGTGTACACATGACCTCGGTTTTTCGTCCCATCTTAACTACTAGACACAGTTTGTTGCGAGGCTCTCGAATCCCGGACCCCCGGTTATCGAGACATTCCTATACCCACTGAACCACTGCGGCTCCCCATCTATAATGAATGAAATTTATATTCCTTTTATAATGAATGAAATTTATATTCCTTTTATAATGAATGAAATTTATATTCCTTTTCAGAGTGACAATATCCCGTTAAATTTGTTTATACAGTGTGTTGTTTTGTTGATTCGCTTGTCAACAATGTCAACTATGTAATTACAATTCATTACAGTAAACATGTTTACATACTATGATGTAAATAAAACTTGTTGTTTTATTTGTATATATTCTTGTCTACATAATTTGTTATTTTTGTCTTTTTTTGTACCAAAAATAAATACTCATGATTAAAATATGTATTGTTGTAGGTTTGGCTGCCAACATTTCATACAATCGTATAATAATAATGTATGAATCAGCCAAATTTCATTTGAGTTTCTTTGATTTGTTTTACAGCCGACTAAGGGGGGTGGCGGGTGGTTATTGCCGGGGTAGCGCCGATATATTTACACAATATCGGTATAATTTGTTGACCGATGGGAGTCAAAGTGGTTGTTTACCCCTTACTAGTGGTACAGAGGGAAGGTTCATATGGGGCTATATTCACTAGTGGTACAGAGAGGAGGTTCAGATGGGGCTATATTCACGCTGGCTTGCAGGTAAATAAACCCTAGGCAGCCCCCCCCCCTCATTCATTAGCCCGGTTGGTGCAAGCATCTAGGACGTTAAACCCCGTTTGATCTTTTTCTGTTTTTTTTTTATTAAATCGGTTATTATTAGATTAATCTTTGAAATAGAAAAATGAGGTTTAAAGTCAACTCGACACAAACTAGGTCATTTCGGGACTAACACATGGTTCAATTTTATTTAAATAATTCACTTGTGCGTAGGGATCTTTCGCAGTGGGAGGAAACCGGAGAACCCGGAGAAAACCCACGAGGTTGGACAGGCGACCCTACTCCTTGCCACGTAAACCGGGTAATCGAAACCACGCCAGTTGACTCAATGACAGACCTTATGATACAGCGCGCACGCGCTAAGCATTCGCCCCCCCCCCCCCTCCATCATTTAGCATTTCCCATGTTGATCACCACAACTGTAATGTAAACATACAAAAAAAATATGTTAAAAATACCGTTTTATTTTAATTACCCCGTTCGGCTATAATTAATCATGTCATGTGACATATAGTGTTTTTATATATTTACCTTGCAGCAACCTCATTTATTGAGTTTAAACTACGAGACGTAAAACTACGTGACGTGTACTGACTAATGTTTGAATTATGTGCATAAAAATACATTATTTTTAAAAACAAACAGAACGATGGCGACGGTTGTAAACTGTAGGTCTATCAATTAGTTTAGATTTAACTCGTCTGTTATTCACGTGTCTCGACGGGCGTACACGAATATTTATTTAGGAGGGGTGGGTGGGGGGGGGTGCGGCACCCGGGCATTGTTTTTACTACCGTACACTGCTTAAAAAATGCTTTGTAAAAATAAGGAAGTAGTGGGGCAATACCGATGATGTTAAGTAAAATCACACCTACTATATTGGAAATGAAATGGGGTTTAACGTCCTACTGTTCTGTTCCGACTGGGATAAAGAAGACAGTGTGAAATGAAGGAAATTTTGCCCGGACAGCGGCACTATGGCCCTACTTTTATATTGAAATCCAACTGGGATCTTTCACGTGCACGCCAATGTGTACACGGGACCTCGGTTTTCGTCCCATCCGAACGACTAGACAGATGTCATTGTCAGACCCTCCGTTCTGCACCAGACAAGGGGAAACCACACCGGAAAACCCCGATAAACTAACTCGGTCAACACCGGGAGCGAACCGGCGTCTAACCACTTGGCCAGCGCCCCCCCCCCTCATCCACCCCACTGTGGGAAGTAGGATATCCAGGTAAACATCAGAACACAAGTAAACATCACACACTTGTAACACACAAGTAAACATCACACACTTGTAACACACAAGCGTTCACATCTCATAACTCAACTAAGTCTTGCCAAAATACAAGAAGATTCTAGCTCCCAGATGTGAGACAAACTCTCCGGATCCATTGTGCCCCAGTTTCCATAAAAAATAGAAATAAAAATACCCTGTGGAATGTTCAAAAAAGTGTAAAGGGCAAGGATTTGCCGAATTTTGGTCGCCTGAATATTATGGGAGACACTGTGCACCCCACCACCAAATCTTTTGGAGTAATACAATAATACATATATATATATATATGTACCCTCTTCACCCCATTGCAATGCTTTGTTTATAAGATATGTGTATATCCTCTTCACCCCATTGCAATGCTCTGTTTATAATATGTGTATACCCTGTTCACACCATTGCAATGCTTTGTTTATTATTTCTATATAGAATGTTATAAAGATATTTTTATAATAATAAAACGGTACATGAATCATTGAACTGTTTTTTATTAAAATTACAAGGGATAAAAATAAACTAGTTGTATATAAGAGAACGTATTGAGTGTAACTAGAGCGTGTATTTATATCAAGGCTGTAAAGAAACAGGTGCCCGTTTAATATCATACTAAACTTACGCTCCGCTTATTGAATACAGACAATAAAGTTAATTGGCCGACATTTTAATTCCTAAATTGACGATTTTAGTTGAAAACACTACGGCCAGTTTCTCATGTACGCGTTTTCGCCGGCCCAAAAAGTCGGTCTAATGCACGTGTAATAGGACCGTTTTCATGTAACCGGCGAAAACACGTACATGGGAAACCAATCTGATTAAAACACAGATCCAATTTCGTTTCGTTTTTATAGTTCAAAATTTCGATTTTACTTGTCTTTACTACACTCAGTGTAGTGTAGGCCATCGAAAGTATAAAAAACGAAACGAAATATAGATCTATATTTTAATTAGATTGATGGAAAACGGGCTTCAGAAATATCTATTCCGCTTCCCTTTAATAAAATAAAATAGGTTTATTTAGTATAGCGATAGAACCGCCGTATAAAATAGTATAACGGTACTGTACTAATGGTGGACATGGCGGCCATTCAGGGTAGAGGTCTGTTCTAGAAGTACATAGTCCTCTGTGTGCAGATTGTTTTCATGTGTTTTACCCAACCACGGATATTTGCTAAAAACGTTGGTCTATCGAATGTGTTTGGTTTTAGTTTAGATTTTCTCCTTCAAGCGTGTGATTTCTTGAAACGATTTTACAATATAATAACACTTAGGCCTACATTATGTAAGATTTATATAAAGACCTCACCACTATTGTTATAATAGTCCAAAAATAAATAATGAAGGTACGTGAATATATCGAAAATTTCATTCAAATTACTTTGAAGATATACGTAGGGTAGATCGTTACTATCGAAGCAATCGTACTTGTTAATCGAGACTGACCTAGTCACGATTATCCATTTTATCGTTGACGGGTATTTAAATCCATTTACATCTGTGCCATCAGATGGACTAGAGAGTTGATCATAAGCTTGTCATTTAAATAAATGTCTAATTAATAAATTAGAAAAAAAATTCAGGCCAAAAAGAAAGACCTGGAATAGGCAGATTTAGCTCTAACATAATGCATTTTTATTTAAACTTAACTCCTACAAAAGAACTATACAACGTCAGGGTTGTTTCATGAATTTATCAATCATAAAATGTATGGCCATAGAATATTTCATTAGTGATTCGTCTTTTTAATCAACGAGGATAGCTTGCCTTTAACTTGTCGGCAACACTCGGGCGAAGGTCATACACTGATTAGTGTAGAACGGGGGGAATTTTGTCAGGACAGCGGTGCGACGGTCTACTCTTATTCCGAGATCAAACTGTCAAAACGGTTCTTTAACGGGGTTTTGTGCCATTCGACTGACTAGATCCTGTTTATTGCCAGGCCCTTCGTCCGGCACTACTCGCAAGGTGTGTGTGGGGGGGGGGGGGGGCACGGTAGGCCTTCACAAAAGTATTAATACTAATACTTCGTATTATTTTCGTTTCTTTTTGGGTTTGGGCACAATCATTGCCACCCCAATAATAAAAAAAATTAAAAAAACCCAAACGAAAACTAATATTACGAATAAACTGGGAGCTATGTTAACAAACTTTCTGTAGCAATAGGTGTCCATTGCGTCCATTTCTGAACAAAAAACCCCCAACAATTGGCAACAACTCCGTATCAATGGCATTTAGTATTAGAACGGGATATAGGCTAGACAAGGACACACTTCTATGGCATCCAATTAGCCTACTGTTTATTGCCTGACGATATAAAGATGATAGAATCCTAATAGAAACGTCACACTATAATAAATAATAATTGTATTTAATAGTACAAGTGTTTACGTGAAAGGCTTCTTAAACTTACGCTGTCTTGACTATAGTTAGCTCCGCTTGAGAACAGACATTAAGCTAGTTGACACACGATTTTAGTCGAAAACATTAAGTTTGCTTCGAGGCTTTGTAGAAGTATTTATTCAGCTTCTATTTAGTAAAATTGAAAGGGTTTATTTAGTCTTTGTGTGTATGCAAGATGTGAAACAGAGTACAACAGCAATACAAAATAGTTTACTAATTTGTAGATATGGCGGCCATTCGGGGTAGAGATCTATTCGCGGTGTGCCGAATGTGTAAAGGAAGACTGAAATGAAGTGAATGAAATGGGGTTTAACGTCCAACTGTTTTGCTCCGCCTGGGCTAATGAAGATGGGCATACGTCATACAGTGGGCTATGAGGGAAATTTAGCCAGCGGCATTACGGCCTACTCTTATATCGAATTACAACTGTCAGGGGATCTTTTACGTACACGCCAATGTGTACACGGGACCTCGGGTTTTCGTCCCATCTGAACGGCTAGACAACTGTTCTGGTCAGCCCCCCCCCCCCCGCCCTGCATCACTGACAAGGGGGAACCACGCCGGAAAATCTGAATGAACTTTTTCGGCCAATGCAGGGATCGAACACCCGACCTCCAGGCTAGCGAGCCAGCATCTTAACCACTTAGCCAGAAAATATGAAAGGTCACATCAAACTGATTTCCTGTTCTTTGGCAACATCGGTCGGTTAAAATATTTCTTCTTATTTCTTCGAGAATAATACCTATTTAAAAACAAAACGGAGTTGGTTGTACTTTTAGGTCCATATATTTAAGTTTCCAAAACTTTAAAGGAAACACTTTTCCTGTGATTGAAGCGCCTATTTATGTATGAAGAAGAGAAAATTAAATTAGTTTGGCCTACAAGAGATGTATGTTATGACAAATGTCAGGTTAAGCCAAGTTGCCCGACAATGTTGACAGATGATGTAGTCCTATTCATATCCGTTATTTTTATGGTGAATAGTGTAGTTATATCAAGTCTATTAAGTCAAGTATAACTAGGTACTAATACAGGATGTTGATAATTATATTCTCAAACTGTGTACAATAATATACTGTCAATCCTATATTATACAGTGTATTATGGGAGAGAGAGAGAGAGAGAGAGAGAGAGAGAGAGAGAGAGAGAGATGGGGTTTAACGTCCACTCGACACAAACTAGGTCATTTTAAGACTAACATATGGTTCAATTTTATTTCAATAATTCGCTTGTGCGTTTGGGTCTTTAGTGGTCGACTCGACACAAACTACTAGGTCATTTTGGAGAAAATCCACGAAGTTTGACAGGCGACCCTACATCCCTGGTCACCTACAACCTGAGAATCGAAACCACGACAGTTGACTCAATCACAGACCTTATGATACAGCGCGCACATGCAAACTATTCGGAAATGACACCCAGTGTTTTATGGATGGGGCATACATCACTACTGTTATTCTGGCTATGGAAATGAAATGAAATGAAATGGGGTTTAACGTCCTACTGTTTTGCTCCAAACTGGGCTAATGAAAACGGGCATACGCCATACAGTGTGCTATGAGGGAAATTTTGCCCGGACAGCGGCACTTAGGCCTACTCTTATATCGAATTCCAACTGTCAAGGGATCTTTTACGTGCACGCCAATGTGTACACGGGACCTCGGTTTTTCGTCTCATCCAAATGACTAGACAGCTGTCCTTGTCAGGCCCTCTGTCCTGCATCACTGACAAGGGGAAACCACACCGGAAAATCTGAATGAACTTTCTCGGCCAATGCAGGGATCGAACACCCGAACTCCAGGCTAGCGAGCCAGCGCCTTACCCACTTAGCCACCGTGATCCCCCTTCTGGCTATGGACCTAGTAAACTTTGTTCATATTTCTAGTTTTATAAATAATTGATCCCATCTAGATGTAAACTGTGTTTATTTTTTTTAAAATATCAGATTGTATCATTAATTAGTTCACACAAAACCTCATCCAATATACAATATACTGTTACTATGGTAACCAGGGGTTACTATGGTAACAATATACAACAATTTATTAATAAGTAACAAGATTCATATTTCAAATAAATCTCCAGGTATAGAAATAGTTAAATAGTCCACACATCCAATACTGATTTTACTTCTAGAATTCAATTTGCCCGTTTTCTGATGTATTTTCAGATTTTACAACTGTACGTCTTTCAAGAGCATCTTGGCACTCTATATGTGAAAGATGCGCGATATAAATACATCATAATAATAATAAAATAATAATAAATCATTAGAAATATGATTAAAATACAGATCTATATTTCGGTTTTTTTTTTTTTATACTTTCGATGGCCTACACTACATGAAGATCTGACAAGTTGTAGCAATAAGTCGAGTCAGAGGTCATACGAGCGGCTTTTGACCCTATGAAGTCAGACATTTGATTAACCAATCAGAAATGAAATTGGATCTGTGTTTTAATCAGATTGAATTAACATATTTTATTTTATTTGTTTATTTATGAATTTTAAATATTTTTTGTTTCAATGATCAGTAAATATTTCATTGGAAACAAAAACCAAAGCCAGATCAAATTGGAATAATGAACGATAAAAAACCCCTGACAAATTGGATCATCTTGAATAGCCATGGAACAAACATCTGAATTTCAACATTGCCATGAACACTATAGGAACAAAAATAACGTTTTGGAGAATGATTGAGTTTAGGTAGAAACTAAATACCTGTTGAATAATACCAATTTTTATACCTGAGACAAATATAGTCAGTCTTATTTTTATAGTTTTATTTAATTACCATGAACCAATAAAATAAAGAGCGGAATAAAACAAAAAAATATATGTTCAAGCAAAAGCAATTTCATTTTCATTTCTACATGATGGGGTTTAACGTCCACTCGACACAAACTAGGTCATTTCGGGACTAACACATGGTTCAATTTTATTTAAATAATTCACTTGTGCGTAGGGGTCTTCAGCAGTGGGAGGAAAACGGAGGATTCAGAGACAGGCGACCCTACTTCTTGTCACATACAACCAGGCGAATCGAAACCATGCCAGTTGACTCAATGACAGACCTTATGATTCAGCGTGCACATGAAAACCAAAAGAACTTGGTTTCATTGTTCAAAAACTTCTTGTTCCAAATTTTTCAGTTTTGAAATGTAAAATGAAATGAAATGAAATGGTGTTTAACGTCCTACTGTTCTGCTCCTATGCTGGGCTAATGAAGACGGACATACGCCATACAGTGTGCTATGGGGGAAATTTTGCCCGGGCAGCGGCACTATCGCCTACTCTTATATCGAATTCCAACTGCCAGGGGATAAGGTATAGGAATATGCTGAAAATTTCATCAAATTGCTCTACTCTGAACTAAGATATTAGTGATTGAATTTTAGGCCTAGTCTCGATCATCATTACTAAAATCAGTACAATAAAAACAAAGTTTCCATTGTCCATTTTTGTGTTTAATCATCAATGTGCGTTGAATAGCAGATTGGGTTGCTGAAAATCCAATGAAAATCGGACATATTAGATAACACTGAGAGTTGATTATGGTCTTTTCATGTTAATTAATATATAATTAATACTTTATATAATATTTCCGACCTAAAGAAAGACCTACAATAGACAGATTTACCTCTTGTATAATGTATGTTTAATATTTTCAATAAATTATAATAAAAGTGTTATTTATGATACAATATAAACAAGCTGATATCCAGTACTAATTTGTTTTCCGTTTTCTTGTATCGTGACTGTCTGGTTATCTGTGTCTATATGAAATATGGCTGTATCGTTTATTTGAAGTTTGCCTTGTTCAGGATTATCTATATCCGGTATCATTCGATGACCACTCTCGGTGTTTTCATATCGTAATAGTCGTACATTGGCAGCATCTGTTGAATAAAATTCATGTATTAGTAATAATAATCCAACAGAGGGGAAGGAGAGGTGAGAGAGAGACAGTAGGAAAGGTAGGGGGGGGGACAAGAAAGAGAGATACAGCACGAAGGGGAGTATTGTATCATAAGGGAAAATGAGAAAAATATAAATAGTCCGTACATTCCCTTGTTTTTATTCATTCTAGATTTAATAAAAACATGGTAATGCACTTTTTCTATTTTTTTCGTTTTCTCTTAACTAGTGACAGTCAAATTCTATTTATAAATTATCAGATATCCTTCGTCTTCGAATCCATTTCTCCCGCTAACAATACCGGCAATACTATATACCGGAAAACACCGGAAAACAACCGGAAAACACCATTTTATACTGAAAACCGGAAAACACCGGAAAAACACTAAATACCGGAAAACATCCTAAATACCGGAAAACACCCATAATAGGTAACCCGGAGCCTGGTCCTCTGTGTGCGGTTTTGGACCAAGTGAGCGCCGATGAAGGAAGGTCAAGGTCATGTTCGTTTTACAAATAGCCCCCCTCCCCCCCCCCCCCCCCCCCAAAAAAAAAACAAAAAAAATCTTTTTTTTTTTTTTCTCCCAAATTTTTTTGACGAAAAAAATTTTCTGCCCCCCCCCCCCAAATAAAATCGAATTTTTCCAAAAAATTGGTTTTACAAAAAAAACATTCCGTAGGAAATAATTTTACAGAGAAAAATACTGGAAAAAAAATAGGAATTTTTTTTTGAGAGAAATTTGGGAGAAGAAATTCTTAAAAAAAATCTGAAAAGAAATTTTTCTTTGACCGTAGGTGATCGCTCGCTTGTATGTTAATGAACTTATTTCATCAGCGCTCACTTGGTCCAAAACCACACACGAGGACCAAACTCCGCATTACTAAATAGCTACCGGAAAACTTAGAAGAGTAAACTGTGCCTGAGATTCTTTTTAGAGATCGCGCCGTGCCGCGCCCCGCTCCAGGAGGGATCATCATCAGGGTGGGACGGGGGGTGGAATTGTCCAGTCACGTGACGAACATAGATCTTCCATTCCTCAACCCATATTATTTCCACAGTCATTGTCATTAATCACAAATTATGGGATGATATACGAAAATGCAGGTTTACTCTGAAATAGTGCAAATGATACTTTTCCATCTACAATCTTCAGATCAAAGGATGCAAGTTCTTACACAGTGTAGCATATACTATTCAAAAAAAGTAGGGGATATTTGATTTTGGGGGCATAATACTAAAATATGCAAATGACTACGAAAAAAGTCACTATAGAACCTAACAGAAGAAACATTTCCAGTTACATGTGACGCCCAAACGCACCAATAGCTACCGCATGGAATGCAGGTGATGCTTGGGATCATCATGGGGGTCCAACCCAACATTTGCACGACTCTGACTTTGAATGTTACAGTCATTGTGGCATTGAATTCCAGGGTGGAAACATCAGTTTAATTGTTTTAGTGACCAGAAAACAAATTTTGATATGCGTCGGCTTACCCAAAATGAAAGGTTACGTGCCCTTGGCATGCTACAGATCGGCACAACACAGGCGGTTGTGGCGCGGACGATGAATGTTTCTCAGTCTGTCATAAGCAGGCTATGGTCCAGATACCGTGATACCCATTCGGTGTAAGTCTTCAGCCACCAGGAAGTGGTTAATATAGTAATGTTTTATTACGATAGTAGTACATAAAACAAATTGGTTGCCTGAGGTTCTCGGGGGGGAAAGTAGCCTCATCGACTAGAGTCCTCTATTTCACAAATAAAAATAACAATTGCTTCCTTGAAAATTTATGGATCAACCCTTTTCACAGACGTCCAGCTTACCACTTCCCGTCAATGCAGTAAGATAGAATATGTAGTTTTCTCATGGACAATTGGGCGAAAGTTGGGGTTTTCTCAAGGAAAACTGGTCAACGAGTTGGGGAATAAAGCTCGAAAAGTAATCCAGAAAAAAAATCCTGTGTGCGGCCCTCGAATTATGATGGAATATGTTGAATATTATTATGGTTCAAGTGATTATATTTGACCCTGGAATGAAAGTAAGCCCAGAAACAAGTAGATTTTTAGCCCTTCCAATGAGATGGATAGCTATTGGAAAGGATAGACACTTTTCAGATTACAGCCTGTCCGAGAATTGCGTGGCATCCATTTCGTTTGGTGATTAGGACACATAGTGGTTAAACCTGGAACTTCAACTCGAACTATTCAGAGATTTATTAACTCGCTTTTGATGATACTTGCAGTTTTATGATGCGATTTTTTGTTACCTAGGGAGGAGTTGGCCTAATCGTGCCTTCCACTAATTCGTACCACCCTGATGCCAGCGTTACTGGTAAGAATCAGGAGACCGGCGCAACCGGCATATAATGGGGCCCTCAGAGGGCTGTGTTTAATCTACTGAAATACTGAAACACTGAAATCTACTAAAATTTACTGAAAACTAAAATTAAAATACAAAATAAAATATGGTCAATGATGGAGGAAGACTGATTGCGTCTTTTAAAACATTCAAAACATAATAGGCATCAACAAAATTTTGGAGAAAAAAAAAATTGGAAATTTTTTTTGGGGGGGGGGAGGGGGGCTATTTGTAAAACAAACATCGTAATGACCTTGACCTTCCTTCATTGGCGCTCACTTGGTCCAAAACCGCACACAGAGGACCAGGCTCCGGGTTACCTATTTAGAGTGTTTTCCGGTATTTAGGATGTTTTCCGGTATTTAGTGTTTTTCCGGTGTTTTCCGGTATTCAGTATAAAATGGTGTTTTCCGGTTGTTTTCCGGTATATAGTATGGCCCTAACAATACCTACCTTTTATTTTGGATCGTTCTAATTTAGCTATTCGATTGGCTATTTTACACGTTTCATCACCTTCATATATCGGTACTAATAGTTCAAATAATCCACTGTACGGTTGAGGATTCACAAATCTCACTTTTACAGATGCCTGAAAATAGAAATTGTTTCAAATAATACACATACAAGGTGCTAATCATACATTATTTTATACTAGATGAAATATAGGAATCACTTGACGATTTCATTGAAATGCATGTGTGGAATAGTGTCTATATTTTAGTTTGTTTAATGATGGAGACTAAGACATTGCAATATATTATGAAGAAAAGTATCAATATTTTAAACCACACATAAATAGAAATGAAAATGAAATGAAATGTAACGTCCTACTGTTTTCCTATGGACTGGGCTAATGAAGACAGGCATACGCCATACAGTGTGCTATGAGGGAAATTTTGCCCAGGCAGTAGCACTATGGCCTACTCTTATTTTGAAGGGATCTTTTACGTGCAAGCCAATGTGTTCACAAGACCTTAGCTTTTCGTCTCATGCGAATGACAAGACATCAACCTGCATCACTGACAAGGGGGAACCATGCCGGAAAATCTGGGTGAACTTTCTCGGTCAATGCAGGGATCGAACACCCGACCTCCAGGCTAGCGAGCCAGCGTCTTAGCCACTTAACCACCGTGCCCCCCCCCCAACACATAAATAGCCTTGTTTAAAAAATAAATTACCTGTTCTGTAAAAGTCATGAAAGGTTTCCCCGGACAACATTCTTCTTTTACTTTATCTTCGGCTAAATCAGAAAATTTGATTTCTATTCCTTCTAACTGTAAATAAAAAACAAATAATTAATATATTATCTATTCCAGTAATTAACAAACAAATAATAAACATTTAATCTATTCCTAATCTAATAAGGAACGTTCTCGGTCAACAATCTGTGACCTCCAAGTTAGAGAGCCTGAGACTTACTCACTGAATCACTGCGACTGTTTTTATGTCGTGAATTTGCAGTTAATTAATGGCTAGTAATCTCATTGTCTCTCAGTTTATAGAAATAAATTGTTTAATAAACAAAGATTACCCATGAAAGATAAAAAATAAATTGAATGTTTTAAAGATAAATTGTGTTAAATAACTATACAATCTAATTAAAACACAGATCCTATTTCATTTCATTTTTTCTAGTTCAAAATTTCATTTTACTTGTCTTTACTACACTAGGATCTGAAAGAGTTGTTATATAACCCACATTCTGGATGATGTGAGGGATTTAGCCAATAAAATAGCCGGTTATGGCAAGTTTTTGGCATTAGGTGCACGGAACTGTGGGAAACCCAGTAGAAACTTCAATGCTGATTGGGTCAAAAGTCGCTCGTATTAACCCTGATGCAAACTTCCACTACAACTGGTCAGATCTTCATGTAGTGTGGGCCATCGAAAGTATATAAAACGAAATGAAATATAGATCTTTATTTTAATACAGATTTGATTATATATCTCAGGTAAACAGGTGTTAAGACAGGTAATTACAACTAAACAAGAACCCTGTAGACTAGCAACCATTAACATCTTCAGTTGCCATGGTTTCATTACTGTATACCTTTAGTAGTAGAGGATCAGTTTGTTAATCAATTTATAATCTCAATAATTGAGAATTCTATTTGTATTTATTAAACATTATTTTCTATCTATTTATTGCGTATAACAGGGTCGTCTGAATGCACGGGGGGGGGGGGGGGGGGGGGGGGGGGCAAGCTGAGCAGTTAATACCAACAAATGTAACATGATAATAGTAACACGAAACAGGGGATTATAGTTATTGGTTGTATATAGTAATATGAGACAGGACTACAGGAGATTACGGTTATTGGTTGTATATAGGCCACTTACCTCCAGAGTGGAAATTAAATATTTCAGATTAACTTGTAATATATCCATTTCATTATATTCTGTCGTTAGATTCAACGCTTTCATTCCATCTTTACTAAAACTTTCCTAAATAAAAACATACAATTTAACGTTTATAACAATAATCTGAAACACTAGAATTGGGGAGATTCTCAGTGTTCAAAGAATCCAATATTGTCCAGTATAAATCATTTAATGAACCATGGATATACAATGTATTAACAAGCGGACCTTAGCCTCGAACCATGTGAAATTCTACTATCATTAAATCTCAGTGTTTCATTTATCCCACTCTATACATATTCTTTTTGTGGAGAAAATGGTGAATGATGAAACGAAGGAAAGAATGAACAAAGGAATGAATGAATAAAAGAATGAACAAAGGAAAGAATGAACAAAAGAATGAACAAAGGAAGGAATGAATGAGGGATTGAATAAAGGAATAAATGAACAAAGGAAGGAACGAAGGAATGAATGAACAACTGTTTAGTTCATTTTGAGACTAACATATGTTAATATTTTTCTATGATTATGTAGCCAATATGGGTTTGGAGAATTTTGCCCAGGCAGCAGCATGTCCACCTACACTTCATCAAATTCTACCTATCATGGGATCTTTAACGTTCACAGCATTCCAGTTTGTCCACAAGTGGAACATCGTTTTTTGTTCCATTAATACGAATATGCAAACTTTTCATATCAGACCTGCAAGCTGTGGGAGTCTAGTCAAGGGTCCAGTACCCTGACTGCTAGATTAGTGTTTCACTTGTACAAAAGGTAATAAAAAATGTGAGAGAGACAGAGAGAGAGAGAGAGAGAGAGAGAGAGAGATATGGTTTAAAGTCCATTCCACACAAACTAGGTCATTTCGGGACTAGCACACGGTCAATTTTATTTCAATAATTCGCTTGCACGTAGGGGCCTTTAGCAATGGGAGGAAACCGGAGGATTCGGAGAAAACCCACGTGGTTGGACAGGCGACTCTACTCGTCACATACAACCAGGGAATCGAAACCATGCCAGTTGACTCAATGACAGACCATATGATATAACGTGCACATGTTAACCATTCGGGGATCCAACCCCTCCAAAAAATGTGAAAGAAGATGTGCATCATGCTTGTGAAATAAGAGAATGAAACACCTGTAAATGAAACACCTGTAAATACCTTGATTATCTGAACAAAAGGCATTATTTTCTTGCTATATTTCTTTAATTCAGGTTTCGGCTGTAGGGCACCTGCTATAATTTTATTATCAGGCATTTCATTCTTCTCCTGTAATATATAAAACATTATCTAAACTTGACTATTTTACTCTACAGTAAGACAACATTCTACATGTCCTGCTCATGTTCGAACATTTGTGGATAAATCTACCATTCTTCAGCTGAGAACTGGAATTATATAAACAAACTGGACGCAATTTAAAAATAGCTGAGCTAATGAAGACTGGGGTAATGAAGACGGGCATATGCCATGCAGTTTGCTATGAGGAAAATTTTGCCTGTCAATGTGTACACAGGACCTTGGTTTTTTTTTTATCCCATCCGTATGACTAGACATCTGTCCTGTATCATTGACATGGGGAAACCACGGTGGAAAAACCTGGGGAACTTTACAGCCAACACAGGGATCTAACCACACCACGATGAAACCCTGGTTAGTCAACCGGGGCCATTTAACTGAGCCACTAGAGCTCTCTAGAGTTAAAGATGTTAAAGGAGAAATATCTTACCTCATACATCTGTTTTAACGTTGTTAATACGGTCTTCTGCCATGGAGGATACGTTTTAGCAACCCAGATAGTTCCATGGGAGGGATTAATCGCTACTTTCTGAAATCAAATATCATATATTAAGATGGATGATACATACTTTTATTTATAATCTCATCGTGTCATTTTAGCTATAGAAAGAATCCCTTGAAAACTACAATATTAACACAAGGTACAATTTTATGGATATACAATTACTGAGTTTAATACTAAGCGACGTTTCGACGAGTATACTCTCATCTTTATCAAACAAATGATGTTCAATTACTAAATGCCAATCAAAGAAGATACAATATTAAGATAGATGAATCTCTAATAAGGAATGATCAGTCCAATAATGGTTCAAGTCCATTCAGTATTTACAAATATTCATCAATCGATTCTATGTGCTACTTGCTTTATAATAAGCTCCCCGCCATTTTGTTTTGAGCAAACAGAAATTATAGGCCTTTTCTAAATCTGATTGATTCCAAGATAGTAGGTTATCTAGCGATAGTATTTTGATTTTATTTTCTTAATTAAATGTTAAATAATTAATTTGAGTATATATTAGCGGAGATTAAGTCGTGATAAATTTGATATTTTAGCAGAAAAAGCCATGCAAAGCATCGAAATATGCCCACACAGCAGCTTTTTCTCGAAAAAACAGATAAACCACAGACAGCAGCTTATCCAAAAGGAAAACTTGGTTTTTACCAAAGATTCTTTATGCCTTCAAAAAACCTAATCTCTATCATGTTGATAAACTTGGCAAAAATCTGTTAAAAACTCGAGTATCACAAGCTAAATATTGACTGATGGACGGACGAACGGACAGACAGGGTGACAACTATTTATACCCTAACTATGTGTAGGTGTATAAAAAATGAATTACCTACCTTTCCTTTTCCTGGTGCCATGGCTGATTTTAATCGTAGTCTAAATGAATGAGTAGCTTCTTGTAGATATAGAGACGATTGGACTAACATTTCATCAACAGGTCCACCTGCTGGCCATGATGCCCTTAATATACTTTCCTTCTATTAAACAATAAAATTAAAATATTTACCCAATACTGCTTTTATTATACTAGCTGTCTATTAAACAATAAAATAAAATGACGGCAGGACGATTTACCAAATATCATCCAACAGAAATGAAATGAAATGTGGTTTTATGGCACGTCAGCACTAACCGGGCTATATTGATCACCCAACGGTAACCTAACCCAACGGCTTCTTAGCCTATGCAGAAAATGGTCATCACCGAACTCAGACATAGCAACCATTTACACCTGTGCTCATTAAATATTCTCTTTCTATTAGAACGGAACGGAACGGAACGGAACGGAACAGGGGTTCAATGTCTCTTCAACATGTGGGATCTTTGTTGACTTTCATCCATCAATGGGTCTTTTACAAGCACGTCAATGTTTGCTCGAGTGGTGGACCTCATATTAGTTCCATTCAAATTACTAGGCACATATTCCTTGTCAGTCTCACCTACGCCACCTCTGACAATTAAAGGAGCTGACCTTGTAAAATAATTCCTGATTGCTAGGTACCACAGCTTCCCCTCCTTCAATCAAATAGTATTTATATGACCTTACCTCTCCTAATAAACTCCAGATATGTTCACACGTGTGAGGACAGATGGGACTCAGTATTAAGATCTGATCACGTATAAATCGCAGAACCAAGTCTATATGCATGCCTTTAATTTCTATTTCTCTATACGTATCGCGTAAAGCCTAAAATATAAAACAAATATACTGGAGAATCAAGTCTATATGTAATGGATAAAGTCTGTTATATAAAAAACACTGGAGAATCAAGTCTATATGTATCACCTTATGTAAGCCTGTAATATAGAACAGTAAACTGGTAAATCAAGTCTAGATGTAATGGGTAAAGCTTGTAATATAAAAAAAATGCTGGTAAATCAAGTCTATTTGTATCACATAAAACAATAAACACATTTACTAAAATAAAGCTGCTTTACAGACATTTTCTAATCCACATTAAATGATTTAAATAAGAAACATATCAACAATAGTTAATTAATATCATTTAAATTTAATTTTGGGCATTTTGTTTTTAGCAGATTCAAAGAAAACTCTGCACTTTTACACTAAGCTCGAAAATCAGAGTTTTTAATATCAGTCATAGATCTATTGTTTAAAGATACATGATGTAAGATTTAGATAAAGGGCTGGGCGTTCTTGCTGTAATAGCGCAAAAATAGATATTGGAAAATGAAAATATTGAAAATTCATTCAAATTACATCATTTTGAGCCAAGTTATCACTTTTTGTAGTTTTGACAAGATGTGTGCATTGTGGTAACCACGGCACTGGTATATTCCAGACATAACCCCATTTTCCCATTTTTAAATCAAATCTTTAAATGGCGAAGTGTTCTAATCTAGTTAAAATCTCGAGTATCCAATGCCATCAAGAGTTGATTATGGTCTTTTTTCGTTTATAAATGTCTAATTAATAGTTTATATAACATATCAGGCCTAAAGAAAGACCTGAATTAGGCAGATTAAGCTCTTGCATAAGGTATGTTTAATTAGAGGTAGATTCAAATCAACACATTTATAACAATTCATCGCATTACAACATCATTAAAAAAAACAACAAATATTTGATCTAACCTGAAATTCAAAGAAACCTGATCGAAGTGCTTCTTTAAATAAATAACCTTGATAATATTCTTTCGTTGATTGTATAGCTTTATTCATTTCACTGAAAAATATCAAATATATCTTATTAAACATTTCACATTATTGGGATACTCAAGGCCTCAGGTTGTTTTTGTATCTAAGGGGTTGCACATCAGATCTGTCTGACTAACCTTGTTGGTGATGTTCAAGGTCCTCAGTTTCCTCCTACTGCTAAAGACCCCCGCATGTTACAGGGAGCCACGGTGGCTAAGTGAGTAAGATGCTGACTCGCTAGTCTGGAAGTCAAGGTTACGATGATGACCGAGAAAGTTGATCAGGATTTTCCCACATGGTTTCCCTGACCAGTACAGGTGTCTAGTCATTCGAATGGGACAGAAAAATGAGGTCCCGTGTACACATTGGGAGTTGGTATAAGAGTATGCCATAGCGCTGCTGTCCGGGCAAAATTTCCCTACTAGCACACTGTATGACGTATGCCCAGTCGAAGCAGAACAGTAGGACGTTAAACCAAATTTCATTTCATTTACCCCTGCATGTTAGATCCAAAATGACCTAATTTGTGTTCAGTGGACTTATCTGCACGTATTGTTTTTACGTACCTAATAAAAACTTTATCATTGAATGTATATTCACTGGCTGGTCCAGAACGGAACGTATCTTTAGTACTCAATACTTCTTTTACCCAATCCAGGAACGCATACAGACGTAACAAACCAGCATCAGCCATCTTCTCTACGAAGTTAGCATCTTCTATACTATCGCCAGCATCAGCCAACGAGAATCTCATACCTGTAGATCAAGATACAATTACAGTGAACCATACACTCACATCAGACGTTAGTTACGCTAGCAAAACTTGTATATTAAAAATCACTAGAATTTTCATTGACTGTAAGTCAGCAAAGGGCCATAATTCAGTTAAAAATAGATGGAAGTCCACACAATATGCTCTTGATTGATTATCCAGCAGTGTACATACCTTGAATTAAATACTGTGAAAATTAACCTAAAGGAATTCTGGAAAACTGAATCTTTATGGATTTTTAGTAAATAAAGGGCCATTATTCCGTAAAATGCAAAACATAAACTTGATCAGCTATATACAAGTTATAGTCCCTGTAGTTTCAGGGGTTAACAACTCATAGTTCCTGTAGTTTCAGGGGTTAACAAGTTTTAGTCCCTGTAGTGTCAGGGGTTAACAACTTATAGTTCCTCTAGTTTCAGGGGTTAATAAGTTATAGTTCCTCTAGTTTCAGGGGTTAAGGACTTATAGTCCCTCTAGTTTCAGGGGTTAACAACTTACCATCAGCAGAGAATTTTTGTAGAGCATCAGATAAAGTTAAATAATTGCCTGTTGATTTGGACATCTGTAAAAAAAACATGTAATAAATCATATTTATTATATTCATTAAAGATACATTATGTACGATTTAGAACAAGAGCTGACCGTTCTCGCTTTAAGGGCGTTGAGTACACTAAAATTCACATTTCAAAGATAGCACTGTAATTTTTGTTGATAAGATATGACATTTTTTGTTACTTGGGGTGGTAAACTACAAATTGTTCACCAAAAGAATACTTCAGTTCACTACTCCGCCACTCTCAAAATCATTTCATGCATTCAAAAATGGTAGAGTTCGACCATTAAAATAATAAATTCAGCGATGTTCCAGTCATGATAGATGGTAGACATCGATTCTCGCATTGTAGAGGGAATTCATGTGATATCTTTGATCAAAATGGCTTCGATGGACGAAGATTGTTTACTGCCGATCACATGATGGATGTGTACAACGTCATAATTTATTCAACAATTGATCTAGGTTTGGAAACCATTTCATGTGCTATAAATAGCTCTTTTCTTTTCGCTTGTATCTCCATTATTACACAACGGGGTTATTTTACAAATGGAACAGGTATGCAAATGGTCTGCAAGAGATGGACAGGGAACAAGCTAAAAAAAAAACCCTGATTTTTAGTACAATCAATGACCATAATCCATGAAGTTACGATCCAATATATACCAATATCGAAAGAACCAAGATCTTTGGGATATAACCTTATATTTCAAGTTTCATGATTTCTGTGTAAACAATTCATACCTTCTCTGAATTTAACAACAAATGTCCATTAGCACGAATTCCTTTTGGCCATTTAGAACTAAAAAAAAAACAAACAATAAAAATATTGTGTATTTTATCTTTAAAGATACATTATGGGAGATTCGATAACGAGTTGGCAGTTCTCACTATAATAGTTAAAAACTAGATAATGTAAAGGCAATTTGCTAAAAAATCTCAGTCAAATTGATCCACCCTGAACCGAGAATTTGGCGACTGAATTTTCGGCCTAGCCTCGATCATCATTACTAAAGTTGGTACAATAAAAAACATAGTCTCAATTATCCATTTCATGATTTAATCATGAATGAAAGTTGAGCAGCAAATCCGATCCTAATCCAGTAAATATTGCAGGCTAGCGATGACATCGAGAGTTAATAAATGTCTTATTAATAGTTTAGATAACATTTCAGGCCTAAAGAAAGACCTGCAATAGGTAGGGTGCCCACCATAAATAAATATCTCCAGATATCTTGACAATTACACCACAATATCTATATATACACCAAGCCTTAAATCAATTTCGCACATTTATAGTCACTAAATAAACGGTCATGTTGTACTTATTAAGCTATGACCATTTAACCATCCATACATAATAGACTGAAAGATGGTTACGAGTGTCGGCCATAACATCCGAGCACATGTGAGTAAAAAATAGGTTACGTGCCCTTGTTTTGAAAGTATTCTCGCTTAACCAGTCTACCGATCATTCTATGTTTGATTAACAGGCGGGGATAATCAAGACTACTTTTTTTACGAAACATGACAGAAAACTGGAACAATAAATTGAATTTAGAAACACGCACGTTAGGCCACTCAACAAATGTTTTAAGAACCTTGTAAAAGTAAAATGAAACTACTGCTAGTATCATGGTCTTGCCCAACCCAAGTATTTCAGAGATATTATTTGTACTAAACCAAAAAATGATAAAACAATTTAAAAAATAAAACGAAAGTAATTTCTAAAGCTGTTGTAATAACCAATAAGCTAAATATTACTGCTATTCAGAATCGTCAACAATAGATTTTTTACGGCTGTAATAGTTGATAGAAGTGTAGAAAATTGCACGTGCGATGGCTATTTATAGTATCATAGAACTCTACCGCTGAGTGCGTAGTGTAAGCGAGAAATCACAGAAGCGTGTACATTCGCCGTGCCGCGACCAACTTTCTGTATGGTGCACGGGTCACACTACAATAGGCAGATTTAGCTCTTGTATAATGTGTGTTTAAAGTAGCAAGACATTAAAGATACATTATGTAAGATTTAGATAAAGAACTAGCTATTCTTGCTATAATAGTTCGAAAGTAGATGATGTAAAATGAATAATTTGAAAATTTCATTCAAATTACTCTATTGCAAGTGAAGATATTAGCCTTTGAAGGTTTGACAGACGTGTGCAATAATTTCAACCACCGTACTGGTTGATCGAAGCTAAGTCTCAGTCCTCCATATTTGATTAAATCAAAGTATCGCTGAACCATTCTAATCTATTTAATATCGGAGAAATCTGATGCCATCGAGAGTTGATTAAGGCCTGGATCAGTTAATTAATGTCTAATTAATACTTTAGAAAACATTTCAGGCCTAAAGAAAGAAATGCAATAGGCCGATTTAATTTTTATATAAGGCCACACAAACAAAAATATTCTGGTTCTCGGGCAATTCTTACAAAAAAATAACATAGGAGGGAGGTTTTTACTTTGTCAAAGGATCACTATGGGAGTAAATGGCTCCTCATAAACGCTATATTTCAAGCCACTATAATTTAACTCATTGTGTTGTTTTATTTGAATGTATGATTATCCAGTATCATTTGTGGTTTTCATTAACATTTAACAGGATTGCGTACTTGATAATTGAGCCTAAAGCACATTTTTGTGTTGATTTATTTGAATGTATGATTATCCAGTATCATTTCTGGTTGTCATTAACATTTAACAGGGTTGAGTACTTGATAAATGAGTCTAAGCCACATTTTTGGTTTTATAAAGTTACTTCCTGTACAGGCAGTAAAAAATAAATATAGAGTTACTTCCTGTACAGGCAGTAAAAAATAAATATAGAGTTACTTCCTGTACAGGCAGTAAAAAATAAATATAATCATATCAGTTTTTAAGTGATTCAGGAGAACCTGGGAACTAGAATATTTTTTCTATATGGCCTCATATATTTTTACGTACATTTTGTTTTTAAATATTCTTCTCCTAAGAAATAAGACTCAAAATTTTAATAGTTCAAATTTACATTTTACCTATCATCCGGCCAGATAGCACAGTGATTGTATATCTTACCTATCATCCGGCCAGATCGCACAGTGATTATATACGAAATATGTTAAATGATTTGGTATTAAATCTTTCCCCGAGGCTCGTACATCAACAGGATACCAATAATTAAACTCGTTCTTCAGTTGATTTAACGTAGTTTTTGGTATCTTGGTATTTTTAGGAAATGGTGCCGATTTAAAGAAGATATAATCCCAAACTTCATCCGTCATCTGTTCAGCTCTAAAACATACAAATAAACATTTCAACCAATCACCCCCAAAAAACCCTTTAATATAAAGATACATGATGTCAGATTTATATATATATAGAGAGAGAAATGGGGTTTAATGTCTACTTGAATTAGTCATTTCGGGACTAACACATGGTCGAATTATTATTTCAATAATTCGCTTGCGCATAGGGGTCTTAGTGTGGCAAGAAACCGGAGGGCCCGAAGAAAACCCAGAAGGTTGGACAGGCGACCCTACTCCTTGTCACGTACAACCAGGGAATCGAAACCACGCCAGTTGACTCAATGACAGACCTTATGATACAGCATGCACGTGCTAACCATTCGGCCATCCAACCCCCCTTTAGATAAAGAGCTGCCCGTTCTTGCTATAATAGTTCAAAATACATAATGAAAATTACAGTCAATTAACTTTATTCTCCGTGACGTTATGAGTGTTTAAAGGTTTGACAAGTTAGTCTTGATTGTCAAGTACCATTGCTATGATAAGAAATAATGTCTTGATTATCCAGTTTATTTAATGTGTTCTTATCCATTAGATTTCAAGAAATCACCAAGAACTTCAGTTTAGAAGATTGTGGATATTATTTCAATTTTAGACACAAGTGCATTGGGTCGAGTGGTTTGACTCTGTTTGGGTTGGTACTTGGTTTGACTTGGTACCCAGGTTTCACTTAATATGAGTTGGTACCCGATTTGAGTCAAGAGTGTGTACGCAGTTTGACTCTGTCAGAGTCAGTACTAGGTTTGATCCAGTTTGAGTCGGTAACTGGATTGATGCGTTTAAAGTTGGTACCCAGTTTGACTTGGTTCAAGTCGATACACCATCAAGAGTTGCTACCTGGTTTGACTCAGCCAGATTTGGTACTTGGTGTGACTCAGTCAGTCGGTGACCGTGGTTGACTCAGTTCATTGTGTATGGGATTTCAGTGAAAACGCATCAATATCATTTCTATTTGGTTTCCATCTGATATGGACCTAATACTATAACAGCTGAGAATCAATTTATTATTTTGCTTCACTCTTTGAAACCTTGTCTTTATGAAACATTGTCTTTATAAAACATTGTCTAAATAAAACATTGTCTTGATGAAACACTGTCTCTTTATGAAACCATCTCCTCACTCTGGTACCTGTAATGTCTGTGATTCTATTGATAGTATTAAAACATGTCTGATATAACTAAAATCTCTAGACCTGTATCTATACTAATATTTGTGACTGTCGTTTGTCTGTCTGTCTGTTTGGGGTAGGCGGCAACACTAGTTCTGCCCCGAGTCTCAAATTTGGGGTATAGGGGTAGCTCGGACCGGGGAGTAACATAGGCCAGGTGGCGTTAGTCTACCACTTCCGGTTTCAGAGTTATGACCCCTGAGCGAAGCCGGGTATCCTGCTAGTATAATCATAAACTGTACCATATATAAAACTGTTAAACTATAATATATTACTTGATATTAGCTGGTCCTGGTTTACTACCATCAACAACACCACCTTGTAATAAATGTGCTACCGTATAGAAAGACATGTAAATCGTAGAATCAGACAGAGATTCTATCAAATACTGTGGATCCCATGGCAACTTGGTACCTGAAATAAATAAATAAATAAACAAAGGACAGGTGTAATACCGTTACCCAAGAAATTGAATACAATGGTGAAGTCGGATTCATTTTGACATTATCTGCATGATTACTGTGTAACTCATTTCTGTTACTTTACAAACCAAATCCACATAAAGATAGGGGGTCGTGGTGGCTAGCCCGGAGGTCACATGTTCGATCCCTGCATTGGCAGAAAAAGTTCATTCAGACTTTCTGGAATGGTTCTCCCTTCTCAGTTATATTTGATGGAAATAATTCTTTATTGTTTCATCATCTTTTTTTGTTAAATTATCTAATTTTTCAGTCTAATCCATGGTACTCAAATTGCTAGTTTAACATTTAATATATGTCATTGATAGAGGACCGCCCATTTAATCCAAACATTTCATAGGTGGCGCCAGCTTGTGTTGACTATTTCATCTGCAGTGGATACCGAATGTTGACAAAGAAAGAAAGAAAGGGAAATGGGGTTTAACATTGGGACTAACATGTGATTCAATTTTATTTCAACAATTTTCTTGCGTGTAGGGGTCTTTAGCAGTGGGAGGAAATCAGAGGACCTGGAGAAAACCCTTGAGGTTGGACAGGCGACCCCACTCCTTGTCACGTACAACAGAGGAATCGAAACCACGCCAGTTGACTCAATGACAGACTTTATGATACAATGCGCACAAGCTAACCATTCGGCCATCCAACCCACCGAATGTTGACAAATTTTCATCATATGTGTGTAAATAGTGAACAGAATTCAACCATTTATTGGACTGATAATATTCCTGTTAGAGATCCAACTTTCACAACATTGTTGTATGTACGGGGATTTTTCCATCCCTCAAATCACATTCAGCTGCGTTATTCAAGAACCAAAATATATCTTTATATGTCGTGATATATTTACCTAATTCGTACGATCTAGAACATATCTTAATCCATACGATCTAGAACATATCGTGATATATTTACCTAAACCGTATGATCTAGAACATGCATACTCGTGCAACCAATTTACAGTAGCGATTAAATTATTCTTGGTATCTTCTAAAAACGTCTCCATCTTCTGTATAGATGACAGTGTCTGTTTCTTCCATTCCTCTTCACCGTAATCTAAATACCTGTAGTCAACCATTTTAATTTATATAAGTAATAAAACAGACAACAAGCCAAACTGTTCACACAAATTTTACAAGTCAAATATATTTTAACAAGCGCGCGTTGCATTATAATGTCTGTCATTGAGTCAAGTCTCATGGTTTTGATTCCCCGCTTGTACGTGACAAGGAGTAGGGCGCATCTCCAACCTCTTTGGTTTTCACCAGGTCCTCCAGGTCACTTGTGTTGTTTCAATATATTACGCAATGTCTCGCTCTCGACCAATCAACCATACATAAAGTCCAGTAATTGTTTATTATCCCTCAATAGTTAGTGTCTTGTATATTAAACAGAATATATTATATAGTTTACTTACCACTGATCACATAAAGCTACATGAGAATATATTATATAGTTTACCTACCATTGATCACATAAAGCTACAACACATTCATCAGCTGATCGTGACATCACCAACTTCTCTGGTTCTTGATAAATAACGGCTTCATTCTAATAAATATACATTATATACTTTAACTATAGATAGATCTAATATTACATACTTCAACTATAGATAGATCTAATATTATATACTTCAACTATAGATAGGTCTAATATTACATACTTCAACTATAGATAGATCTAATATTATATACTTCAACTATAGATAGGTCTAATATTACATACTTCAACTATAGATAGGTCTAATATTATATACTTCAACTATAGATAGGTCTAATATTACATACTTCAACTATAGATAGATCTAATATTATATACTTCTGACAGAGATCGAGATAAGCCAGAAATCACAAATGGCTCTGGTGTCTGTCATTCTGTCTAGCTAACAAGGAACAGTCCTACTCACATGTCGGAACAGTCCCACTAACGTGTCGAAACAGTCCCAATCACGCGTCGGAACAGTCCTACTCCTGCGTCGGAACAGTTCTACTCATGCGTCGGAAAAGTTCTACTCATGCGTCGGAAAAGTTCTACTCATGCGTCGGAACAGCTCTACTCATGCGTCGGAACAGTTCTACTCATGTGTTGGAACAATCGTACTCACATGTCAGAACAGTTACTCATGTTGAATATGAGACAGATATCTACTTCCGTCAACGTAATCAGATTGTTGTCATGGTATTCTTGCTACTGTAGCTAATATTATATAACACCTGGTTATAGACCATTCCCAAGATCTGACATGTAAAAACATGGCATCGAATCTATCTTGGGACCATTTTGACTCTTGAATACTCCTGTGTACTTTTATAACTTGTCTCAGACATGATGCATGAGGATATTATTATTGTTGATAAATAAAACAAATAAATAAAACTTACTCGATCAATCATTTCTTTCTGGATTGTTTTCTTCACATCTTTAACTTTCTTTCCTTCATAACCCTTTACTACTAATACCTATATAAATATACACAACCCTTTACTACTAATACCTGTATAATATAAATAACACTTTACTACTAATACCTGTATAAATATACTTTTATAATATACCTGTATAAATATACTTGTATTACTACTAATACCTGTATAAATATACTTTTATAATATACCTGGGCCCTTATTCACGAAAACTTAAACTAAGTTACAACCGTAATTTTAAGAAATACTGCAACTTCATTGGATATATGCATATTGATTTTACTGGTCAGCCAATCGAATTGCAGTATTTCTTAAAATTTCGATTGTATCTTAGTTTAAGTTTTCGTGAATAAGGGCCCTGTATAATATACACAACCCTTTACTACTAATAACTGTATAAATATAATCATATAGACCTTTCTATCTTACCCCTTCATAAAAACCTTTCATATAGACCATTTCTTTAGCTTCCTGTAATTTATCTCTATCATTCTGACTCTGTATCTTCAAGTTTTCACAAGCTGTTACTGCTGATAGAGTTCCAAATTCTGGTACATCTATAATAGGTACCTACAAGTAGAAATAGTAAAATTAATTTATATCAATAATATAGGCTTCACATGTTTTCAGATCCATTGCATATACTCATATCATGCTTGAAATAAAATATTGTTTAAACCAAGTAGCAATCATTGATAAACACTGGTTACCAAGTAGCAATCATTGATAAACACTGGTTACCAAGTAGCAATCATTGATAAAGACAGGTTACAAAGTAGCAATCATAATATAAGAAAGACAACTCACTGGTTCAAAAGGTAAAACCATTTCATCTTTAATACCATATTTCTCTCTCAAAGCCTACAAAAATAATTTATATTTACATTTAACAAACGTAATTACACAAATAATTTACATGCATGCTTAAAGCTGCTTGATTTGATATTAGTTGTTGCAATATCAGTGTAGTTTGTGTCTTGTCCGCAGGTTTGCCTTGTCCGGTTCGTATGTGTATCGTGCGGTCCTCCTGCACTTACTATTTACAAGTTATGGCTTAATGCCACAAAATTAGCAATGTGCTGTGAGTTTCAAGTGATGGGTGATGTGGTAGTCTTGAAGTTCTAGACTTCAATATCCCAGGTTTGTGGGTGACGTAGCAGTCTTGTAGCTCTAGACTACAATATCCCAGGTTTGTGGGTGACATGACTTGTTGCTCTAAACTACAATATCCTAGGTTCGAAACCCATCATGGGTTGAGACGAACCTTTGGAATTTTTCAAACCCAGCCGTCATTTTTCGTGGGTGGCACCTATTGGGTGAAACAGGAATGATGTAGTCGTTTGATTGGGATAAAAAAAATCTAGGTCCACCCTATGTACACATTCGCTTGCACGTTAAAAGAAAGCCTTACAAATGTAAGAAGAGTAGGCAGAAATCTGCTGCCTGGGCAAAATTTGCATTGCAGATGACAGGTGAAATGATGAGAGATTATTTGTGAAAACAATGCTCGACACTTACCTCTTTTTTCTTCAGATCTCGTAAAGCTGCGAAATCATCGGGAGCATCGGACGGTACGCTGGTTACTACTCCAGTACCTGGTCAATTATAAATATAACTCATAGTTGATATATCTATCAAAATATATATTCACCTAGCTGATATAATACTCAAACTATACTCTCACCTTGCTGATATAATACTCAAACTATACTCTCACCTAGCTGATATAATACTCAAACTATACTCTCACCAAGTTCGATCATAATAAAGAAATATTAACAAACTTGCTTATTGTTGATAAAAGCAATTTTTATGCAAATATAGTCACGGCATGAACATAACTTTATCTTATGGGAATTAAATGATGATGATGTGAACATTCCCTTATCTTATGGGAATTAAATGATGATGATGTGAACATACCCTTATCTTATGGGAATTAAATGATGATGATATGAACATACCCTTATCTTATAGGAATCAGACAGTGTGAACATACCTTTATATTATAAGAATGAGACAGTGTGAACATACCTTTATCTTCTTTAATAGTTAACATGGGTAATGTATAGATGACTTTATAGGATGTTAATGGACCAGATAGTTTGATACCAAGTATATCCTGTAATAATAAAACACATATAAAACTATTTATCAGAAGGAGAATTAGATTTATAACATGTCCTGGGATACAATTAAGACAATCACACAGCTAGAGAAAATCACACTACTTGTGAACATCCTATCTTAATCTTTGAATCAGGGGTTGACGAGTTTGATTACTGTTTACAGGTATATTGTTTCTACGAGGAGGCGGGGTCTAAATGGTAGGAGGAGGTGGGGTCTAACTGGTAGGAGGAGGTGGGGTCTAACTGGTAGGAAGAGGCGTGGTCTAACTGGTAGGAGGAGGTGGGGTCTAACTGGTAGGAGGAGGTGGGGTCTAACTGGTAGGAAGAGGCGTGGTCTAACTGGTAGGAAGAGGCGTGGTCAAACTGGTAGGAAGAGGCGTGGTCTAACTGGTAGGAGGGGGTGGGGTCTAACTGGTAGGAAGAGGCGTGGTCTAACTGGTAGGAGGAGGCAGGGTCTAACTGGTAGGAGGAGGCAGGGTCTAACTGGTAGGAAGAGGCGTGGTCTAACTGGTAGGAGGAGGCAGGGTCTAACTGGTAGGATGAGGCGTGGTCTAACTGGTAGGAGGAGGTGGGGTCTAACTGGTAGGATGAGGCGTGGTCTAACTGGTAGGAGGAGGTGGGGTCTAACTGGTGAATATCAAGTAAACAAACACTTTTCCGTTCTGTAAGCAATCCTGCTCCTCGTCATCTAGCTTGCAATCGACACCACACCACTTAAAGACTCAATGACACACCTAATGATCTAAAGAGCATGCTTGTGACCCCATCCCAACCAATAGCCCCAGATTTAAAGAGCATGCTTGTGACTCCATCCCACCCAATAGCCCCAGATTTAAAGATACTAAATGTGACAAGTCTTTGTAATCAAATCTGTATTAAAATACAGATCTATATTTCGTTTCGTTTTTTTTAGTACTTTCGATGGCCTACATGAAGATCTGACCAGTTGTTATGGGAGGTCGCATCAGAGGTAGTTTTTGACCCTATGACATATGACAATCAATAAACCAATCAGAGTAGATGTTTCTAGTGGGATAGCCTGTATTTACCTGTCCTATCAGCTCCACTAAGATATCAACTTGACCGTTATTTTTCGTAAACCCCTGATAACTCATGTTACGTGCCGATCTGGCTGTACAGACGAACACCTCATCTTTAACAACATCCACCGCAACATATCTCATATCGGGTCGAACCCAACAATTCGTCTGACCAAACATAGTTTCTGGTCGTAATGTAGCAGCCACCAAATAAATCTTCTTCTTACTCAACGATCTACAGATAACAAAAATATAATACCTTCAATTCCCCCAAAATAAAAAAAATCGTAAAAAAACATGAAATACAAAAAGTTCCAACACACCCGTGGTCTGGTAAATGTGGAGAGAAGAGAGAGAAATGGGGTTTAACGTCCACTCGACACAAACTAGGTCATTTCGGGACTAACATATGGTTCAATTTTATTTCAATAATTCGCTTGCACGTAGGGGTCTTTAGCAGTGGGAGGAAATCGGAGGACCCAGAGAAAACCCACGAGGTTGGATAGTAAATGTGGAAGAGACATCAAAAGAAGGATTTGGCAAGGAAAGAGAGAGAGAAATTAGGTTAAACGTCCACTCGACACAAACTAGGTCATTACAGGACTAACATATGGTTCAATTTTATTTACATAATTCACTAGTGCGTATGGATATTTAGCAGTAGTAGGAAACTGCAGGACCCGGAGACAACCCACGAGGCTGGAAATAAAATGAAAGGGGGTTTAACGTCCTACTGTTCTCCTCCTAAACTGGGCTAATGAAGACGGGCATACGCCATACAGAGGGAAATTTTGTCCAAGCAGCGGTGCTTTAACTCAGTTGTACTTGATTCAGTTGTACTTACTGTACTAAGTTGTTCTTACTTTAACTTAGTTGTATTTACTTTTAATTTATTTGTATTTAGTTTTAATTTAGTTGTACTTACTTTAATTTGGGAGGTAAAGGTTCCAATACTCGTAGTTTAATTAAAGTATATTCTTGTGGTCCAACACCCTACAATATAAACCATATCAATAACAATTTCATCTATTGTCTAACAGTTTTTACGATATGGGCAGGGACAGTTGTTTTATAGTACTGTAGAACTTCGACAACTCATCAGATCACCCCAAACCGCCTGACGCTTGCACAGCTGAGATGGGCGCGAATAGCTATTCACATATTTTGGAAGGTTTGAGGTTTTGAAGTGTTTTGATTGGATTAAAAACTGAGCTCCTGTGTGCACGTGTACATCACGGAACCCGTGACACGGAACCCTTGACACGGAACCCTTGACAGTAGGAAGTATATATACAAGTAGGACATAGCGTTGACTCAATGACACAAATAATGATACAATGCACTTCGGCCATACAACCCACCACAATATAGTACAATAAGTAGAAACAAATTGATATGTAACAGACCTCTCCTGAAGATCTGTCATGGTCCATACAGGGCTGCCCATCTTTAGGAGAAAAAATTGTATATCTGAAAAAATATATGTATCAATTAAAAAAGAAGTCATTTTGAAATATATACGTAATAAATTACTTGTGTCCATGTTATCCTTGAATGTAACTGATCCAGTCATTCAGCTGACTATAAAGGTCCATTACCTCCCTTTCATTCTATAAATAGAGGTTGCCAGGACGTCACCTGCACCCACCACAGTATGGTTCTTTGCTTGATTTTATACAACATCCAGAAGCTTTTTTGTCTCCAAGCTTTTTTTATTATCCCTGTCATGTACAAGCGGGAAAGGAAACCACACCACTTGACTCAATGACAGTCCTAATGATACAGCGCCCACCCGTTAACCATCCGGCCACCTACGCCCCCCCCCTAGTCCTTACAGCACACTGAAAGGGGAGAAAGAAATGAAATGAAATGGGGTTTAACGTCCTACTGTTCTGCTCCTATGCTGGGCTAATGAAGACGGGCATACGCCATACAGTGTGCTATGAAGGAAATTTTGCCCGGGCAGCGGCACTATCGCCTACTCTTAAATCGAATTCCAACTGCCAAGGGATTTTTTACGTGCATTCTAATGTATACACGGGACCTCGGTTTTTCGTCTCTTTCGAAAGACTAGACAGCTGTCCTTGTCAGGCCCTCCATCCTGCATCACTGACAAGGGGGAACCACGCCGGAAAATATGGATGAACTTTCTCGGCCAATGCAGGGATCGAACACCCGACCTCCAGGCTAGCGAGCCAGCACCTTACCCACTTACCCACGTGATCCCCCAGGTGAGAAAGAGAAATGGGGATTAACGTACACTCGTCAGAAACTACTTAGAAATTCACTTGCTCGTAGAGATAACCGGAGGACCCTACTCCTTGTCACGTACAAACAGGAAATTGAAACCATGCCACTTGACAAAATGGCAGACATTATGATCCAAAACCAAAGATCCGATTCAGCTCCACAAACTCCAACCATATGTTAGTCCCAAAATGATCTAATCTGTGTCGAGTGGATGTTCAATCCCATCTATCTCTCTCTCCCTAAACTGAAAAATTCCACGTACCGTTTACCAAACTTGATCTTGTCACGAGCTTTAAGATGGTTGAACTGCCATCGTACAAATGAATCATAATAAGGGTTAGCGTCAGTTGTTATAAACGATCTTCTCCAATCCACCTGTAAAACCAAACAAAATAAATAAACATATCATATTATTTTTTATTTTGAGATTTAACAGAATTCTAGACATGACATCTGATTATTTAAAGGTACATTATGTTAGATAACAAACTCGTTGTTCTTGTTGAAAACTTCATTCAAATTACTTTATATTCGGTTTGTAGTTTTGACAAGAATGGTTAGCGTGTGTACATTTGATCACACAGTCTGTTATTGAGTCAACTGCTGTGGTTCTGATTCCCCGCTTGTATGTGACGAGGAGTAGGGTCACCTGTCCAACCTCGTGGGTCCTCCTGTTTCCTTCCCACTGCTAAAGACCCCAATGTGCAATAATTGAAATAAAATTGAACCATATGTTAGTCCTGAAATGACCTAGTTTCTGTCTCTCTCAGTACCAACTGGAATGCATGCACCATGCAGTGTAGTATGCTGGGAATCTGCCCCGACATTTCTGCCTTTTATTCATCAAAAACAAATTGCCAAAGGATCTTTTACTTGCACATCAATATGCACATTGATGAATCTCTGTTTTTTAGTCCCAATTTCTTGGCATACCCAAGGAATCGTATCTGGGATCTCCTGGTCAGCGAGCCATGGCCAGTGCCTTACTCATTGTACTGCAGTGGCTTACAGACAAAGATAAAGGATTGTACAAGCTTTATGGAATTAAACCAGGGTGGGTACATCACTTACCTTAATTCCTATCCCAGTCAGGTCATTAATAGCATGAGGTGGGTTCATCTCTTACCTTAATTCCTATCCCAGTCAAATCATTGATAGCATGAGGAGGCTACATCTCTTACCTTTATTCCCATCCCAGTCAAATCATTGATAGCATGAGGTGGAAAATACTTCAACCAATGCATGGGATCAGCAAATTCAGTGATTTCATCATCTGATAATCCTAGAGCCTTCATTATCATCCACTGATATTTTAACCCTCCTGTTTTAGCCAAAACTTTACCCTAAACAAATATATAACAACAGATTAGAATGACATGGAAGAGTTCTGTCAGTAACACATGATGTAATAAACTCCCTCTCTCTATCTCCCTCACTCTATCCCTTTCTCTCTCTCCTTTCTATCCACCACCCCCATCTCTTTCTATCCACCACCCCCATCTCTTTCTATCCACCACCCCCATCTTTTTCTATCCACCACCCCCATCTCTCTCTTTCCTCCTCTCACTATCCTCCCCTATCTATCCTCCTCAATCTCCCTCTCTCTGTATCTCCTCTCTCTCCATCTCCCTTTATCTCCACCACCCCCTCCCCGATCTCACTGCATCCACCACCAACCCATCTTTCTCTATACTCCTCTCTTTATCTCCCCCCTCTCTCTCTATACTCCTCTCTCTATCCTCCCCCCCTCTCTCTATTGCCCTCTCTGTATTCCCCCTCCCTTTTTCTATCCACCCCTCATCTCCTCCTCTCTCTCTATCTCCCCTCTCTATCTCCACCCTCTAAGCTCTCTATCTCCGTATCTCCACCTCTATCTCTATCTTTGCCCCCCCCCCCTCTCTGAATCCCTCTCCAACTTGAGTCAATCATTTGAGTTATGCACAAGACTTCTGTGAGTAATAGACCAATGGACAGACATTCCCTGTGGGTGATTGTAAAAGCTATATTTCTATTGGATGTTTACAGTACACAACTTAGAACAAGATTTGACATGTGTTAAGAAAAAAAGCGAATGTGGTAAAAATATGTAATACAGAATATAAAACAAAAAAAAAACTGACTTAAATAATAGTCAGTTGTTTCTGACTTATTGAATAAATCCAAAAGGTCAAGGTCAATCTAGTGACCTTTATAAATAAGTTTAATAATAGATCAATAATTCTATCAAATAAAACATTCTAATAAAATTGAATTGATTTTACCTTTTTTCTTTTCGATTTATCAGCAATGACGGACTCAACATCTTTCTTTACTACTTCTGTTACTTCCTCTTCTACAGGAAATACTGGCGGGAAACCAAACGTCTCCATTTCTCTCTTTAGTTTATCAGAACATGCCTAGAATAATAAATTACAGGAGATAACACAAGGTATTCATTGTTACAGAGAGAGATTGAGATAGGATAGAGAGAGAAAGAGAGAGAGAGAGAGAGCGACTAGGTCATTTCGGGACTAACATATGGTTTAATTTGAAAATAATAATTTGCTTGGGTGTAAAGGTCTTTAGCAGTTGGAGGAAAACGGAGGACCCGGAGAAAACCAACGAGGTTGGACAGGCGACCCTACTTCTTGTCAGTACAACATGGGATTCGAAACCAAGCCAGTTGACTCGATGGCAGACCTTATGATACAATACACTTGTGCTATCCATTCAGCCATCCACTCCATCCTTCATTGCTACAGATGCCAATAGTCTAGTCACAACTATCAAGAGTTCTTTTACGAGTGCGCCAATGTATGGACACAGATCACCAAATATTCCTACGCCGTCACCCACGAAACAAGGGCCAAAGCTATTTTTAGTCTTCCTCTCCCTTTTCCTTTTTCCCCCTTTTGCATGGCGATTTTTGTTGACTTTTTGGTGTAGAATTGAGGAAAAGGGTTTGAAAATACATTTTCTGCCAGGTTTTGGTGAATATTCATAATTTTGATGCGGAAGGATACAAGAGTTGAGAGGTTGGTTACGTTGAAATGTAGGGCCTGAAATTGCATGTTTACTTGTCTCCACTTCCAGCTTGTGTATCTCAAGTTTTTCATGAAGAACCTCATACGTGCTTTTGGGCAAGTGGTTGCCACATGTTGCTCCATCTGTGGTAGAAAGCGTTCTACCCAACGAAAATTTGGGAAAAAGTTAGAGCCGGTCTAAGATACGAGAATTAACATTGGAGTCAATGGGGAAATCTTTAGTGATCTGTGTCCGTATACACAGTGTGTCATTTTTTTAGGCCCGTCCGAACGACTATACGGAATCGAATACGGAACATCCAGGTTGTTTACGAGCCATCGACCTACCAACTAAACCATCTTGCCTCCCAGGACACGGAGGAGACCCAAGAGGTTGTTACATACATGCTGGTGATAGAAAAAAAGCCACTTGACCTTATGATCTAAAGTTCATGTGTAAAACCACTCGACCGCCCAACCTCTCTCTATAAATTAGAACTTACTTTGATTGGCATGCCTGTACAATGTAAACCAAATGGAAACAAACAGTTTTTACCCATCAGTCTCTGGAATCCTACCGCAAACTGAAAATAAAATAACTCGTTATTAGTTTAAGGTTGTGTAAACTAAAAATAAAAACAAGTGAGAGGGGTTATTTAATAATTACAGACCCCTGGATCCATTCACTTGATTTCATAGTTCTTTTATCGTTTATTGCTTACAATGTGTTATCTGTGTTATCTATAGGTCAGTCTGATTAAAACACAGATCTATATGTCCTCCACGACATAAAGATCTGACCAGTTGTACTGGGAGGTCATGTCAGGGGTCATACGAGCGGCTTTTGGCCCTATGATGCTTGACTTTTGATTAACCATGAACTCGCTGTAACAGACCATTTCATTGGCTAATTTCTCACGTTAACCAGAACACAGCTTATATAACAACTCTTCCAGATCCTAGTGTAGTAAAGACAAGAAAAATGAAATTTTGAACTATAAAAAATTAAATGAAATAGGATGTGTGTTTTAATTGGATTGGTGTGTTTGTCATATTGGTATCTCTTGTTTATGGGTGTTGTGGTTCTCCAGCAGATTAAATAATATGTTAACAGTCTAATAATATCAAAATTAGAAATAAAATTAATGGAGTTTAACATCTTACTGTTCTATTAATATTAGAAGACAATCAGATTAAAATGTGGTTTCTTTTTTTTCTGATTTACAACATTGTAATCTATTTACTATCCAAATCATGTTCTGCTGACCATTCCCCCCTCCCCAACTCGTTATAGCCCTCAGATCCATTCTACTTACCTCACATTTTGAAAGAGAAAATGTATGACCTAAATGAAGTCTTCCATTCATGTAAGGATATGGAAATGTCACCAAATATTTCTCCTGTCTGAAATAAACCCAAATCAGTATTTCTAAACATGACTTCCAAGTTTCAGGTGCAATAACTACAATGTACATGTGTGTATCGCTAGCCGGCAATATTTACTGGATTTGAATACATTTTGTTAAGGACTTTGTTTTTTATCGTACCGACTTTAGTAATATTGATCGAGGCCTAAAAATCTAATGCTAATATCTCTGTTCAAAGTGGAGCAATTTGACTCAAATTTTCAGCATATTCTATTTACGTTATCTATTTTTAAACTATTATAGTGAGAACTATCAATTCTTTGTCAAATCTCCCATAATGTCCCTTTGAGAGCTGGAATTTTCTCAAAAGATTATCCAGTGTTGGCATTTTGATTTTGTTTTCTTAATTAAATAATAAATTACATTGTAGTGTGTCCAGATTAAACAGTGAAAATTTCGCTAGTTTCCCGAAAATGGACGATCAAGAAATGTGTGTACGGTAATAACATACTTGGCCTCAGGTGTTCCTGGGGTTGGTGCATCAGCCTCAAATATCTTTTCTTCATTCCATCTCGCTTGAACTCTCTTTTGTATTTCTAACAGTTCCGTTAGTTTCGCTGTACTTTTTCTTTCCATTTTGTCACTAAAGTATAAAACATACGTTGCCAGGCAATGAACTACAAATGTTTATTCTCACCAGCAGATCGGGTTGAATTTTACTATCTGCAGGCTTTTGATTTTTTTTTTTAATAAATAAAAACGTCATTCCCTCCAATATTTTGGGGAACATGGGGATAATCCTACTTCTAACAACTGACGACAAGGTGGATAAGTTTTGAATCTGAACGTCTCAGGGTCTGTTACGGCATGTACGCGACGGGAGAGTGAGTGCGTTAGGTTATTGATAGAGCTGATTTAATGCTCTCTTTTGACGGAACGCATACTATATTATCATCCAGGTGGTTCCAATCAATAACGAAGTGGATATTTGACCGTATACGGCAAAGTATCTACTTCGGCTATTTTACCGTACATCGTTTCTGATTTCAAGTTCGGCGCAGAAGCACGATTTTACGGGAAAATCATAAACCACTGACAGTCTTAGTACTTAATTAAAAAGTCAAAATCCGCAGAAATGCGCCCTCGACCAAAATAGAATAATATTCTAAATGCTTTTCTACAATTTACATTTATTATATTATTTTCTTTTAAAAATAATTCTCCAGTTTCTAGAATAGAAATTCAAGTATGGCTATTTCGTTCCTTTATAAGAAACGAAAAAAGAAGCAATGTTAGACAAAAAACAAATAGAACTGTTGGGTTAGGGTTAGGGTTATGGGTTAATGTCAGACGGCATTGCCAAAGCGAAAACTGCTATGTCCAGGTATCAGAGAACTGCGCATGTTAAACGGAAGTGTACGGCAAAATAGTAAATAAAGTAAAGTGCCGTATAATACGGCTAAATATCCACTGCCAATCAATAATTGATTTTTGCTAATAAAAGTGCAGTGTTTATAACTTAAGAATTCAAAAATGAAATGAAAACAGTGAGAAATGTTTCTGCCATCTGTCAACACAGGCCTGAATAAGTAATGTTTCGGACTAACAGTAGATAAGTGACGATTAGAACGACCTAAAACAGTAACACATAAACTCTGAAAAACATACGTCAACAAACCGCTCCTCCTTGCAGGTAGTTAACTCGTTCGCTTCTGGCTGTTTTATGATTATAGCGATTGCAAGTCCCTATGCGAATTACTCTTTGGTTCTCTGTGAATTTAGATTTCCCCGAATTACATTATTTCATACAGTTTGTCATAGAGAAATAGGATGATGAAATTAACAATATTGTTGTTGTAACCTTACCCATGTGGATTTCTCATAGAATCGATGTTGGTTGTCGTAAAATACTATTTCTTTATCAAATACTTATGTTTACGCCATTTTAATGAGATAAATTGGTTGCATAAGGATTTACATTTACCAGTGTTCCATAATAGGAATATGCAGCTTCTTTCGCGATTGTTTCGCTGAAACATTATAATTTGCGACAACTAAAAATAATTCTATTTAGACCGTTTGTTGTTTTTAATTTTGAAGAGCATAAGCGAAACCTGAAGTAGACTATTTCATAACACGGTCAAGTGACGTTGAATATGACAGATTTTGATGAAAGGAGTGGTGCGGTGGTGGTAAAAACCGACTGGGGGCAGTGGTTTCAATCAATGGAAGACCTAAATATAGAAATCAATGTCCCACCAAATACTAAAGCTAAAGATATCAAATGTGATATTGGAAATAAACATTTGAGTGTTGATGTTCATGGAAACACCATCATAAATGTAAATCTTAGACCGTTTTTTTTAAAATCAAATTATTGTAATAAATTTTAACATTTATTTAATGTCATTATGGTCTTCGATCGAATCCAAATGTAATTTAATATTGGTTAGTGAGCGAGCGCCTTACTGAACCACACTGAGTTACCTTTTCCAATTTGAGCTGCCATTGGCCGAGAAAGTTCATCAAGATTTTCCGGCGTGGTTCCCCCCTATCAGTGATGCAGGATGGAGGGCCTGACAAGGACAGCTGTCTAGTCATTCGGATGGTACGAAAAACCGAGGTCCCATGTACACATTGGTGTGCAAAAAAAGATCCCTTGACAGTTGGAATTCGATATAAGAGTAGGCCGTAGTGCCGCTGTCCGGGCAAAATTTCCCTCATAGCACACTGTATGGCTTATGCCCGTCTTCATTAGCCCAGTTTGGAGCAAAACAGTAGGATGTTAAACCCCATTTCATTTCATTTTCATTTCCTATTTGAGCTTGGTGCCCTGTCATAAAAATTTTACATGTCTGGGGAACTTTCTCGACCATTATCGGGATCTGACTTATAAACTGGTTAGTAAGCCAGGGCCTTACTAAGCCATTGTGGATAACCTGTTTCTATTGGAGCCCAGTTATAAATATTTAATATACTTGTTGTATTATTTATTTTTCAGGGAGATCTGACAGAACCTATTCATACAGATGATGCTGTCTGGACTTTAGGTAATCATTTTTACACCAGGAAATGGGCGACCCACTGCTGGTGGTGGTGGTGTCCTTGTTGTTATTATAGAATCAATTGGACCACCTCCTTTAATATAGAAAGATTTAGAATATCTCCTTTAATATAGACACATTTGGGCAACCTCCTTTAATATAGAAACATTTAGAATATCTCCTTTAATATAGACACAGTTGGACCATCCCACTTTAATATAGAAACAGTTGGACCGTCTCCTTAAATATAGAAACAGTTCGACCATCCCCCTTTAATATAGTAACAGTTCGATTTGGATGAAGAGTTGACAGAATCGTCAGTGTCTGGGTAAAATTCATGTGATAGAACTCTGCATGATGTATGCATGTCTTCATTAGCCAGACGGCAGAATAGTATAAGATTTTGGATGTTAATGTCTGTCATTGAGTCTAAAGATGTGGTTTTGCTTCCCTGCTTGTACATGACAAGGAGTAAGGTCAAGGTCAAGATTCATGGATTTTCTCCGGGTCCTCAGATTTCCCCCCACAGCTAAAGAACCCTATGCGTAAGTGAATCTTTGAAATAAAAAAATCGAACCACATTAGCTCGGAAATGACCTAGTCATTTTTCTCTTGTCCTTATTAGTCTGATTGGTGCATTGAGGGGTTGGATGGCCGAATGGTTAGCACGTGCGCGCTGTATCATAAGGTCTATCATTAAGTCAACTGGCAGGGTTTCGATTCCCCGGTTGTACGTGACAAGGAGTAGCATCGTCTGTTCAACCTCGTGGGTTTTCTCCGGGTTCTCCCACTGCTAAAAACCCCTACGTGCAAGCGAATTATTGAAATAAAATTGATCCATATGTAATCCCATAATGACCTAATATGTGTCAAGTTGGACTTTAAACCCCATTTTATTTGTTTTATTTGTAGAGGATGGGAAGTTATTGAGAATCTGTTTAAGTAAAACTTACACGACACCAGACCATTGTTGGAAGTCGTTATTGATAGATCAATATCAGGCTGATAGTTTCATCTACGACGAGATGCAGAAAAAACTTACTTTAGAATCTTTTCAGAAAAAGGTAGTGTATCATAAGTGGTGGAAACACACTAGCCGAATGATTGGCCGAATTGTTCAGCTAAAACAATTGGTGCCGAAATTCGCCTAGTGTGTCCACTGTCATTCGCCCGAATATATTCCTTGAATGACATTTACAATATTCATAATAACACAACTTTATTGATTTACTACTTCTTGGTTTATTACATACAATGTTACAATACTCTTACAGGTATATTCATCAAGCAATGATCAATAATGAATAATAACCTTACATTTATAGTACTAGTACATCCATGAGTAAGACAATTTAACAATCAAAACATAACATTAATTAAGACTTATAACAACAACTATTTCCCTTTGAATATGACTTCACTATCTCCCTTAAATAGAACAGATTAAAATGGGGACCGAAGCCATCAACTAGACTAAAATATAATCCTACAATCAATACCCCTTTACTACTACTACTCTCTCTCTCTCTCTCTCTCTCTCTCTCTCTCTCCTTAAATGAAATATATTTAATGATAATACCAAATAAATGTTATTACAAGCTTCATTTTAATTTGTTACTTTCAATTGAGCAGAAATATAACTCTGAAAAAAAGAGGGGGGGGGTAGAGGCTATAATTACTATCAGATAGGTATTATAGATTAGAACTCAGAGGAAATTGTGGAGGGGGGAGGGGGGCTCCCCACCGCCACTACTCCACTGTAAATACAACTGTATTTTTTTTATTTTAGAATCCAGGATTTGATTTCAGTGGTGCAAGTATTTCTGGTAAATATCAAGACGGTGGACCATCCCTTCCTGATACTTAGTTGTCATGGAAATGCATTTAAAGGAAATGTCCCAGATATCACAGACTACTTTAAATCTAAAAACCAAAAACCAAATGGTGCGAAGCATTGCTGCTGTTTTGGCCTCACTCCATGCTAATCATGTACATGTCTGCACTTAAATGAGCAGAAATTATCTCTGAGCTTCTGATTTCATCAAATTCGCAGGGTAATTCCCCAGACCATACGCCAAACTTGATGTCATTTCCACCTATGACCCCTCGCTGCTCAAATTCATGGACACGCCCTTTCAAACTGTAATAAAATAGTTTATTGATCTAGTGAAGTTAAAACTTGTAAGTTTTGGGCAGTTTGGGAATGATTGTTAAAATTGTTTAACAGAGTTTGGCAACTCGGATATTGGCAGGGTTATCCAGACTCTACTGCCACTGATAATATAGAGACTGGTCACACTAGACTAAGATCACCATTTTTACGATTCTTTCATGCAGAATTTACCCGTTTATTCACTAAACTATATCTGGGACAGATCCTTTAATGATTTGAAGAAGACGACCCTAACTCATGTTTTATGAATTAGATGTGTTTTTTTAGACATCTCATGTGTTTTTTAGGCATTTCATGTGTTTTTTAGGCATTTCTTGTGTTTTAGACATCATATATCATGTAGTGTTTAAATGGCATTTAAGAATTGACAATCATAAATAAATATATAGAACTATATGGAATAACAAGATATTAAAACCCATTCAGGCGCTTATATTTAAACTAGTTCCAAATCACCGGAGATTTGAAGTTAGGATCTGACAAGGACAGCTGTATAGTCATTCGGATGGTACAAAAAAAACAAGGTCCCGTGTACACATTGGCGTGCACGTAAAAGATCCCTTGACAGTTGGAATTCGATATAAGAGTAGGCCGCTGTTGCTGCTGTCCGGAAAAAATTTCCCTCATAGCACACTGTATGGCGTATGCCCGTCTTCATTAGTCCAGTTTGGAGCAGAACAGTAGGATGTTAAACCCATTTCATTTCATTTAAGTTAGGATAGTGTTGCGTTTACACATACTATAAACCAAACTTGTTTAAACTATTTGCTCCTGGTCAGTTAAAGGTTAGAGGTAATTATGCATGAACACATGTCGTCATTTTGCCAGGAGGATAGCGTGCCTGAAGCAAACTGGTGCCGAGCTGATACTTTCAGACGGCCAAGATAAGATAGCTTTTAAGAAAAGTCTTCTCGAAGACAAGTACAGAGCTGTGTTTTTTAAACCAATTTATTTGCCTCAACTCAGAGTTCATACACTCCAATTAAACTGGTATAACGATAGCCGGGGATTTTAATTTTTTAAAACCAGTTTAACATGCGTGTCTGAACTCTAAACATGGATATCTGGCTGTAAATCTCATGAACCAAACATTCTTAGACTTAAGTTAAGAATTTACTCAACTTTCAATCACTGTTTATGAGAAATATCTTTGATCCAGAATTTGCACTTTATTGTTGATGTATTTGATACATTAAAACAACAAAAGTTTTATAAAGGGCTATATTTTAGTTAAAATAAGGTGAACAATTTTGAGTAAATTCTTAACTCAAGTCTGAGAATGATTTGTGACTTGGGTGAAGATTAGTAAGACTGAGGGAAATAAATCAGATCATATAACAATTTATTTTGTATATAAATGAGGGGATTTAGGTGGCTGAAGTGTTTTAACGTGTGCTCTGTAAGTCATAAGGTCTGTCATTGAGTCAAGTAGTGTGGTTTCGATTCCCAACTTGTACATGACAAGGAGTAGAGTCCACTGTTCAACCTCGCGGGTTTTCTCCAGGTCCTCCCACTGCTAAAGACCCGATTCGCGAGCGATTTATTGCAATTGAACCATATGTTAGTCCCGATATAACCTAGTTTCAGTCGAATGGACGTTAAACCCCATTTTTCTCTCTATGTGTATAAATGCTTGTTTCTTTACCATCTGAATCTTGCCTGATAAAGAGAGAGCGAGAAATGGGGTTTAACGTCCACTCGACACAAACTAGGTCATTTTGGGACTAACAATAATTCGCTTGCACGTAGGGGTCTTCGGTAGTGGGAGGAAACCGGAAGACTCGGAGAAAACCCACGAGATTGGACAGGCGACCCTAATCCTCATCACGTACAACCAGGGAATCGAAACCACGCCAGTTGACTCACTGACAGACCTTATGATACAGCGCGCATGTGCTAACCATTCGGCCATCCAACCCAGCTTTGCCTGATAAAGATTAGAACATCTTAGTTTAAATATCCGATTAATAAAAGCTAAGTAATTGTTATTCCAGATAATTGTATATATTTATTTATTATATTTATGTAGATTCATATCACGTGCTATGTAAAATCTAAAAGCTGAAAGCCATTGATTGTCATTTACAAAGATATGATCAATTGAAATTATTGCAAAATTCAACTTCGGATGCAGACAAAAAAAACCCAAAACAGCAACACTTATATGTATCAATCTGACTAAAATACACATCTATATTTCGTTTCGTTTTTTATACTTTTGATGGCCTACACTAAATGAAGATCTGACTAGTTTTACGAGCGATTTTTGACCCTATGACATCACACAATCAGCGTTGACGTTTCTAGTGGTTTACCCACAGTTCTGTGTATAGCGCGCAAAGAAGTCGCCGTAACAGACTGTTTCATTGGCTAATCCCTCTCGCCATCCAGAATGCATGTTATATAACAACTCTTCCAGATCCTAGTGTAGTACAGACAAATAAAACAAAATTTTGAACTATAAAAACGAAACAAAATAGGATCTGTGTTTTAACCAGATTGTATATGTGTTGGATAAATTCTAAATTTAGGAGATCATCTATTGTAATTAAAGGTCACCGCAAAAGCTTCATAACTTTTATAGATAATGCAAGTAATTATGTCAACATATCCTTTCCATAAGTATAACAGGAACCCGAATGTCAATATTACCTTTTATCGGTGACCATTAAATATTATATACTCAATTTGAGTATATTTTAGCATGGATTAATTTGTGAAAAAATTTGATATTGACCGAAAAACCGCAAATGACAATCAATGCCTCGGCCTATAGGTGTAAAGATTTTGGTCATTTATTTAACAGCTACTCCACTTTATTTATCAATTTTACAACTTTCCGAAATTTTATCCGGATTATCGCTTTTTATTGTTTAATTTAACATTGTAACGTGAACTGGCTGACTTATCGCCATTCACCAGACGACCATCATCAACACTGGTCGCATTATTTCCTCTTTCTTGTAAATCATTGTTTTGTTTTTTATTTTGAGTGAAGCCTGGTATTATTACAGGTCCGGGTGGATACGTACGGCAAACCCGCCAGATCCATTCACTTAATTATATATTATTGCTTATTTCTTGTGTATTTTTTTGTCTTGTCCACAGTTTTTTGTCAATTTTGTTTGCATGTAGATCTTTCCCCCTGAATCCAATGAGATATATTATTTTGGGTGCATATGAATTATATAAATTTAAAATATGTGACCTGTGAAAGCAAAATGAGATGGAAGTCGTAAGTCACTGTTTACTATATACATATATCGGATGAACAAAAATCTCGAAATAGGCTAAAAAATATTAACGAAATAGAGTTTCTTTTATTTGTCAAATCTAAACTTTAAACATACATTATGGGAGATTAGATAAAGAGCTGGCAGTTCTCACTATGATAGTTAAAAACTAGATAATATAAAGGCAATTTGCTGAAAATTTCAGTCAAATTTATCCACTCTGAACCGATCATTTAGCGATTGAATTTTAGCCTACTCTCGATCATCATAACTAAAGTTACTAATCATGAATGAAAGGTGAGCACCAAATCGGATCCTAATCCAGTAAATATTGTGGGCTACCGATGGCATCGAGAGTTGATTATGGTCTGGAGAAGTTAATTAATGTCTAATTAATAGTTTATATAACATTTCAGGCCTAAAGAAAGACCTGCATTAGGCAGATTTAGCTCTTGCATAATGTATGTTTAACATTTTGTGCTGTATCATTAAAAATATAATTTTAGTCTTTTTTAAGAGTTTTGTTCATATCGCTACTACTTGCGACTCATTTTGTTATCACAGGTCACGTAGATTGTCAGTATCTCTCTCTATTTGTTCTCTGGTCTCGGCTAATTCTGGTGCTCAAATAAATTGTAAAATAGAATTTAAGGGCAGCTAAATTTCACAGAATGAAGAAACGAAATCGTCAGTTTCATGTCACTTTAAAACATCGAAGCCGTTGTTCAGGTCACAGGTCCACACAGTAACAAACTAAGTCTGTACTGAATTTAAACTCATTGTTAAGAATCACTGGTTACCATGACAACAGTGGGGACATTAGTTGTTGACAGAAACATGGAATTTGAAATCTTAAAATAAATTCTTGAACTATTATGGAAAATAAAATGATTAAAGATTAAAATATCTCTTGGTTTTTATACGCCCACATTTTCATGTAGACGTAATTGTCGTCGCCCCTGTCTGTCCTGACGTCCGTCTGTCCGTCCACAATTCGTTTGTGGACACAGGTCTCAATTCTCATCCGATTTTGACGAAACTTGAAATATAGGTTTATCTCCAAAAGATCTCGGTTGCTTTCGATATTGGCATGTATCGGATCGAAACTTCATTGTACGAAAAATCATGTTTTTAGCTTGTGGGCCCTATAGAGATCACAAGTTTAATCCTATTTTGATGAAACTTGAAATGTAAGTGTAGCCTATAACCCCAAGATCTCGGTTCCTTCGATATTCGCGCACATCGGTCCGTAACTTCCTAAATTATGGCCCCTGGTTGTACGAAAAATCGTGTTTTTAGCATGAGGTCCCTCTAGATGTCACAATTATTATCCGATTTGAAAAAAACGTTCAAGTATATCACTGTTACACCGTAATTTTGGTTGAGTTCGAATTTCGTTAAAAATCGGACCAAAACTGTCGAACAAAATGGCCGCCCTTTGTACACAATTAGCTTAAAAATATGGTATATCAATGTTGTGGACCCTCTAGACGTCATAATTTTCTTCTGATTTTGATGAAACTTGAAATGTAAGTTTATAACTCAAAGATCTTTTTCCTTTCAATATCCGTGCATAACGGATCGTAACTTCCTGAATTATGGCCCTTGATTGAACAAAAAGTCACGTTTTTAGCCTATGGTCCCTGTAGAGATCACAATTTTTATCTGATTTGAAAAAAATGTGTGAATATATCACCATTACACACTAACATCTTGGATTCTTTTGATACATGTAGTTACCCGAACTTAACTTCCTGGATTATGGCCCCTGATTGTTCGAAAAAAGGCATTTTTAGCTTGTGGATTCTCTAGAGGTCACAATTTTTTTTTTTCCGATTTTAAAAACCGTTTAAATATTTCACCATTCCATCATAATGAAGGTTGAATTCGATTTTCGGGAAAATTGAAATGAAACTGCCAACAAAATGGCCGCTCTTTGTACGCAAATTGTGTAAAAGTATGCAATACGAAGGTTGTCGACCCTCTAGAGGTCACAATTTTTATCCGATCTGATGAAACTTAATACATATCTTTATATCCCTAAGATCTCAGTCCATTTTGATATTTGTGCATTTCAGGCCATAACTTTCTGGATTATTGCCCCTGATTGTACAAAAAAATCCTAATTGTTTTTAGCTTGTTATCTATCCATCTCTTGCAAAATGTGGGCGTATCCTGCCTGGCAGCCGCAGGTTGTTTTTTTTAGCATTTTATAGGCTGTCTTCAGTCGTGATACCAGAACAGGGGTTATTTATTGTTTTTATCAAGAAGCCACTGTGGCTTGCTAGACAAATTTCTCAGCCAGCATCCGGATCGAACCTCAGACTTCCTGGTTTGCGAGGCAGCTTCTTACTCACTGAGCCACCCTGGCTCCCACTTAACCTTAAAATTGGAAACAGAATAATTATTTTCTCTCGGACAATCAAATTGTTTACAATCTGATTAAAATACAGATGTATATTTCGTTCGATTTATTTTATACTTTCAATGGCCCTCACTACATGAAAATCTGACCTGTTGTAGTAGGAGGTTGCATCAGGGGTCATAAGAGCGGTTTTTGACCCTATGATGTCAGACATTTGATTAACCAATCAGCATTGATGTCTCTAGTGGGATATTCACAGTTCTGTGCATCACACGTCATGAGCTTGCAGCTACAGACCATTTCATTGGTTAATCCCTCACATGAACCAGACCATGAGTTATATAACAACTTTTCCAGATCCTAGTGTAGTAAAGACAAGTAAAATGAACAGACACCAGAATCGCTGATTGGTTTAAACCTCCTGGTTAATCAGAGGTGGGAACAGATCGCGGGGACCTCTAGTCCGAGTCGAGTCCCAAGTTACTGACTTCCCCCCCCCCCCCCACGAGTTGAGTCCCAAGTCTTCACAAAGCCGATTCAAGTCACCCGATCTTCCAATAAGTTAGTAATTCATGGCGATTAAGGTAAGTTAGAGTTATGTCCCCTTGCCGTGACTTAGAGTCCTAAGCTCCTTCAAGTCATGAGTCGTCACGTCACGACTGCAGCATCCGAGTCGCAAAAATTGATTCAAGTCGGGTTGGTTCAATGATGTGACTTAAGTTGAACTTGAGTCCCGAGTTGGGAGTGTCAAACTGCCACCTCCAGGTATTGGGCCTTATATTTAGGTGTGTTCACTGACAAATAAAACCACAATTTTGATCTTTGAAAACATCTGAATTTATTCACGTTAAATTTACATAACATATTTTACTCACATATAATTCATTCTTTAGATTCAAATGTAAATGTTTTAAGTAACTTGATTTTATGAGCGTGTTTGGAATATTGTATATTTTCATATCACTCATGAAAGATATGTCAGCTTGTATACCTTGAATATATTTGGGTGAATGAAATTCTGGAGAGAGCGAGAGAAATGGGGTTTAACGTCCACTCGACATAAACTAGGTCATTTCAGGACTAACATATGGTTATGGTTCAATTTTATTTAAATAATTGACTTGGGCGTAGGGTTCTTTAGCAGTGGGAGGATCTGGAGAAAACCCATGATTTTGGACAGGCGACCCTTTTGGGTACATTTGTAAAAAACTTAAAGGAGAAACCCAACCATTACAGACTTAAAATTTTCATGATTTTTTTTATTGAATTCATTTTTAGCAGTAAAATACATAGTTTGAAGCGTGCATGTGTAATGCACATGTAAACAGACTTCAAGAATCGTTTGTGTAATGAACCGCCAGTGATCAGCCGGTGGTCAACCAGACACAGAAATCAGATTATGCTAAATATATGTATCAAACAACTTATAAAATTTAAAATACATTACAAACATGTAAAATTAAACATTATGCAATTAATTTGTATAATATTATTATATCATTTTCTCATTAAATGTCATGGAAACTTATAAAAATAGAACTGACAAATGTTTAACATTATAAGCTAACTATAGAATATCAATAACAATAGACAATAATATAAACAAGCTTGACTAAGTTAACAAAGCATAGGCATTGATTCATCAAATAATTCCCAACAAAACCACAATCAATTTTTATCTCTGCCTTTTATTGTTTTGTTTTTTTTAACTGCACCATAAATCTAGCCACATGGATCTTGATTGTAGTTGGAATTTCTGTTCAGAATCAGACAAACAATTAAAGACTTATTATTGTTATCATCCAGTCTGATTAAAACACAGATCGTATTTCGTTTCATTTTTTATAAATTTCATTTTACTTGTCTTTAATAAACTAGGATCTCAAAGAGTTGTTATATTACCGGCATTCTGGTTGAAGTGAGAGATTAGCCAATGAAATGGTCTCTTACAACGAGTGCATGGAACTGTGGGTAAACCACTAGAAACATCAACGCTGACTGATTAATCAATGTCTGAAGTCACAGGGTCAAAGCCGCTCGTACAATCTTCCATTACAACCGGCCAGATCTTCATGTAGTGTGGGACATCGAAAGTATAAAAAACGAAAGGAAATATAGATGTGTATTTGAATGAGATTGATTGACAGATATCTGATTTTAAATCTGCCATGTTTTGATTCTAAAACTAATTCATACCAGAATAGACTTTTATAGTCTGTTATATGATAACCTTTTTCAACCGATGCTTATATACAAGTATTTGTGGTGTAAATTTAAAGGCTAAGATGTTATATATTTAAGTAATGTTGGAGAGTGGACAGAAGATTGGGTTATTGAGAGATTCTAAAGAGACATATTGTCCTATAACAAGATAGACCAGAGATCTTCATATTTCCGTCAGATTAACATTTATCATTATGTGGAGGAATACGGTCACAGGAGCAATATATGTGGGTCCTGGTGACTACAATTCCAACAACCACAGTTTGACCAAAAACAAACAGTCATAACACAGGGTCCCATACACCAGGTTAACACTCACTGTGTTTCCATGACCATATTAACCTGTGGGCTGAAGACCATAGTGTTCAGTAAGCTGGCAACCATAAAACCTGTGAACTTGAAGACCATAGTGACCAGTAACAGAAGGATTAACAGTACCATCCCTTACACTTGGTGGGTTCGATGGCCAGGTATCATAATCTAGATTCAAATCACAAATAGACAGTGTTTACAACAGATGACAGACTGTAAATAAACTCTTATACTTCTAATATACCCAAATATTGCTACAACATAAACATGGATAAATTTCTTCTTAATAAATATTAAATTCAATGTGTATACCTTCTTTGATTATAATGATATATATATATATGAAAATATTATGAAGCAGGATTGGCAGTTTTTATCAGGACATTTTATATAAAGCTGTATTCACAGGCACAGTAAGCAGGGTGGGCAAACGAGGGGATATGTCTACAAATGATACGACTCTATACAATTTTTATCAGGACATTTTATATAAAGCTGTATTTACAGACACAATAAGCGTAGGTGGGGGAACGAGGGAATGTGTCTACAGATACGACTCTATACAATTTTAGCCAAAAATAACATATTCTGGCAATAATGAGATATTTTGTGACTTTTTCAGGATTCTTTACAAAAATTAACAAAATGTTCAGATGAAAACAACTTTTGTATATAGATTATTATGAGCATGATGGACATATTATTTTAAATATAGGTAAAGGGGTGGAATCTAATTAGGTGTGTTCTAATTATAAAAAATTTAAGGGTGATATTTCAAAACATTGCAGAGATAAAGATGATTAAGATTCATTACTTGTTGTTTTCAAAGAGTCCAGCAATACTCGACACAACCTAAGTCCTTTTGGGATTTCAATTTTATTTCAATAATTCACTTGTGCGTAAGGATATTTAGCTGTGGGAGGAAACCGTAGGACCCAGAGAAAAACCCACAAGGTAGGACAGGAAACCCTACTCCTTGTCACGTACAACCGGGGCATCAAAACCACGCCACTTGACTCAATGACAGACCTTATGATGTCCCCCCCCCCCCAAAAAAAACTCTATAAGGCCCATCCTTGAATTTTCAACCATTATAGGAGATTCTTAGATTATTTTGATTGAAGATTAATTACATATATCTCCTCATAATGCTGATAAAATTTAACGACCATCGCAAAATTTCAACATTTACGTCCAAACGCGTAACCCTTGGATAGATCACGGAGCCAACCCACCAGTGTTCTCATCTACACAGACGGAGTAAGAAAATATTCATATAGTTCCATTTCTGATTCAATTTTATTATTTTCTGGGTAGTTCGAAGTTCTTTGGGTTATTTCGTGTGTTGATATTTTGTGATGGTCTCTTATAAACGGTGATTTTTCAGCAATAATTCAACACAGAATATGCAGTTGTGAATCTCTGCAACTTAAATTATGCTCAAGTATTATAGACAAGTTCAGAAGAAAAAAAAAGTAAAGAAAATATTTTGACATGAAAAATCTCTTTGGTTTTAAGGTTATTTAATAATAAATTACTGATTATAGTGAAAATTATTAAGCTGTTACGATTTGCCAGTTTACGAGCAGGCGTCTTTACACGTGGAAGAAACATGGAGTACTGGAAGAAAGCTCACAAGGTTGGATAATCCTACTCCTTGTCGTGTACAAAATGAATGAATGGTTTAACGTCCTACTGTTTTGCTCCAACTGGGCTAATGAAGACAGGCCCATGATACAAAATTTGCTATAAGGGAAATTTGCAAGGACAGCGGTGCTACGTCCTACTGTTACATCAAATTCCAACTGTCAAGGGATCTTTTACGTGCACGTCAATGTGTACACAGGACTTTGGTTTTTCGTTCCATCCTGATGAACTTTCTCGCCCGAATGCAGGGAACGAACACGGGACCTCTAGGTTAATGAGCCAACACAGACTTCACGAAGCAACATGCATATGTTAATCATTCGGCCAGACCCCCGCCCCCAAGTAAATGAAGACAGAGAAAATGATCTAAAACTGGTGCATCGTAATCGCATTAAAAATATTAAAATATGTGGCCTGTGATAGCAAAATAAGCCGACTTTTACAAAATCAACAAAACATCTTTTTAATAATGTAACACGAAATGAAAAAGTTTAGATTGAAAAATAAAGAAAACTATATTTTTTTTCTGATTTTATCCTATTTTGACATTTTCATTCATATATCGTTAATAATGATTTGTGACTCATTTTGCTGTCACATGTCACATATCGTAAAAAAAGAAAAATGGCCAACAGAGTTTCCAGAACTAAGATCTAATAATAAGATAAATAAAAATACCAGGTAATATGGCAAGACAAATATATAGATTGAAAATTAAAACTACTGTAAACAAAATAAAAACGTTCTGGCCCCCGAATTCACAAAGCATTCTCAGACTTAAGTTAAGAATTTACTCAAAATTGTTCGTCTTATTGTAACTTAAATATATCCCTTTATAAAACTTTTGTTGTTTTAATGTATCAAATACATCAATAAGAAACTATGTGCAAATTTCTGTGTTTCTTGATCAAAGATATTTCTTATAAACAGTGATTGAAAGTTGAATAAATTCTTAACTTAAGTCTGAGAATGATTTGTGACCTCGGTGCCAGATTCTATATATGTGAATTGTTTCAATCGCATTTAGTAATTAAACTGGAGTGTACAGGTGACAATGCTATGTAATAAGCAGTAATTGTATTCCTTAGAATTGTCACCTGTATACTCTATATATGTGATTATAAAATAACAAAAAAAACAATGTATTAGCAAGGAAAACATATGGCAGAAATCCAAATTCTTCTCCAACATAAACAGGTATTGATTTTATTTATATTGGGTTCTCTAGGGCAAGATGCCAAAACGTTTTAACCTGTATTTAAACATGTATTATGCAAGAGTTAAATTTACCTATTCCAGATCTTTATTCTGGCTTCAAATCTTAAATAAATTATTATGTAGGTAGACATTTATTAACATGACAAGAATATAATCAAATCTAGCCTCTGTTTTAAGTACTACTGCTACGATAATTAATAGTGATCTGCCAGCAGTGATAACTTTGCTTAGAATAAAGTAATTTTAATGAAATTTTCAATATATTCATTTTGCATTATCTATTTTTGAACTATTATATTAAGAACGAACAGCTCTTTATCTAAATCTTACATCACCTATCTTTAACCAATGTTATTCCTCTCAAAATGTATATAAGTGAATATTTACTGAGATCTAACCGATTATTATCTATTTACACTGATGAATATGAGTGAAAGTTCAAACCGTTTAAAGTTAAATCGTTTCACTTCTGCGTATAATGAGTTAATATCCGAACCTATAACTAGGTTTCTGGCATCTAACAGAGATCTAGATTTACTTACGATAATCAAAACAAAGACAACAAAAATAATAGTAAAGTACTACATACGAAAACAAATTATATTTAATTGCAACGAGCCTACAACCAAATGATTATATTGTGAGACATTGTACAGGAGCTTTACGTGTGAAGAACAATCCAGATTTGTGCAGAGTCAGATTTGTGACGACTTTGCTTCCAAAAATTGACTGGCTCCAGTAGAGAGTTGTAAACAAAGAAGGGAATCAGTGTGGTTAATGATAATAAAGAAACTAATTAAATGTGACCTGTCAGGGCAAAATGAGTCGCAAATCTTTTACAATATGAACAAAACTGGTAAAATAGGGTAGAAATATATCTTTAATGAAATGACACCAAAGTTAAAAGATTAGATGTGACAAATAAAGCGAACTATATTTTTTGAATATTTTTAGCCTATTTCGACATTTTTGTTGATATATTCTTATCGTAAACAATGACTTGTGATTTGACACTCATTTTGCTGTCACAGGTCCCTAATGCCTTAAATGGGACATGTGTCCTTGATTATATAGCAATAGTGTACATTTCCCTGAAAGGGGCACAACGTATATACACATAGGTGCGTTAATTTCAATAATCATTTATATCACGCCGATTTGATGTTGAATTAATTCCCTGTTTCAGGAGTGCTAACAACTAATTTTCATTTATATTAAATGCAAAAATATGTAAATTTCTTTGGTTACACTCTCCGTGTTTTAAACCATTTGAGATGACGTCGCTCGTGAAAATAATAGGACTACTTCTTTCTTCTCAAGTTTAATTTTTATAAATGAGTGATGCGGCTAGTAGACTATCGTATCCACTTTGTTCTTGTAATGATATGGTATGTTCTATAGCACTCTGTGTGACGTTATCGGACGTTGACATGGTAACTGTTGACTTAGAGTTTATGTGATAGGCTGGGTGGAAATTTTCTGAAATGATAATAAAATATAGCATAAAATGATTAAGATGAAATGATCTTTCCGAACGCTCGAAAATAAGAGTCATATACTCAATTTGACAAAAGAATTCGAATCTTGACAGTAAATATTAAAGTCTATATTGTTAAAGAATTGGTTAGAATAATTTACGGAGATTAACGCAATAATGTGAAGAAATTTAAAGGTGCATTATAGTAAGTGCAGGGGGACTGCACCACACATAATTTACACAAAAACAAATCTACGAACAAGACACAATACGCAAAATCACAAACGAACACAAAATCACAAATTAAGTGAATGGATCCGGGGGCTAGCCGTAAGCGTCTACTGCACTGTACAGTCCCGGGCCTGTAGTGATACAGACTTCACTCAAATTTGAAAACAATCAGGAATACAACCCAGAGAAACTGAAAAATATGAATGTAAGCATATTGAAGTAAAATTTAACTATACAAGTAACCACATAGGTGGAATGTATAAAAAAAAAACCAGGTACTCTAAAACTAAATGCTCTAAGTCAATTAAGAAACATTTTAGTATTCAAAAGAATCAAGGCATATTGAATACAGCTAGGACACATGTTCCACCCATCACAAAAACAGAGCAAAAAACAAACAATACTGAATACAAAGAAGCAAATGAGAAAATGTAACCCGTCTCGAACAAGACAGCCGTCTGCTGACTGAATGACAGGACGTAAAAAAAGGCGGTAGGTTGCCAATAAAGTCAAAATTTAGAAGGTGACAAAACACCACAATAAAAAGGGCGATAATCCAGATAAAATAATGCCAAAAGTTTAATAAACTACCAAATAACTCTGTCTATTCTAGGTCTTTTTTTCAATCTTCACATGTTATTTAAATTATTATTTCGCCATTTACTGACAGAACAAGTCTATAATCAACACTCTAGGCCATCAGATGGCTAAGATATTAAATGGATTGGGACCATTTTATAATTTAAAGCTAAAATGGATAATCAAGACATAGTTCATTATTGCAGCAATGCTACTTGATAATTGAGACAATCCTGTGAATACTTCAAACAAACAACTTAGGTCAGAAATGAAATGGGGTTTAATGTCCTACTCCGAACTGGGCTAATGAAGACGGACTTACGCCATACAATGTTCTATGAGGGAAATTTTCCCTGGACAGCGGCACTACTGTCAAGGGATCTTTTACATGCACGCCAATGTGTACATGGGACCTCGGTTTTTCGTCTCATCCGAATGGCCAGAGAGGGATTTCTCGGGCCATTGCTTTAGGAATATGATTCCCCCACCCCCCAGGGAAGTATATTTGTTGGCACTGGCCACAAGATCAGAAAAATGATTCCCCCCGCCCTCGGGAAGTCTATTTGTTGGCCACAAGATCAGGGAAATCATGAGCTGAAAATGTTGTGTGGCTCTCCACTTCGTCTCCATCAATAACAATAACTGCTTTCCTTTTAATGGCATCACTTGTCATGGGACATAAAATTAAATACATTTATATATTTTTATGTAAGGGTTGACACTTCTTTAAAACTTAATTATGGCTTACAATATTTTATCAAGGGTCCCAGAGAACCATTTCAGAAAGTAGATAAAACAAACGAACCTAATTATGCTAAAAACATTTCATATAAAATGCGAATAGAGGCTGACACATCTTGACGGTCCATTACAGCCGACAGATGACACTCTAGGATTATGCAACTCAAGGGGGGGATAACTATGTTCTTGTGTACCGTTATCACATGTCGTGATAGATTCCTGCATCCGATTCTCTTCACCAGCTTCAAGATGACCTGCAGAAACAAAGAAAATCTGGCGTGACCATATATGGATTTTAATTTTTTTTTAAAATCAAGCATTAACATGATGAATATGGAATAGCATTTTTCGGCCCAATCTCTCTGATTTATTGAGTTGTTTCGTGAAATTAAAATATGATTTCTTTTTAAAAATGTTATCCTTAGATTTAACTGATGTTGAGAATGAACTGAACCGACCTGGTAAATGAAGATGGGCATGTTATTAAAGAGACTTTGCCTGGATAGAAGGGGCTATGGCCTACATGTACCGAGATTTTGATTTGTAACTGTCAGGGTATACTCCATCTTAAGCTCTCATTTTTACAGTTTTTTTTAAAATTATTTAAAATTATTTAAAATTGTTAGCAGGATCTGGAGTCGTACATTATCATTATATCAATCTGATAAAAACACAGATCCTATTTCTTTTCGTTTTTTTATAGTTCAAAATTTCGTTTTGTGTCAACATATAACAGAATTGGAACCATTTAATGACTTTGACAATATTGTAGTTTACAAAGGATTGGAGACTTTCAGGAATGAAGAACAGATCTTCCTCGATTTTTTCAATGTGGCTTCTTTTCCTCCAACTTGAGAACCAGTCAACTCCTGACTATCTGCTGGGCTCAAGAACTAAAGAACATTTGGAGGATGATGGATGGAGACAAGGGTATTGCCATGATATCATTGATTTATATTTTTGCAGTAGTAACACCCATTTAGGGGTCTAAAAATCTACACAAGTATTGAAAATATCTGTAAACCAAAGCACTGTTATAAATCAAGCTAAACCAATTTACCAAGCTAACTACCAGTTATCTAGAAGCTGTTAGGTTTCCATCACCAGAACTAACAATTTACCAAGCTAACTACCAGTTATTTATAATGGTTGTTAGCTTTCCATCACCAGAACTAACAATTTACTATCATCAGTATCAGCGCCATTAGTTGTCAGTCTCGTGAAAATTCATTAGACTTTGATAACGCACGGGCAGTAAGAGGACGTCTCCGTCCTTGTGTCGATGTAGATTATCACTTTTATGTATGTAACCATGGAAGGCAGATGTACGTCGGACTCTGATACCTTATTAAAGAATGTATAATTATAGTTAGCCTTTATTTAACATTCGTGACAGAAGAGTTTAAAATTGGTTGATAGCCCTGGGGCATTCTTCACAAATATAAAGCCTAAAATTTCTAGATGCAGCCTTTTCATTTCACTGTCAATCTAACTCAAATCAACCAATGAAAAGTCTGCATTCTCAAAATATTTCAGTTTTAAGTTTCTGTTGTTACATTGATCTGAATTATTTTTAAAATCTGTTAAAAGTGGTGTCCTATAAAATTTGGTATATATTTAGAATAATGAAAGTCAAAACCTACTGGTTCATCTAATAGAAATGAATGAAATGGGGTTTAAGGTCCTACTGTTCTGCTCCTATGCTGGGCTAATGAAGATGGGAAATTTTGCCCGGGCAGCGGCACTACGACCTACTCTTATATAGAATTCCAACTCCCAAGGGATCTTTTACGTGCATTCTAATGTATACACGGGACCTCAGTTTTTCGTTTCATCCGAAGGACTAGATAGCTGTCCTTGTCAGGCCCTCCGTCCTGCATCACTGACAAGGGGGAACCACGGCGGAAAATCTGGACGAACTTTCTCGGCCAATGCAGGGATCGAACACCAGACCTCCAGACTAGTGAGCCAGCGCCTTACCCACTTAGCCACGTGATCCCCTAGTCATCTTATAGAGACAGAAGACAATCATTATATTTACACTCTGCCAAATTCTCCCCAGTCAGATCTTAATGGAGAGGGGGCAAATGAAAATATACAAGAAAAGAATGAAATTCAGATTTGTGTTTTACTCAGATTGGTTAAATAAGCACTGACTAGAGAGAGAGAGAGAGAGAGAGAGAGAGAGAGGGGGGGGGGTATTGGACTAACATATGTTAACATTTTATTCAATAATTCATTTGCTAGTAAAGTACTTAAGCAGTGACATGAAATTGGAAACCAGGTACAAGAATCAGTCTGTACCAGTCAGTCCCCATCCCTCCATTAGAATCTGTCTGTACCAGTCAGTTCCCACCCCTCCATTAGAATCTGTCTGTACCAGTCAGTCCCCACCCCTCCATTAGAATCTGTCTGTACCAGTCAGTCCCCACCCCTCCATTAGAATCTGTCTGTAATACCTGGTGCCAACCCTCAGTGAGAAGCTATCTGTACAAGCCCTCTGTGAGAAGGTATCACTCGGTCCCCCCCATCCCCCACACCTGTATGTTAAGGTATGTTTGTTATGTTTTTACCTGTAGTAATGACAGGATCAGGCTTGACAGGTGTAGTAGAAATTGCTAGTATAGATTGATAAGAACTAAGTACATTGTTATTCAATGATGTCTCCTCACATTTACTCTCTAAAATAGACAAGCTTACATATAGAAAGGTACTGGAAATACAAATATACCGTTACCATGACAACAAATATACGCCCACCAGAGACAAGGTCAGGTCAGTATTGGCATTTTAAACATGTATTATGTAAGATTTTGATACAGAGATCGCCGTTCTTGCTATAATAGTTTAAAAATAGATCATGAAAAATGGATATATTGAAAGGCTTGTCATGTGAATAAATGTCTAAAAAATATTTAATATAAATGAAATGTAATGGGGTTTAACGAAGACGTAATATTTAGAATTACATTTGAAGCCAATAAAGACCTGCAATAGTCCAGGGAGAAATAAAATATTCAATCAACTGATTATTTTAACTTCATTCTTATCACAAGAAAAACAATTCCAGCAAGTTTAAAAAAAAAATGGTTTAAACTCTGACCTCAGGTTCAGATACATGTACATGATAAACAACCGTCCATTTCGAAATAGTTCCTTATTTTGACTATATGTTTAAATGTTATATAAATGATTATTTAGACATTTATTAACATGACAAGCCTATAATAAATTCTCTAGATCATCAGATGGCAGATATCTAAATGGATTAGAACGTCTGCTAGATTTAAAAATTTAATGAAGGACATTCAAGACTTAAGCCTGGTTTGTCTAGTAGCGTTGCTACGATAATAAACGATCAACGCTACATCTTCAAACAGTTATAACTTCACTCAGAACAAAGTAATTCAAATGAAATTTCAATATATCCATTTTTCATGATCTATTTTTAGAATATTACAGCAAAAATTCTCAGCTCTTTATCTAAATCTTACATAATGCATCTTTAATTAAAGTAAATTTGAGAAAAAAATCTCAGCAACTTTGACCAATAAAATGTTTGTGAGGAGGTAATAACTCTCCATAAAATTAATGCACAACTCTGAATTTTAATATGGTTCCCCATTATGAGTACCAAAACGATTCCTGGAGCGTTTACAAAATACTTTGGACTAACCGACAGACATGCAAGGGTGATGACAATATCCACCCACATAAAATGTTGCATATAAAGGAGATTATCAGCTACCATACTGTAAACCAAAGATCTGATGTGAACAGAAACCACTGAAATCAACACAAATGTAACTTCTTGCTAGTCAATCAAAAATACTCGTTGCTTTAACCTCTAGAGTTAATCTCGGCCCCAGAGATAACTTTACCTTTTGTTTATCTCCAGTAAAACTCGCCAGCCATTAATATATAATCAGCGTGAAATCGGTTCTTAAGGTCCTCCCCCAATGGCTGCTGATTAGCAGGATTTATTAGAATGAAATGCTGCCGGTATCTCGACAATTTGACATCGATTTGTTGCATGAGTTACATATTAATGATCCTTGGTAGGGTGACCCATGTACTCTACAGAAATACAGTTCACTGCTGATAGTTCGAGACTACCACTGAAACGTGCACATTCGCCGTGCCGAGACCAATTTTCTGACAGTATGATACTATAAATAGCCATGGCACGTGCAATTCTCTACAAATCTATCAACTATTACAGCCGTAAAAAATTTATTGACGATTTTGAATAGCAGTGAAACTAAGCTTCTTGGTTATTACAGCAGATTTAGAAATTACGTTTGTTTCATTTTTTAAATCGCTTTATCATTAACTGTAGCGTTAAGAGCGGCATCTTTTGGTTTAGTACAAATAATATCTCTGAATCACTCGGGTTAGACAGGAATATGATACTAGCAGTAGTTTCATTTTACTTTTACAAGGTTCTTAAAACGATTGTTGAGCTACCTAACGTGCTTATTTCTAAATTCAATTTCTTGTTCTAGCTTTCTGTTATGTTACGTAAAAAAGTAGTCTTGATTATCCCGACCTGTCAATCAGACGTAGAATGGTCGATAGACTGGTTAAGCGAGACTAATTTTAAAACAAGGGCATGTAACCTATCTTTTACTCAAAAGTGTCTGGATGTTATGGACGACACTTGGAACCAGTTTTCAGTCTATTATTATAGATGATTAATGGTCATAGCTTATTAAGTACAACATGATCGTTTATTTAGTGACTATAATTGTGTGAAACTGATTTGAGGCTTGGCATATATATATAAATATTGTGGCGTAGTTGTCGAGATATATGGAGATATATGGAGATATTTATTTATGGTGGGTCACCCTATCCTTGGAACATTTTCCACGTCTTGATATCAAAAGTTCATTTGAAAACAGGCGATTTGATGATTTCCCCAGAGATAAACGAACGGTAAACTTCTCTCTGGGAGCCGAGATTGTTCTAGAGCTTCCACAAGCAATCAATCGATATATAGAAAGATGTACGACCACAGTTCAATGTGGGAGATTAAATCTGTTCGAACAGACCTTGAAAAACATTTTTTGAATACCGAAATTAGAGTGTTTGTTTGACTGTGAGTAACTTTAAAACAAGCCACCTGTCGTTTACAGTATGTTTATATATGATAAAATTATCAACTAAGTCACCAATTTGATTTCCAGTTCTTTGTGGACATGATAAATAAATGGCCGCTTGAATCATGTGAAAGACGTTTAATTTAAAAATCTCAAAACTTGGAATTTGGAACTAACATTTCTTGTAAAGCACAATATAGTACTGTTGATTTGTAAATTTAATTAGGTTTTTTCTTGAGAAATAAGTTATATTTTAACATGTTTTTCATTTAGAACTGAAAATCAAATGAATATGGTCTAGAGTTAAAGCATTAAAAGATATGATTCTATATTCAATTAACATTAAAGATATGATTCTATATTCAATTACCATGAAAGCAAGTTGTTAGTTTGTTTTAGTAATCTTTCTGGAGAAACAGCCAAGGTATGGCTAAAATAGTTGAAATATATAAAATATAAAATGAAATGGGGTTTAATGTCCTACTGTTCTGCTCCGAACAGGGCTAATGAAGACGGGCATACGCCATACAGTGTGGTATGAGAAAATTTTTGTCAAAGGTTCTTTTGCAAGCATGCCAATGTGTACATATGGGGCCTTGTTTTTTTGTCCCATTCGAACAACTAGACACTGTGTCTGTGTCCTGAACCTCTGACAAGTGGAAAATACAACCAAGTTACAAATAGTTATTTCATCAGGCCCTTGGACCCCTGTGATCCCTAATTACCTCTGTAACATCTTCTTTTGATTCCCTCATCCTCCTCATCGTCTAATGACCTTTTCATCCCAGAAAACGCTCGAAACACAGCAGAATCACTGCCTCTACAACCATTAATAGGAGACTCCCCATTCATTTCTGAGTCATCTCCCTTAGTGTAACCATGGAAACCATTGTGTATGGAGTGATTATTGTGATTTTCATGAGTAGAGATTTCCATGTCCATATCACAGTCTCCTGGTGACGTTTCACCATTATGCATAGAATGTCCATTCATATTATGTGATTGTAGGCATGTATTATTATTATTATTATTTAACGATTGAATGGGTTGATGTGTCGATTGCAGCTCTCCTGCTTGTTGCAGTTGCAATGCCTTTTCTAAGTATTCTCCGCAATGAATATGATTACTATTGGTAGCCACTTCACAAGCTGTATGTCCATTGTAGTTTTTCATGCTAAAAAAGATAAAAAACAAAAAATAGATACATTGTATTATTCGATATGAATCATGTTGGTGGATGGGGAATATTGTAATTTGGCTATATTGGGCTATCTACTTTTATAATAACCCCTCCTACTTTTACAATAATCCCTCCTACTTTATAATAACCCCTCCAACTTTTATAATAACCCCTTTTACTTTATAATAACCCCTCCTACATTTATAATAACCCCTCCTACATTTATAATAACCCCTCTTACTTTTATAATAACACCTCCTACTTTATAATAACCGCTCTTACTTTTATAATAACACCTCCTGCTTTCATGGATACACTTTCTTGGATACCCCCCCCCCCCCTACTGTTACAATAACTTCTCTTACTAATATAATAACTTCTCCTTCTTATACAATAACTTCTCATACTTTTCAAACAACTCCTCCTACAGTACTAATTTAGAATAACCCAAATCCTGAGTACATGTATACATCCAATAACCTCTCCCACTTTCACAATAACCTCTCCCACTTTGAAATGACTTCTACTTTTTCGATAACCTCCCAAACTTTCTTTGATAACCGTTTCTACTTTCTTGGATAACCCCTTTACAAATAGTCTCTCCTAATTTTACAAATAACCTCTCCTAATTTTACAATAACTTCTCCTAATTTTACAATAACCTCTCTCACTATTACTATAACCCCTCCTTCCTTCCCAAGTATAAATTCACGACCTTTGTTAATTACATATGTACTAGATTTAATAAAAGAATACAGATTGCATGATTGAACTATGTAGAGCCACAACAATTTGATTTCCTGTTCTTTCGGGTCCTAATGAATAAATAACAAATTGAATCACACCAATAAGATATTTTCTTTAAAATTTCAAGATGGTAAAGTTTTGGAACTAAACGCTCTTGAACAGCAGCACAAACAAGTAACGGTAATTTGGTTTTTAAACATACAATATGCAAGAGCTAAATCTGCCTATTGCAGGTCTTTCTTTAGGCCTGAAATGATATCTAAATTATTAATTAGACATTAATTAACTTATCCAGAGCGCATTGAACCTTCGATGCCATCACTAGCCTGCGATATTTAGTGGATTGGAATACATTTTTTGAAAACTAATTAAACGTAAAAATGGATAATTGAGACTTTGTTTTTTATCGTACTGACTTTAGTAATGATGATTGAGAGAGGGAGAGAGAAATGGGAGGACCCGGAGAAAACCCACGAGGTTGGACAGGCGACCCTACTCCTTGTCACGTACAACCGGAGTAATGATGATTGAGGCAAGCATAAAAATTCAGAGTGGGGCAATTTGCCTGAAATTTTCATTATATTTTATTTTCATTATCTATTTTTAACTATTATAGCGAGAACTGTCAGTTTTTTTATGTAAATCTCCCATAGTGCCCCTTTAAATAAGAATGAAAATTTGTACAGATTTTCCCGAGAAACAGAAAATAAACTTGGTGTAGCCTAATTGACTCGTATATCATGGTTTTTATAGATATCAATTATTATTCATGTTAAACTATGATATATTCTCATTGATCATAATGTCTATATCTAGCCTCCAGGGTCTCTACACTTGCTAAATAACCGTCTTTAATCAATATAGAAAGATAAATAGGTTTAACATCCACGACACAGACTAGGTCATGATTCAATCTTCAAAACATTTCTATTCCAAAATCCCTTGTGAAAGGAATAATTAGCAGTGCATTAAAAACTTTAGAATTATTGTTTATTTATGTAGTTAATTAATTAAAGATACATTATGGGAGATTCGATAACGAGTTGGCAGTTCTCACTATAATAATTAAAAACTAGATAACGTAAAGGCAATTTGCTGAAAATTTCATTCAAATTGATCCACTATGAACCGAGAACTAAGCGAATGAAATTTCTGCCTAGCCTCGGTCATCATTACAAAAGTCAGTACGATAAACAGCATAGTCTCGATTATCCATTTAATCGTTTAATCGAGAAGGAAAGTTATGCAGTAAATCGGCTCACAATCCACTTAAGATCGCAGGCTAGCGATGCCATCTAGAGTTGATTATGGTCTGGATAAGTTAATTAATGTCTAAGTAATAATTTAGTTAACATTTCAGGCCTAAAGAAAGACCTGCAATAGACAGATTTAGCTCTTGCATAATGCATGTTTAAGTTCCAATAATCTTTTAGATGTATTCAGAAACTGGATAGATCAATAAACTAGAATGCATGAAAAACAGCTACTGTATTACTGTATTTGAAAACATTAAGAAAATACTCTTCAAAATGTCGGCCAAATAAATTAGTAGCTGTTCTTCAATAAGTATGCGTTATCGTTTATCACATTCCACACTGTAACCCAGGTATCATTTAATCTTGCGTATCTAGCACTAATTTCTTTCACATTTGTCTAATATCAAATATTTGTAAAAAATTCGTAAAAATGTTTAAAATCATCTAATTTGTTCTTGTGTCCAGTTTAAATCTGACTGATTAATTTTGATAATAAGTGTCTAATTTACAACTTACGCATTAGGAGTCAAAGGGTTAATGGATCGATTATCAAAATTTTAACGGGGAGCAGGAGATAGGGTTTAACATCCACTGGACACAACTAGGTTATTTTGGAACTAACATATGGTTTCATTTTTTTTCAATAATTCGCTTTTGTAGGGATCTTTAGCAGTGGAAGGAAACTGGAGGACCCGGAGAGAACGCACAAGGTTGGACGGGTGACACTACTCCTTGTCACGTTCAACCGGGGAATCAAAGCCATGCCACTTGACTCAATGACATTTACACATTAAATCATTCGGCCATCCAACCCCTTTCAAAATTATAAAAGAGAAAAGAAAGAAGACTTACTCTAAAGCAGCATTTTGTGAGACCAATAAACTAATACATTCCATACTACCAGCTCTAGCAGCTTTATGTATTGGTGTATCGCCAAGATAATCCTTAAAAAACAAAATATACTTTATGTATTGGTGTATCGCCAAGATAATCCTTAAAAAACAGTATGTACTTTAATACAATTCTTCAACATGTCAACATGTAAACATGGATGGGCGTAAAAGTTGAAGATACATGTAGCTGCCATTTTTTGAGTTTAAAGCAATGAATGAATGAGGGCTATCAATAATCGTTTTCATAATGAAATATATTTTTTGACCTTCTCTCAAGCTGCTCTTAATTTTTAACTTTTTGAATGAAGGAACTCGAAAATAATTGTTTTCATAATATTTTTTCTAGAAATTTCAGTTTGGTTAATTGATAAAATTTGTTTCTATGGTATTTAGTATGTAACTGGAACTACACAGGGACACAGTTCTATAGAATACACAGGGACACATTTTTATAGAATACTGCTGGCTACTCTCTAATCTTTATCAAGCAAATAATACAAGTTTACATAAAGAAACATATGCCAACATCAGCTTAGTCGTCCGAGCAGGTCCTAAAGTGACAAAGGGAGATAACTCTCAACATTATTGATCTGGGAAACTTTGAAAATCAGTAGGCTTCTTTGTCTTATGAAATCAAATAACTGTAAAAATCTCAATTTAAAATTCCAAGCAATTATGGATGATCTACAGACAGGCAGGCTCAGCAACAATATTCGTACGGCCATATTTCAATATTGGTGTATAATAAAAAAAAAAATAAAAAAAGGATTTCATAGAACTGTGTCATGTGTAACAAATAATATGGTACATGTATCTTTTATTAGGCAATGAAAATAGTAGAAAATTGGCCTTGAGTGGGAAGTAGATATTAAAAAGTAATTAATGTAAGCAACTAATATAAACCAGAAAGCAGGGATCGTAAAAATATTTTTTGTTAATTTCATCTCAGGTAATGTACCATACTCAAAATTTTTTTTGTTGCTAAATTCTAGACGTTAGGCATAAATGAAGTCATGTAGATGTAATTTTGTTAAATGCTAGGTTGGAAAGACCTGTAAGGCATCTGTTAAAGATATTGTTAGACACAAATTCCTCTGGTATTGGCTGTTACATGTATGTCTGGCATAGGTTAATCTTTTATTGATCATTCCACTTGCTCTATTTTACTGAGACACTCGGAGGATATGAATTGGAAATTTAAGGAAAACTGGAGTTAAAACAATGGTCTTCGCAAGGCTGTGGGTTAATACACATGGTCCGTCTGTGATGGAGTCTAACGGAAACCAGCCCCCCCCCCCTTGAGTTGGTGAGTTTCTATGATCTATCCTAGAAAGACATCTAACCTGAGTCTCAAGGTATCCCCCTGCCTGTAGTAACCATAAAAGACAGTTCGGTTGTCCCCCTAGAGCAGCTACATGAACAGGAGTCTCCCCAGAACCTTTGGTAGACAAATTACAAGCAGAGACAGAGTTTAGTTCACCTATTAACTTCCTTAGGCAAGCAAGCTACAAAAATAAAATAGAAAAAAAAACTGTTACCGAGAGAGAAAAAATTCTTATATATGAATATCTTCCGTAACTAATATTTTCGTTCTAGTTTACTCGTCGCAAAATATTTTTTGCAGTGGACTATCAGCGTAATCATAAATTTTGTTAATATTCCGGTAATGATTTTTAAATTTGCAAATAAACTGAAAATATTGATCAAACTTTCCCTCAAAATAGATAGCCCAATAAATACTGACACGCTTTTCCAGACTGTAGCTAATCTCATCATCAATGAGTTTAGACGGAGGAGTAGGGTTCCAATTCTAAATTTTCATCATCGGTCATTTTTGATATAATGCATTGAAATTTTTCAATGTAATTGAATGTTTTAATTTATGGTAGAGTATTAGGAAAGCCAGTAATGAATGACATTACAGAACCGGTACACGACTGATTGAAATACTAGAAAGAAACAATATTAGTGAAAGAAGATATTTTTTTTTAACTTTAATCTATCATTCTAACGTTACCTGTCTACTTATAGCGGCACCACAATGGATCAACCATTTTAAACAATGGCCGTTTCCTCCTAATGCTGCGATATGTAACGGAGTTTGATTAAAACGGAAAGTAGCCGCGTCACAACTGCAACCATGCTCTAGTAATTTCATAAGACAGCTCAACTAAAAATCAAACCACAACAAAGAAAAAATAAATTAATATTTGGTCAGATTCGGAACAAAAGCGGTTATTTTGGTCTAATTTAATTTCTTCAAAAACAAAAGAATGACGAGAGGCATGTTTAATTTGAAGAGGCATTAAGATCTTTAGATTGGTAAATAAAAATAATTTTAATTTTGATTTCACCTTTTTAATGATGCATAATGTAAGATTTAGATAAAAGAGAGAGAGAGAAATGGGGTTTAACGTCCACTCGACACAAACTAGGTCATTTTGGGACTAACACATGGTTTTATTTTATTTCAATAATTCGCTTGCGCGTAGGGTTCTTTAGCAGTGGGAGGAAACCGGAGGACCCGAAGAAAACCCACGAGGTTGGACAGGCAGCCCTACTCCTTGTCACGTACAACCGGGGATTCGAAACCATCCTAGTTGACTCAATGACAGACTTTATGATACAGAGCGCGCACGCTAACCATTCAGCCATCCAACCCCCCAGATTTAGATAAAGCACTAGCCATTCTTGCTATAATAGTTCCAAAATAGATAACTTCAAAAGTATATATAAAAATTTCATTCAAATTACTTTATTTTGAGTACCGGTACACTGTTTGAAATTTTGATTAAAATTTTATTATCAGCTTCACTTCTCCATTTTTAAATTAAATCATTAAATTGCGGCCGTTTTTTATTCGGTGTACATGCGTTACCGTATATATTAATAAATTTCTAAAAAATAATTTATATAAATCAAAACCTGTAATAAGCAGATTTAGCTCCTACATAATGCATATTTAATTTAGATTGTGTGTAAAATTTGGGAGTAAATGGCCTATCCATCGCACACGTTAATTTTTAAACAATGTGTGTCATCAAAACGTTTCATGTCTTTATTCCAAGCTAAAATGTATCGTATTGATTAGTTAACATTTATTCAATTGTAACAAAATCTACGGAAGATAATTCAATCGGATTAAAAAGAGGCTTATCAAAAGATTCTGACCATATCCTGTTTATATTGTCTGCAATGGATGTCAAATGATGACAGATTTTCAATTTTTGATATCTTCATTGTTTGTAAATGCCGTACTGAACAAATCTGAGCGATTTTGGGACTGATGTATATATTCTTTTTAGAGATACAAATTTCATTAGTGATTCCACAATCCCTCTAATGACATTCACAGGACTTTAACAAACCCTCATGAACAATACATTAAATAAATTAAAGGATCTCCGCTCAACAGTAGCACTGTAACAGACTTGGTAGATGTGAAGATTTTTTAATAATGTAACGTTTCGGGTAGAGATACCCTTTGTAATGTATCTCTACCCGAAATGTTACATTATAAAAAAATCTTCACATCTACCAAGTCTGTTACAGTGCTACTGTTGAGCGGGGATCCTTTAATTTATTTGATTCTACACCTTCGCCGCGCTGGTATCTCTTTCTGATCCAGTATCCACGCAGATGTATCAGCCTGTCCAGCTTTAGTTACCTTACTAAGGGATTGTTGCCGTCCCTCTTCTCGTATCCAGTTGAACTACATGTACATGTAGGCCTATATATTACTAAGTATGTCGAGTCTGATTTCTAATAATTTACAATCATGTTAATCAAGGATATTTTAAACACAGAATTATTTTTTAAAAACTTAGTTTAATCCTAATTCCTCTTTAAATTATAAGAATAAATAAAGCAAAATAATTTATGGATATAAAAACTTAAAATGTGACAAAATAAATAACGAGCTGTCCCATAATTCAGGGTTTTATAATTAGCAGCTTCAGGCTAGCATTTTGTACAGCATGCATTTAATATAACAAAATACATAATAATAATAACAAACAGGGTCCGTAAAACATACAGTATTTGTAAACATCGTTTAATATAATAAAATACATTATAACATACACGCCCGTTAAAACATACAGTAGCCTACTTGTAAACATCGTTTAATATGCATTTCATTAATGGCCTTTATGGTTTGTGACTTTAATCAAATTTATGGTTCGTAAATCTTTAAAAATGAAATGTTTTTATAATAACACCTTATTGATTTGAATTGAAAGTGTTTACATCTGTGTGCACTGCAGCATGATAGGCCTACCGCTAGGCAATTATGTTGCTAAAAATAAATAAAATTGAATTTGAATATTTCTTTTTATCTAGCTGCAGGTACATACATGTACATGTATTTCACCTATGACTATGATAATGACATGACATAAAATTTGTATGCATAGAAAATAGAAATACATATGTATGTACTATGTAGACCATCCTTTTACTTCAAGCAATACAACAAACCTATGGACATTTGACTTGTGTGATACTGAAGGCGCCTGTCCAACCTTGTGGGTTTTCTCTGGGTCCTCCGGTTTCCTCCCACTGCTAAAGACCCCCTACACGCAAGGGAATTATTGAAATAAAATTAAACCATGTTAGTCCCGAAATGACCTAGTTTGTGTTGAGTGGACGTTAAACCCCATTAAAAAAAATAGAAATAAAAGTCAAAAGTGACACTGAAGGAGGGAGTGCCAGCGCCCCCCCCCCCCCCAACCCAACACACTGAGTGTCTAACCCACACAAAAAAAGCCAGGGCAATAGTTTAAGAAAAACGTTTATAATTATAAATAATTATGTCTGTCAATCACTGACAGTGAGTGACGGTCGATATACTATAGTCCATCCGTAATGTTACACAGTAGCCAAATATTTATAAAAGGAACTAAACAGACTATTCTTACTTTCCCAAAATAGCTCGCCCAGTGCGTGGGAGTCCAGCCATAATAACCGTCTTCTTCGTATAGATCATGCTGGCCGGCTAACAACAAAGCCGTTACTTTTTCCTGGTCGCCGTCTCGACAGGCTTTGTGTAACGGGTAATCCACTTCGAGCGTTCTCTCGTTCGACGTTCCTAAATGTTGTGACATTTTTATACCAAAATACTCCCTAATAACTTATAAATCATGTCAGCATTAAATTTTAAAGAAATATTTTAATTTGCCGACAATTTTTTTGAATAATTCTCGGTACCCGCCAAGTGTAGGTCAGTGCTCGTTGTTGAGATCCGGGTACCTGTTTATTATGGTCACGTACAAATTTACTATCGGAAAACTTTGATAACGAAATTCATCAAATAGAAAATAAGAGGAAACGGAAACTAAAATATTTGAGTATATTTAAATAAACGTATATTTTGGGGACATTTATTCAATATAATTTTTAGAAAAAGTATTGAATTTTTCACCTAGTCATTTTGTTTAGTTATAAAGTTCCTTGATTCCTAAATTTTATTTTTTACCTATTTTAATCGTCTGGGCACGCGTCAACTGTTTACAGCTGACATGTCAATTCGTAATCACTTGGTTTAACACATTAACAAAATATATTTATATTCAAAATTCATAGCCTGAGATTTTTCACATGCCTAGTAGGACGGGGGAAATATTTTCTGTCATTTTTACCATTATTATTGATAAAGAGAAATAAAATGAAATCGATAGACTTGTCTGTTTTGAGGTCTGCTGTTTCGAACTCAATTACAACCACGAATCACGAATAAAAAAGGATCTAGGACAACAAATTACGACATTTATCGATCTCGAATACCCGTAACACCAAATACCCCTACTAAAAACATAAAGTTCCTTTAAAAGGCCGAATTGTTTTTATCGATATTTGAATGATTACGAAAACTGTGAAGTGTAGAACCCACTGATTACGGAATGTCTGCCATCTTTCTAAAAACTATTGTTAGTAAATAAAAAGGAAGAAATAAATGTGCGAGTTCATTTCATGTGCATTCACATTGCATTTTATGATATAACACATACTTTCTATTCTGGGGACGTATGCAATTTTATTCACGTGATTTGCTTTGAAGGAGTGCTGAAATTATAAAACGTAGTGACTCATTCATTCGTTTCGTATTTAGAGTCCAGCACCAAACAATAGGGATCATTTGTTATTTCAGATATGTTCGCTTATTTCCGTTTCCCGCCACTCGATACCTACGTTATTTAGGACATGCATTTTAAATTTGCTGATAAACCAGTTTAGTTTATACGAAGGAAGGATATTTTAAATGTTTATTCTATCGTTTGTTTCCGACATGATATCCCAATTATCACAATAAATTGACTGGTCCCCTCACATGTTGGTAAGACGACGCCATATTTATTTTTAGGCGCGATCGAGTGCCATCTGGTTAAAACCAATTAACACTAGTTACAGTCAGAAAAATCCAAATCAAACAATGATTCACGAAGCACTATTAAGTGTAGGCTGAAACGAAAGTAAACAACATATTCCTTGTGCAATTCATAGGGTAAGGGTCCCAGGGACAGGGTTTTAAATTTTATATTTTTGAGACGAGAGTCAGAATTAGAATATTATTGCGTTTTATTTATAGAAATGAGGAAATGAAAAGAGAAAGTCAAACATTTCATACATCATTTCTGATTTTAGACTTAGTAGTTTAGTTTTTAAATTATTATGATCTTGGATGTGCATATAAAACTGATCAGGTTTAATGAAATTGGCTTTCCAATTGCATGTGATCAACATTTTTGTGATAAATAATAAGGTTATTTTGAACAGGATGATTATATTCAAAATCTAATATGTACGGTAACAGACATTGCCTGAGAACAGAACAGAACAGAAAAGTGTGAGAATTATTTTCATTGACATCATTTGATAAGACGCGTAATCTCGCCAGGAATAGGATGAGATTTGATAGATGGGTTGTTGGGAGGACATTTGCTCGCTAACCGGAGACCCCATGTTTAAGCCCTACATTGGCCAACAAAGTTCATCTGGATTTCTGTTTGGTCCCCCTCCTTGTATTATGTAGGGTCAGGTGGTAAGGGGCAAATACAAGGTCTTGTGTACATAGGGGTAGGGGGGAAATGGTTAGCATGCTGTGTCATACGATCTCTCATCATGGATTCGATTCCCCTGGTGTACGTGACAAGGAGTAGGGTCGCCTGTCCAATCACGTGGGTTTTCTCCGGGAACATCCGGTTTCCTCCCACTGCTAAAGACCCCTATGTGCAAGCAAACTATTAAAATAAAATTGAACCATGTGTTAGTCCCGAAATGAGCTAGCTTGCTTGTCGAGTGGACGTAAAACCCCATTTCATAAACTGATACTTTTAATTAGTTTACAAAAGTACATTATGACAATGTGCGGTGAGACCATGGGCTACTACATAATTTTCAAATAAGAGTACAAAAGGGCAGAATAAACAAAAATTATATCTGCTCCGTTTTGCCCTACATTTTCATCTATTGAAATATAACATGCTGTACATGTATCTACATTTGCTTTATCTATAATATGTTGTAATTATAAATACGGTTTCCATCTCAGAAACCACATTAAAGCATCAATTTTTATTCGTAACAAAAAATGAAACATTGATATGGCGTAATCTGTAATATCAAGTTTTGAATTTAAAAATACTTTTCCATTTTAAAAAAACAAATTAATAAAACTAAAACATCAAAAAAAAATTTTTTTTTTTTTAAACATAAAAAAATGCTGTAATTTTTTCCGCTATCAAAGTCCTATAATAGTACATTGATTGTATTATTTGTGTCTGTTATTATCTCAAAAACTGAGAAATCCAGTTTAAGTGTGAAAATAAAGCCTATACCGTGTACATCCAAGCCTATTATTAGAATAAACATATAGGCCTCGTGTTTGTGTTACCCTTGAAGTTATCGACTTTATATTGTGTGGACATTAAACACCAGTAATTAAAAATTCAGATCTTAGAAGACAATTAATATTGATAAATTGACAATATGAAGTTTGGTTATTGTTTGTGTTCGCTGTTTTCCTATATTGATGTCAATTGATGTATATTACAATGTTTTTACAGATAATATCCTAACAGTACCAATTAGTCATGTTTAGTGGTTTTAACAATACACCATGTAAGTTTTATTATCTCACTCGTAATCTCACACTTTTTCTTGTTTAAATACATGTATGGTTGAATTGTTAACACGTGCGCGGTGTATCATAAGGTCTGTCAATGTAAGTATCTCACTCATAATCTCATGCTTGTTCTTATTTCAATACATATAAGGGCGGTTACCACGTGCTTGCTGTATCATAAGATCTCTCATTGAGTCAACTGGCATGGTTACGATTCCCCGGTTGTACATGACAAGGAGTAGGGTCGCCTGTCGAACCACATAGGTTTTCACCAGGTCCTCCGGTTTCCTCCCACTGCTAAAGAACCCCATGCGCAAGAGAATTATTGAAATAAAATTGAACCATGTGTTAGTCCCAAAATGACCTAGTTTGTGTCGAGTGGATGTTAAACTCCATTTCTCTCTCTCTCTCTCTCAATACATGTATCTCACAGAAGACCTGGCACGGTAAAATTTTTAGTCCCTCTGATGGTCATAAAAATGGTTTATATAATGTTAAAGATCTCCTGAAAGTTGCAAACCGAAATAAGAGTAGGCTGTTGTAGCCAAATTTTCCCTCATAGCCCCCCTCACGGTGTATCTCCATCTTGATAAGTATACAGTAAGTAAGACAAATATATAGTTTTAAACATGTTGATGTTACTATTGTAAACTTTTCACCTTACAACAGTCATTTTGTATTTTATTTTACAGCCTCTTTTGGAAATAGTTTTGGATCAGGTAACAACATAATTCATTAATATTACTAAATTGAAATTAAATTTTGAATATAAATTAAATCTTATGTAGGCTGTATGGAATGTCCGTTAAAAACTAGATTATTTTTCAACCAATGATAATATTTTGTAAAATTCAAAGAAAGAGACACATTGTGGGTTTTTGACTGGTTATTGAACTCATGCGCTTTAGACCATAAGGTTTGTCATCAAGCCTAGAAATTAAATAAGGCACCTGTCACAGACAATGTCAGGCACAGATCCAGGCTTTGTCAGGCACTAAACCTCTGGCGTCTGTCATTTTGTCCGGCACTGATTTGTCTTTTTTATTGATATTATTAATACATGTCCGACACTAAGTTGAAAACGTCAGGTACTATTTCGTAAGTGCCTGACATTTTGTCAGGTAAATCTAAAACCGTTATTTCCTGTCCTGTCTGTCATTGAATCAAGTTGCAACACTTGTACACAACAATGAGCAGATTCACCCGAGTCCCAGAATCATCTAGTTTGTTTTGCGTGGATGTTAACCCCATCTCTCTCTCTCTTTCTCTCTCTCTCTCATAAATAAATGTTATATTTGATTACAGCTCAACCAGCTGGTTTTGGTCAAGCAGCCAATTCATCTTTTACGACTGGTGCCGGTCAAACAGGAGGTCTGTTTGGTTCCACCAACAATAATACACCAGGCTTGTTTGGTAATAAAACATCTTTTGGGGGAACGACCGGTTTTGGTGCCACCCCGAATACCAATGCAGCGGGGGGTTTGTTTGGGGGACAGAATACCCAAACAGCAGCTGGTGGATTATTTTCAACACCCAATAATAATGCAGCTTTTGGAGCAAAGACCCCAGGTTTCACGGGTAAGAATCAATTATTGTAGATTAGCAGACAATGGCACATGGGGGGAATAGATTTAAAGTTTTCTGAGAATTCTCTGTCAATTTTTCTACCAATTAGTGTAGGTGGATTAGAGAACGAACTCTCGACTAGATGCAGAAAAGAGGTTGGATTGGTCAAGTGATCTGACGCATACAATTTAGATCATAAGGCCTGTAATTGTGTTGGGGGCAGGGTATCGATCCCTAGCTTGTACGTGACAAGGAGTAGTCTCACTTGTCCAGCAATGTTAGTCCCAAAATGACCCAGTATTTGTGTTGCTCTGATGTTAAAGACACATTCCCAAGAAACTATTTATCGGGTAGTTATTTCTAATAAAAGTATGGCAAATTTTGTATATATGTGGAAATTATAGACAGACGTCATGTCTGCCCAATCTTGCAACAAAGATACTTGATTATCCGAAAAACACTCTTGGGGCAAGCACTGGGCAAAAATTCAGGGTATCATTATCTGTCAGCTTATGTGTGCCAGCTTGACTTAAGGAGCAGTTGTTATTTCTTGATCAAATGGTTAACTGTTTTTGGGAACATTGAGGTGTTTAAGCGTACAACAGGCTCTGTGATTAAACAGTAGAAATAGAAGTTGGCAGGTCATAATCAAAGAATTTAACGAGGCTTCAATAAGTTTGGTAAATGGACAGTAAGTAATGACAAATACATTCTAAAAATCGGCCCTCTTTCAATCAAGTTACGTGACAAACATTGCTTCTAAAAATAGATTTTATATACCTTGGTGTACTTCCTCGTGAATACAATAATACAATGTTTTAAAAGGGAATTGAAGCAAATTTTTGATGGATTAATTTAGTTTAAATATGTTTTTAGTCCAAATATATCAAATATGTGGGAAGGCATCTTCTGTTATATCATCAAAATCACCCAGTTTGTAGTTTGTACGCGGGAAGGTATCTTTAAAGAATTAATCTTTTCGAGTTATATGGCAAACCTAAAGTTGTACAGCACATGGAACTGTTGTACCCACTGCTGTTATCAGGTTATATAACATTCATTCATGGTATTTTGTAATAATGTAAATTAATTTTTATAGGTTTTGGTACGAATACTGGTACCAATACAGGATTATTTGGATCCAATACTCAGAATACAGGAAGTACCTTATTTGGTCAAAACACTGGGGGAACAAGTAAGTTACATAACTTTTATTATTGGCTGTTAGAATTTGACGAAGAGTAGGCGAAAAAGCTGCTGTCCACTCAACACAAACTAGGTCATTTTAGTACTAACATATGGTTCAATTGTATTTTTTATAAATGTTCTTTAGCAGTGGAAGGAAACCAGAGGACCCAGAGAAAACCCATGAGGTCGGACAGTCGAGCCTATTCCTAGCTGTGAATTGAAACCATGTCATTTGACTCAATGACAGATCTTATGATCTGAAATGCATCACTTTATACCACTTTCCCCATCCACTAGTAATTGAGGATGCTAGAGCAATATGGTGGACAAATGCTGTTGTTTCTAAATAAGATCATTCATTTTTATACACCCACATCACGTTTTTAGCTTGTGGACTCTATACATGTAGAGGTCATAATTTTTATCTGATTTAAAAAAAACGTATTATTATATCACCGTTAAACCCTAAGGACGGCTGAGTTCGAATTTCGTGAAAATCGGCCTAAAATTGACAGACAAAATGGCCGCCCTTCGTTCTCAAATAGCGTAAAAATATGGTATTTCAAGGTTGTGGACCCTATAGATTGTGTGAAATGGCACTTGTTCACCTTATTGCACTAGCATGCTCAATAATTTTATTATGTAAGTGAATTGTTATAAAGAACATGACATAATGTGATAAATGTTTATATTTTTAGAGATAATGTGATAAATGTTTATATTTTTAGTGTTCGGAGGTACAGCTCAGAGTACATCTGGTACAGTAGTCAAGTTTGAACCACCAGGTGGTCAAGATTCAATGGTCAAGAATGGACAAACAACGAGTATTGCTACCAGACATCAATGTATCACGGCCATGAAACAATACGAAACTAAAAGTTTAGAGGTATAATATACACATCCTATTTGTTGTTCTAGTAACCTTTTAATAACGCAGGGCACCGTAACTCGGTAAGATGCAGTGGCTCACTGAGTATGATCCTCGCTCGCTAAATAGGAGTTGGTCGAGAAAGTTCCCCAGGAATTTCCAGCATGTAGTCAATGTCCTTGCATGAAATATCAAGATCTAGCGTATATACTGGCAGATGTTCCACGAGATCACTTTCTATTATTAGGACCCACTGTGGTTTCCCCCTTGTCAGTGGTGCAGTTTCGGATGTGAAGAAAAACCATGTACACATTGGCATGTGCATAAAAGATCCCTTGGCAGTTGGAATTTGATAATAGTAGGTCATAGTGCCGCTGTCCGGGCAAAATGTCCCTCATAGCACACTGTATGGCGTATGCTCATCTTCATTAGCCCAGTATAGGAGCAGAACAGTAGGACGTTAAACCCCCATTTCATTTAATTTATCTATTAGAATACAAATTGACACAGACAACTGGTTGCCATAGTTACACATAGCAAAAGGTCTATCACAGCTCTCTAGTTTCATAAGCAGAGATCAGACACGATGCTTTGATTCTGATAGAAAGACTATATGCACATGGCAAGTAAAATTAGTTAGTCCTGAAATAACCTAGTTTTAATTTGAGTGGACATTAAAGCCCATCTCTCTCTCTGTTTCAGGAATTAAGATTTGAAGATTATGGTGCCAACAGAAAAGGTAAACAGCAGACGGCAGGAGGATTATTTGGTGGTACACCTGCTGCAGCCACCCAATCGTCGACAGGATTCGGTTTTAACGCAAATACAACAGGTTTTGGTGGAACAACAGGTAAATTGAACGGCAGAACGACAGATTTTTATTTTGAGGGCGAAGGCAGCAGTTACAACAAGAATGTCAAGACGGACCGATCTTATTCTATTGCTAAGATCACTCAATCTGATTGAGACAGATCCTTTCTCCTTTCATTTTTATTTATAGTTCAAAATTACATTCTACTTGTGTATCATAGGGTCTGTCATTGAGTCAACTGGCGTGGTTTCGATTCCCCGGTTGTACGTGACAAGAAGTAGGGTCGCCTGTCCAACCTCGTGAGTTTTCTCTGGGTCCTCCGGTTTCCTAACCATATGTTAGTCCCAAAATGACCTAGTTTGTGTCGAATGGGTGTTAAACCCCATTTCTCTGGGTCCTCCAGTTTCCTAACCATATGTTAGTCCCGAAATGACCTAGTTTGTGTCGAGTGGACGTTAAACCCCATTTCTCTCTCTCTCTCTCTCCCTCACATTTTACTTGTCTTTACTACACTAGAATCTGGAAGAGTTGTTATATAACCAACGCTCTGGGTTGTTGTGTCGAGTTGATATTGTGTGGCGCGCGGAACTGTGGGTAGACATTCGCAGAGATATAAAGCAAAGCAAAATTTGTATTTCCAAATAGACAACTGGTAACACTGACATTTAATTGGTCAATCGAATGACTGACATTATATGATTAAAAGTCATTTGTATGAACCCTGACATGACCTCCCAATATAACCGGTCCGATCTTCATTAGTGAAGGCCATCGAAAGTTTAAAAAACAAAATATAGATCTGTGTTTTAATCCAATTGGTTGCACATGTCTAGTTACACACCAGCCCTTTGGAAGCATAATGTCATTAAGTGAGTCTAGTTAGACACAAGCCCTTCGGAAGCATAATGTCATTAAGTGAGTTAAGATGTTGGCTCACTAGCCATGAGCTCCAGGTGTTGTGGGAGAAAGTTCATTAGGATTTTCCGGGGGTGGTTTCCCCTTGTCAGTGATGCCGGACGGATTGCCTGACAAAGTTTTGCTGTCTAGTAGTATAGATGGGACAAAAAAACGAGGTCCCATGTACACATTGGCATGCATGTAAAAGATCCCTTGGCAGTTGGAATTCGATATAAGAGTAGGCTGTAGTGCCGCTGCCGGGACAAAATTGCCCTCATAGCACACTGCATGGTGTATGCCTGTCTTCATTAGCCCAGTCAGAGCACAACAGTAGGACGTTAAACCCCATTTCATTTCATTAAGATCATAACCTGGACAACATGAGGGGGGTTGGATGGCTGAATGGTTAGCGTGCGCGCGCTGTATCATAAAGTCTGTCATTGAGTCGACTGGCGTGGTTTCGAATCCCGGTTGTACGTGGCAAGGAGTAGGGTCGCCTGTCCAACCTCGTGGGTTTTCTCCGGGTCCTCCGGTTTCCTCCCACTGCTAAAGACCCCTACGCGCAAGCGAATTATTGAAATAAAATTAAACCATATGTTAGTCCCGATATGACCTAGTTTGTGTCGAGTGGACGTTAAACCCCATTTCTCTCTCTCTGGACAACATGATAGTGTAACCATAGAAATGACTATTTGATAACCAATTGTCTGATGTATTCCCCTAAAAGTTTAATGACCCATATTGTTGTTTCATTAGGTTTTGGTGCACCAACATCATCAGGAAGTGGTGTATTTGGTCAACAACCCACCCAGGCGTCATCTACAGGTCTATTTGGAGCAAATAAATCTATATTTGGTAATACACCAAGCACAAGTAACAACACTACTGGTTTTGGATTTGGAACTACGAATACAAGTCAACCTAGTACCCTTTTCGGTGGTGGGAAGGTAAACTTTTATTTTGTCATGGGGTTTAGGGGGGAAGGGGGTTATATGGTCTTGACACATGTGCTTTAGACCATAGTGTCTGTTAACGAGTCAAGTGGTGGGGTTTCAATCCCATGCTTGTACGTGACAGGGAAAAGAAGCATTGTCTGCCCAATGTGGAAGGTTTTCTCTGGGTCCCCTGGTTTCCTCTCACTACTATAGACCATGTGTTAATCTTGAAAAATGCGGGGAGTTGGATGGCCGAATGGTTAGCGTGTGCGCTGTATCATAGGGTCTGTCATTGAGTCAACGATTGTAGTTTCCATTCCCCGGTTGTACGTGACAAGGAGTAGGGTCATCTGTCCATCTTCGTGGGTTTTCTCTGGGTCCTCCGGTTTCCTTCCACTGCTATATACTTCTATGCGCAAGCAAATTATTGAAATAAAATTGAACCAAATGTTAGTCCCGAAATGACCTAGTTTGTGTCAAGTGCACGTTAAACCTCATTTCTCTCTTTCTGAATTCACTGAATCAGCCAATGAAACAGCGTTTAACATAGATAAGAATTAACATGATGTTGGATTGCATAAAGTTGAATATTTGTTTGACGAATAAATTCTCCATTATGATCTGTTCTAGTCTCTGTTTGGAGCAACAGCCACAACACAGCAACAACCTTTATTTGGAACAGCCACTGGAACATCAACTTTTGGTGGAACATCATTTGGTGGTAATACAGCTTTTGGTACACCAGCTCAAAGTGTAAGTTCTTTGTTACAATATCTTTTGGTCGATTTGATTTCTGTAAGTGTTTTCTAACAATATCTTTTGTTCAGTTTGGTTTCGGGTCAAGGCACTTGAATATCGTGGGCAAATTGCGAAAGCCTTGTTTTAAAACTGCATAAATAACTGTCAATTATGATATTACATGATAATAATACAAACTGGTCCAGGAATTATTGTCACATTTTACTAATTTTACATCTCTCTATTTTATGTAATCTTTTACTTTATATAGGAAATATTTTATATCGTGATATACATCAGACACCTTTATTTATTTTTATTAAAGACATTATACAAGAGCTAAATCTGTCTATTGCACGTCTTTCTTTAGGCCTGAAATATTATATAAAGTATTAATTAGACATTAATTAACATGAAAAGACCATAATCAACTCTCAATGGCATCGGATACTCAAGATTTTAACTAGATTAGAACGGTTCACCATTTAAAAATGAGGAAGCGAGGCCAAGTCTCGAATATACCTGAGCCGTGGTTACCACAATGCACACATCTTGTTAAAACTACAAACAGTGATAACTTGGTTCAGAATGAAGTAATTTGAATGAAATTTTCAATATTTTCATTTTACATTATCTATTTTTGAGCTATTATAGCAAGAATGGTTAGCTCTTTATCTAAATTTTAAATAATGTATCTTTAATAATTACATGGATTCAATAATATATTTAACTAGTATGGTGTATTTCTGTATATTTTTAGGCAGGTAATCTATTTGGTAATAAACCTGCTGGATTTGGTACAACAACTACAGCCTCTACAGGCTTATTTAACAACACCAGTAGTAATCTATTCGGAGCTAAACCTGCAGGAACTGCTACAATAGGCTTTGGTAATGCTACTGCCACTCCAGGATTCGGAAGTAAGTCTTTCAAATTATATACACACATGGTGTGGTTTCCCCTTGTCAGTGGTGCAAGATGGAGGGGCCTGACCAGGAACAGTGACTAGTCGTTTGGATAGGACAAAAAACTGGGGTTCTGTGTACAAAAAAGAACCCTTGACAGTTGGAATTGGGAATAATTTCCCTGGCCACACACTGCATGACGTAAGCCTTTATTCACTGGCCCAGTCAGTGTAGAAAACTCATGGAAAATTGAAAGTAGATAGAAGACTAAACTGTAACCTGGATATCATTTAATCTTCATTCAATTTCAAATCTTCGTTTGAAAAATTTGTAAAAAAAAATGTCTAAAATTAGCCAAAATCATTTAATTTGTAATGTTGCCCATTATACCATTTACAGGCATTTAATTTCTCGACCACCCAATTGATGTATAATCATCTTTTAGAGGCATTTAGTAACTGGATAGAGCAATAAACTATAACACATACTTATGGAAGAACAATTACTGATTTATTTGGGCGACGTTTCTTGCTTGAAAACGTTGAGAGAATACTCTTCGAAACGTCGCCCAAATAAATCAGTAATTGTTCTTCCATAAGTATGTGTTATAGTTTATGATGTATAATCATTAAGTTTTTGAACAGTAGACGGGAAATTAAAATGCTTGTAAATTGAACACTTGTTAGTAAGATTTACTAAACTATGTCTCGATACTATTCGGATTTCTAGCTAAAAAAAAAAGATATCTAAATGTCTTATTTGTTTACTCCAGACACAGCAGCGACGGGAGGATTGTTTGGTAATAAAACGGGTTTTGGTGCTACACCTGGTACAACAGGTTTTAACGCAGGCGGCAACACGTTTAATCTCGGTGGTTTGAACGCTGCCAATACAGGAGGAATGTTCGGTAATGCACAGAATAAACCAGGCTTTGGTTTCAATTTAAATAATACTGGTACAACTAACACAACCACGGGTACGAATAACTAATTAATTATTCTTTTAACTTTCTTAAATTATGGTAGATAATCCAGGTTAACTTTACACAGACTTTTTTCGTTACAGCCATTAAAAAGTACATAATATATAGATAGAACTGAATGACCATTGAATACCGCTGGGGGTATTCAATGGTTCAAGAGAGTGTATCCCTGCGCAAGTATTCCACGAGGGATAGCGAGTTGAATGCAATAGGCATACACTTGAGTGAACCATTGAATAACCCAAGCGGTATTCAATGGTCATTGAGTTTTATTTTTATTCTATAACTACAAGCAAATCTCAAAATACACTGTACTATCCAGATTATCAAAAAATTTGTTAAAATTCATCATAGATTCCGCCCTTTTTTCTTTCTTTTTTACAAAAATTGTGGTTGCCAAGTGGGGACGTCATTAGAGTTTGATGTAATTCTGATAGTGACGTCATTTGGGACAAAAGTAGTACGTGTCCAAGCCATTGAATACAACCATAGTTTATTCAATGACAGTATTCAATGGCTGTATTCAATGATATTTGCTTGTATTTGCATGTAGTTATAGAATAAATGACCTCATTGAGGAGACGTTCAGGTATATTAAAATGCCATGCTGTATCCGTAACTTCAAAACCAGACGAAACATCCCTGTATTCCAGTCTACCCAGCTGTAAATGGGTACCGGTAGGATGGTGTATGTATTACACAAAAAACTGTTGCGCTCAGTGAAGCAGCATATGTTGGGGGTCTTTCTAACATTTAAAAAGAGTTCAGGGGTAAAGGGAGGTAATCAGGCTTTACCTGTATCCTAGAGACCGGGATAGTAATTGTGTCGTGCTTTGAGCATAAACTTAGTTTGTGGATATAGTGCATTATAAATATGCACATTATTATTATTATTATTAAAGATCATGACGGTGCTCAGATAGACTTTGGGAATTATCTTCCTAAAATAACTTGATGTGACAACGTGTGGACAGAGCTTTTGCTATTGTTGCTGTGGAATGATGGAGATTACTCCTAGTTCAACTTCTTTCTCAAGTCTTCAAATTCTGCTTGAAATTTTATCTTTTCACATACAAAAACTAATGAAATTGTTCTTTGTGACAGGATTTGGAACGGGTCTTGGATCAGGACTTGGTAATTTTGGTGGAAATACATCAACACTTGGAACGTAAGTTTATCCTCAATATTTAAATACTTGATCTGTTACACTCAATATTTAATTATAGTCTGTTATATTTGATATCTAATTACTCTGTCTGTGATACTTTTTTAATTGGGTCTTTCACATCCGATATTTATTGCTCCAAGATTACACTAATCACACTTGGAACTAAATTTTCTGAAAAAAAGCTACTTTGATCTTTTCTTTTATTTTATTGGGTAAATATCAATCTCTATGAAATGATTTTAACTTTCTACCAATATTAATGCAATATAATTGTACTCTCAAACTAATTCTGTTTGAGAAAAAGGCATCTGTAGTGAAAGTTATGTTTTTTTGTTTCAGTAATACTGGATCTACAGCTAGTAACTCTATGTTACAACAACAACTATTGGCTGTAGCTCTCAGTCCATATGGTGATCATCCTCTCTTCTGGAATCTAAAACCTGTAAATTTCTTTTTTAATCTCTTACGGATATCAAATATCTTCATTTTAAACACCATTATTATACTTTTTAGGTTTAGAATTTTTTGAAAAACTTGAAATCTGATTTGTATAGATATTTTTGCAGAAATAAGCATTTAAAGCTTCGAAGATTTTTGCAAAATATTTACCAAGCTTTCAAAGAGCAATAAAATTTGACTGTATTTCAGTAAATAAACTTGAATTATTTGAATAGAAAATGTGATCGCGTAAAGTGTATAGTTGTGTTGATAGATGTCATGTATATAATTAGCTATATTTTAAAAAAAAAACTCTAAAAAACAAGCAATTTGAAATTAAAATAATTGTAGGTCGTAGTATACTTCCTTCATAGCACACTGATGGTGTATGCTAGTCCGGATGAACTTTCTCGGGACAATGCAGGGATCGAACACCCGACCTCCGGGCTAGCGAGCCAGTGTCTTACCCACTTAGCCACGTGATCCCCAACTAAATAAAGAAAAACACATCTATGAACATCAGCGAATGCTCAATTGGGATCATGTGTTTTTTCGCATTTTCTTAGTACGCGTCACACTGGTTGAGAATCCGTGTCCTAGACAGTAGGACATTAAACACCATTTCATTTTGGTCTGAAAGTAAATTATTATAATATTATATATTTTACAGACGGGTGCTAAGAAGGAAGATGTGTTAAAACCAACTAATCCTACAGCACAACGTGCCGCTCTCATGACATCCTCACAATACAAGGTCAGCCCTGGACCCACGAAAAAAGTTAAACCAAAATCTCTACACAATCTGTTAAATGGTGGCAAGGTAAATATTATTTATTTATTGTTTACACAACAGGAATAAATGGCCATCTGGGAAGTATTATTAACAACAAACTAGTTGTTATGCTACTAGTCCAGAAGAATCATAGCTGTTTGGATATTATGTTGTATGAATAAAAGGGTGGCCAAATAGTCTAATGAGGGCTCTTTAGATCATAAGGTCTGACTTCAGTCACCTTGTGGGTTTTCTCCAGGTCCTCTTGTTTCCTTGGGGGGTTGGGTGGCTGAATGGGTGGCGTGTGCGCGTTTGTGCATTGTATCATAAGGTCTGTCATTGAGTCAACTGGCGTGATTTCGATTCCCTGGTTGTACGTGAAAAGGAGTAGGATAGCCTCTCCAACCTCATGGGTTTTCTCCGGGTCCTCCAGTTTCCTCCTACTGATAAAGAACCCTATGCGCAAGCGAATTATTGAAATAAGATTGAACCCTATGTTAGTCCCGAAATGACCTAGTTTGATTCAAGTGGCACAGGGTTCCCGCGGTCCTTGAAAAACCTTGAATATCCTTAAATTTAAAATTTCATTTTCAAGGTCTTGAATATCCTTGAATTTCGCGGAAATAGGAAAATATCCTTGAATTTCAGTTGAGATCCTTAATTTTGTTTCAAATGTCTTCAATTCCTTTTAAATATGAGATTATAACAATAGTTGGTAATGTTTTGGTTATTTTTAAGATGAAAAATTGTAACTTTAGGCTAAAAAATGTCCTTGAAAATTCTTGAATTTGACGTATATTTATCCTTGAATATCCTTGAAAAAATGTTTGATGAAGCCGCGGGAACCCTGTGGCATGGTTTTGAGCCCCTACGCCAGGTCCTCTGGTTTCAATTCACGTCTATAGACCCCTATACTCAAGTGATCCTTATCAATACTGTATGTTATGTTATGTTGTAGGCCCAGTTATTTGAAGGATTAGGAGACGATGATTTTAGTTTTGGTAATGATACGTTTGTTCCGAGGAAGAGTGTCAAGAAATTGGTATTAAAGAAGAATCACGATAATGATGATAGTTCTAGTAACGTGACATCACCGTATCCTAGCAACATATCAATTAATAATGATACCAGTCCTACATCAGGACCAGTTAAACGGTACGGTTGAATCTTAATATTTTATACATAATACCATGCATTAGACTAATGTACACGTTGGGTGGCTGAATGTGCACTTAATGTCATTTGGTTAAGTGATGTGATTTTGAAATCCCTGCTGTCGTTGGTTTTCTCTAGGTCTTCCGGTTTCTTCCCACTGCTAAAGACCCCTACGCGCAAGCGAATTATTGAAATAAAATTGAACCATATGTTAGTCCCCATTACTCTCTCTAACTGATAAAGGACACCTACATGAATTATTGAAATAAAATAGAACCATATGTTAGTCCCGAAATGACCTTATTTGCATTGAGTGGGTGTCAAAAACCATTTCTATCTCACTAATTGAAGCTTTATAGTTTGTTGTCGTGGGTAGTGTGGTCATAATGGGGGGAATTAATCAGTAAAGAGTAAATCAAATTCTGTGAATGTGTTTATAACAGATGTATATTTTATAGGTTATATCCTGTGAATGTGTTATTACAGTATATTTTATAGGTTATATCCTGTGAATGTGTTAATACAGTATATTTTATAGGTTATATCCTGTGAATGTGTCTATAACAGTATATTTTATAGGTTATATTCCGTGAATGTGTCTATAAGAGTATATTTATATATTTTGTAGGTTATATCCTGATTTAAGTATTTCGTCTGACTGTTCTATTATACCATCAACACAGAAAATAACAGATCCTATAGCTCAGTAAGTTATATAACACATCCTATAACTCACATCCTTTACAACCAACATTATTTTTATAAGACGTTTCCTTTGTGACCGGTTTCATATTAAGATTCTGTCTTATGATGATTCATGCACCACTCTGTTAAAACTAGTGATGACTCCATTTTACACCAAACCAAGTCTGAAGACAGATATTTTCAATATTTCACTACTAATTAATTTTACAAGCATTCAAATAGGGCACCTGTCACAGACAATATCTGGCACAGATTCAGGCTTTGTCAGGCACAAAACCTCTGGTGCCTGTCATCAATTTGTCCGGCACTGATTTGTCCTTTTTATTGATATTATAATACATGTCCGGCACTAAGTTGAAAATGTCAGGTACTATTTCATTGGTGTCTGACATTTTGTCAGGTACATCTAAAGTCGTCATTTCCAGGCCTGCAAATGTTTGATGGACTAAATTTGTGTAAAATTTCAAATTTGGCAATGTTGGCAACATTCTATTGTCTTTTAGTTAAGATGATATTTGAAATGAACCAGTTGGGTGTCTAAAAGGAGAAATTTATCCCAGTTAACCGTGCTATGGCCTACTATTATCTATTTGTTTTGTTTTTGATATAGGACGATAAATTTGGAAGAAAGTGATAATGGAAGAATTCTAGATTCCCAGAATATCATCCGATCTAGAAAATTGATGGAACCTATCAATAGAGGTTCACAGAAAGAGTAAGTTATCATATAACAAAAGATCGGTCATTGAGTCAAGTGGAATGGGTTCAATCCCAGTCTTGTATAGTACAAGGTATAGGCTTGTCTGCCTAGACTTGTGTTCTTACTCCAGTTTACACCCTAAAGACCCCTACGCACAAGTAAATCCTTAAGATAAAGTTGTACCATATGTTAGACACGAAGAGAATGATATTAAAATCTCTCTCAGAATGAAAACTCAGAACTCCATTTATTGAAAGTAATAAACAGGGCTTGCCACGAGACGCGAGCAGTTGCTCGCGCTCGCTCTGTGCTCGCGTAAATCTACATTTACGCGAGCGGTTCGTTGCTCGCGCAAAATTTTAAGAAAACCCTGTAAAAAATAATCAAAATATTGACAAGTTGATTGCCGAAACTAAACCAACAATGTCAAAAACTTCATAAATTCGTCTGTCAAACTTAGATTCACCCAGCTGCACGCGGCATTTCCTCCTTAAATTTGATTGGCTAAAAAGTTACTCAGCACTCTTGTTACTAAAAATACACTTTAGACCTGAACGTTATGACTGGTTTTCCTACGAACACCAGTAACGAACGCGTGATAATCGAGTCTAAAGTAAAGAATTAGGCATTAGGCATTCACGCTAAATGAACACGTTTCAAACTAATATTTATCGATATTTCCTATTTTATCAGAACTTCGGTTTTTATTCCATTGTGCAGTCGTATAATTTTCAATCTAAGCGTAATAATGGCCAAAGGCAACCTGATTGCCCTATCCACATTTATTTCGTGGGGTGAAGAAATCCATACGGAAATTGGTTTTAATAAAGAAGAGTACGTATGACTGTTAAAAACAGAAAGCGATGGTCACACATGTTTACTGCAAACTTTGTGCCAGGAATAGCAATTTTCTTATGATTTTAAATTGAAACAATGTTACAAAATGTGTTTCACGCAAACAACATTTTGCGTGAGCAATTTTTATTGCTCGCCTTGCTCGCCCAAACCTAAATTTGCGTGAGCAGTCATCTGCTCGCCATCAATTTATTCGTGGCCAGCCCTGAATAAAGAAAAAATGTCTCTCCTGTATTTACAGTGCAAGCAGTCTGGATGATACTATCACAATATTCCAGAAGCCCAGATTATCAGGTGAAACTAGTACAGAGTTAAATGAGACACCGACATCCAGTGATAGATACAATGGTATTAGAAACTCGATAGAAGAACAACAATCAGATGATGTGAGTTATACATTTATATTCAAATAGATAAAATGGCAATCCAGGGAACCATGGTGACTCGCTAACCTACCTGTCCCGTATTCAATCCCAAGGTTGGCAGAGAAAGTTTATATGAATTTTCTGGCATGGTTCCAGTTTGGGAGTGTTGCAGGACTTGAAGGCCTGGCGACAAACAGCATAAAGTCGTTTGGATGAGACGAAACACAGGGGTCCGTTACACCTTTAACGGTTGGAATTGGAAATAAGACTAGGCCATAGCGATATAGCACTGTGTATAGCATACATCTGTCTTGATTAGCCCAGTCAGTGCACAGACATAAGATATTAAACCACATTTCATTTCACAAAATGGCAATCTATTGACAAGAAATTGAGTTGTATCAGAGTTGCAAATGAAATGGTGGTTTAATATTCTACGTTTCTGCATCAACAAGGGTAATACAGACGGGCATACACAATTGGGTGTGCTATGACCGTTCGGACAATAAATAGTCCCTGTAGAGGTGGGGAGGGGGTATATATATCAACAACAGTTATTTAGAGCCACTTTACTATCATGCAGTCTGGTTAAAGATGTACTAGATAATAAAAAATAAAATATTGAAAAAATTTCATTCAATTCTGAGCCCCGTTTTATAACTTCTTGAAAAAATAGCGTGGATTATTTATTATCATAGCAATGGCACTTGACAACAGAGACTAAGTCTCGATTATTCAATTTTAGCTCTAACCTAATATATCTTTAAGTTTGTTGTTCAGGGATTGTTTTTCATTTGGATATTTCATGATTTTTTTTTTTATTTTACAGGAGACTGATTACGAGCCTCATCCAGCTGGAATAGTTTTACGACGTCCTGGATATTTTACTGTCCCATCTTTAGACGAGCTGTGTGACAACGTGGACGATAATGGTGAATGTATAGTCGAGAATTTTACCATTGGTCGTGAAGGTTATGGAAGTGTTTTCTTCCCTGGATTGACCAATTTAACCGGATTAAATCTTGATGAAATTGGTAAGAGATTGATCTTTATTTATACATCCTTTATGTGACAAGAAGTCCTTTATTTTACAAGAATTCCTTTATTTTAACCAAATGTGTTCTCTTTATATAGTTCAGCAATAGAAATCTATTGTTTCAGTAGTCTCCTGTCACAGTCCTGTGTTTTTCGAGATCATGCATGAAAAAAAAAATAAAGATTTATCCTTGAAATCAGTTTTTCGTTACCACAGTGTCCTGACATTCTTACAATAATTGACTTTATTAAATTAAAATTGATTGTAAGACATGGACGTCTGTTTTGTTATAAATGTTATAAAAGTGTTTTGTCTGTTTTCAGTTCATTTCCGTCGTAAAGAAGTTGTAATATACCCTGATGATGATGATAAACCACCTCTAGGGGAAGGCTTGAATAAAAAAGCAGAAGTAACGCTGGACTGTGTCTGGCCTGCTGATAAATCAACCAGGTCACCTATAAAGGTTTGTACCATTAAACAATATTTTTTCTCCACAAGGGAGTAGGGTCGCCTGTCCAACCTCGTGGGTTTTCTCTGGGTCCTCCGGTTTCCTCCCACTGCTAAAAACCCCTTCACGCAAGTGAGTTATTGAAATAAAATTGAACCATGTGTTAGTCCCGAAATGACCTAGTTTGTGTCGAGTGGATGTTAAACCCCATTTCTCTCTTTCTCTACAATGGAGTTGGGTGGCCGAATTGTTTAACATATGAACTTTAGATCATAAGATCTGTCATTGAGTCAAGTAGCTTGTTTTCGCTTTCCCTGCTTGTACATGACAAGGAGTAAGCTTGTCTGTCCAACCTCATAGGTTTTCTGTGAGTTTCCTCCCACTGCTACAGACTCCTACATGCAAGCGAATTATCAAAATAAAAGTAAACCATATGTTAGTCCTGAAATGACTTAGTTTGTGTTGAGTGGACGTTAAACTTCATTTCTCTCTCTCATAGTTAAAATAGACGACATCCAAGAGAAAATAGTTCTATAACACTGTTTTATATTGTTTCAGTCTGTTGAACGGTTAACGGCTATGAATTATCAGGAGAAGATAGAAGAAATAACGGCTAAAATTGGCGCCAAGTTTATCGATTATAGACCCGAGACTGGTTCTTGGGTATTTGGGGTAAGTTGGAGTTTATAGATATTGGATCGAAATACCTTCCATAGCAGTCATTCGTATGGTACCTAAAACAGAGGTCCCATGAATATATTGGCATGGACGTAAAAGATCCCTTGGCAGTCGGAATGTGATAGAAGAGTAGGCTTGTGCCGCTGTCGGGGCAAAATTTCCCTCATAGCACACTGTATGGCATGTGCCAGTCTTCATTAGCCCAGTTTAGGAACAGAAAAGTAGGATGTTAAACCCCATTTCATTTTTCTATTATTAGAATAGCCTCTGATACAAATTGACACCCTATTTTCAACATTTTAAGAAGAGTTACTGTTGAGTTAAAGTTTTTTCCCTCAAGTAATGATAATGTAGAAATGTATCAAATACATCAATAAAAACTATGTGCACAGTTTTGTGTTTCTGGATCAAAGATAATTCTCATAAACAGGGATTGAAAATTGAGTAAATTCTTAACTTAAGTCTGAGAATGAAGTCGTACCCAAGGGGTTTTACTGGCAAGTGAAATTAACACAATAAATTTCAAATTAATTTACTTTTCTCTGTAGGTGAAACATTTCTCCAAATATGGTTTGGTTGATGATTCTGATGACGAGAATACAACAGAGGCCGAGAAAAAACAACTGAAAACGGCTCAAACCAATCAACAACTTGTACAGGTAATTACCTAGCTGTTTATAACAAGCTGTATGATTGGATGAAAAGTGACCAGTGTGAAAGGTGCCTAATGTATGATCCCGCAAACCAAATAAGAGGCCGTCAATAATTGGTGGAAATCTCTGATGGATTATGGGAAATATTTTTGTGTCTGATAATTCATGAGTGAAGTTATTAAAATAACTGTATGAAATTATATTTTTATTATTTTGGTGGTTGTTGAATCTGTTTTAAGATACGTTTCTACGATAATAATTTGATCAATTCAACACACATTGCCAATAAATATTTGTTTTTATGTAAGAATCACACAAACTATTACTTTTCGTCAGCCATCGTTTGTCCAGTTGTTCTGGTGCATTGTACATAGCAGCCATGTTGATTGTTAGCACACTTTATTCTATACACGGAGATCCATATACTTCATACTTCGAGAATAGATCTCTGTCCTAAATGGCCGCCATATCCAACAACTGTTCTGTAATATGGCCCTATGCCGATTCACATCTGTTATACACACAAAGACTTATTAAATCTTTTTCAATTATATTTAATGAAAGCAGAAAATATACTTCTCAAAATATACTTAAGTGTTTTTGAGTAAAATTGTTGATTTAGGAATTCAAATGTCTGACAAGTTGCTTACTGTCATCTCTCAAGCGGAACAATTGTAGACGGCGAAAGGTTAGAATGGACACTTGTTTTAAATTCTACAAAGAAGCCAAGTTCATTTCTAAAGCACTTACCTGCTTTTGTTGATACTTGTCACCATAACATTTGTTGGGTGCCAGCTTGAAATGAAATGTTTTTGGCAACAAATGTATTTTTCTGGATGTTGACTACGATTGATATAAATATTTTATTTTGCTGTTGTTTTAAATATTTCATGTACATTTGTTGATTCTAATGTTCTTACTTTATATGTACATATTATTGTATAAAAGATTCAGCTTGACATTAATCGCACCTATTGGGACATATTGGTCCTCCATGCTAGAATAATCGGATCCAGTCTTCTTATGTTTATTATAAGTAGGCTACATATTTAATATAGAAGAAAGCAGTCATTTCTGGTTATTTTTAATAAATGAATTTTTGAAAAAAAAAAGAGACGTAAGCTGTAAACTTAAATGTCTGCCAGAAATGTTGCTGACGGGCCCTTCAGCATGTAAAGCTGGCCCTGTTTATGATATGTACTATTGTTATTGTTAATTCTGTTCAATGTGGTATAATGTAATATTTGTTCAATTTATTTATATTATTATGGAACTAAATATTTAGATATTATAGCATGTTTTTATTTTGCTAGATTTTGATTCTAATATATACACTGACATCCGATTAAAAACTATACCAAGAAACAAAGTTTAGTGAGAGTTGTTGTAATGGCCTTCTCCGTCCAGTCAGTTTTCATATTCTGCTTCATGTCTCATAAACCATTCCAAAATATCTTTATGAGTTAGTAAACACATCATACAGTTGTAGTAATCATTATTATTATTATTATTACAGCATATTTATAGTTCACCCTTTCATATAACATGTTAAGGGGCACTTTACAAAGTGACAATATAATCATAAATAAACAACAAGATTATGGACATGTTAATGATTGTATACAGGTGGTTTAAAACTAAAAGATCTCTGTAAGAGACTAGTTGATTGAATCTATTGTTCAATATTGTCTCACTCTTAGTATAGTTTATCTCGGACGTCAGTAATCTTATATATATATTTTATATAACCTACTGTGATATATATATTATAATGTTTGATTTATATCCAATACATGTCTACATTTGTCTTTGTACATCAATAAAAGTCTGGATTCAAGAATATATATTTTAAAGTTTATTAATTTACTTGTGTTTAATTACAGAAGCATTATGGCAGAATAGATAAAGGGTTGACTATTCTCACTATAATAGTTAAAAGAAATAGATAATGTGAATAGAATATGTTGAAAATTTAAGTCAAATTGATCCACTCTGAACTGAGATATTAGCTTTTGAATTTTAAGCCTAGCCTCGCTCATCATTACTAAAGTCGGTACCATAAAAATCATAGTCTTGATTATCCATTTTGGATTTAATCATCAATGAGCATTGAGCAACAGATTAGATTAAATCCAGTGAAAATCTGATGCATAAGATGTCATCGAGAGTTGATTATTGTCTGGATAGGTTAATTAATGTCTAATTAATAATTTAGATAACATTTCTGGCCTTAAGAAAGACCTGCAAAAGCCAGATTTAGCTCTTTCATAATGTATGTTTAAACTTCGTGAACTGAGTGATAGAAATATTCATTTAATGTACTGGTTGTTCTTTTTGAATCTAGTCGACTGGCGTTGTTTCTAATCCCCGATTGTACGTGGTGACAAGGAGTAGGGTCGCCTCTCCAACCTCGTGGGTTTTCTCCGGGTCCTCTGGTTTCCTCCCACTGCTAAAGACCCCTATGCGCAAGTGAATTATTGAAATAAAATTAAACCACATGTTAGTCCTGAAATGACCTAGTTGTGTCTAGTGGACGTTAAACCCCATCTCTCTCTCTCTCTCTCTCTCTCTCTCTCTCTCTCTCTCTCTCTTTTCATCCCTTACAATCTAGAATATTGTGATAACCGAATCTCTAAAGTGAATATCAGTTTAATCCCGTTCCATATTTACCAAGATATAATGACAAAAAAGCCAGTGTCACATGTAACTATTGGCTCAAATATTTTGATAGGCCTCTTTAATTTAGTTAAAGCCTAGGCGAGAGGTTTATTTAACGATATCTTGTTTACTTGATTAAATATTAAATAATAATATTGTACGTTTAATACACTGAACTCCATACACTGAGTATAGATGCTCATATTGCTACAAACATAATGACATTATGGTTTATACATGCTATGACAATATTCTTTATAACACGTGAAAATTTACATATTGTCTGAAAAATAAGTAAACACATTTGACTGCCAATTCTGTCTAATGATGATTCATGCACCACTCTGTTATAACTAGTGATGACTCCATTTTACACCAAACCAAGTCTGAAGACAGAAAATTTTTACATCACCCATGTTTTTCACTAATTTCTGACAACTTTAGACTACAATTCGATACGGTGAACAATAGAAAGTAGCTGGAAGTCCGTATAAAACATGGGTGAGGCAATTAATTTGAACGAGAATAATATATATATATCACATACCACTGTAACCCAGGTATCATTTAATCTTGTGTATCTAGCACTAATTTCTTTCACATTGTTAAATATCCAATCTTTGTTCAAAAATTCGTAAAAAAAACCTATTTAAAATCACCATAAATCGTTTAATTTGTAGTTATGTTCAGTTTAAAGCTGACCATTCAATTTTGATAATGAGTTTCCAATTTACAAGTGTTTAATTTCTCAATCACTGTTAAAAAATAAACAACCCAATTGATTATAGATGTATAATGATTAATATTTGAACAGTGGTCATGAAATTAAATACTTGTAAATTGGACACTCGTTATCAAAATTAATCAGGCAGCTTTAAACTGGACACAAGTACAAATTAGATGATTTTTGGTGATTTTAAACGATTTTTATGAATTTTTAAACAAAGATTTGATATTAAACGAATGTGAAATAAATTAGTGCTAGATACACAAGATTAAACGATACCTGGTTTACAGTGTACCAATTTGTATGAATCTCGATTTTAACTGGCATGTTGTCAATTCACTGATTGGTTCAACTTTTGATTTGTTGGCAGAAACAGAAAATACAACAGCATAAAGTGCAAGGTGAAGGTCAAAATGGTGAACTGTTGAAAGGTCAAGGGTTGTTACCAATGACAACAGGTGATGGTGACACGGGTAAAGATCAAGTTCTTGACATCAGTGATGAAGATGCTGATATGTCAGATGTCATGAAAGGTGATGGACAAGTGAAAATGGAAGCTGAAGGTAGGCTGGCTATGTTGCTGATCAGAATCAAATGGTTTCTCCTTGGACTTTGATAACTCAGTCTGATTAAAACACAGATCCTATTTCGTCTCGTTTCGTTTTTTTATAGTTCAAAATTTCCATTTACTTGTCTTTACTATAATAGGATCTGGAAGAGTTGTTGTTATATAACCAATGTTCTGGTTGATGAGAGGGATTAGCCAATCAAACGGTCTGTTACAGCGAGTTCTTGACGTTCCATACATGGAACTGTGGGTATCCTACTAGAAACATCAATTCTGTTTAGTTAATCAAATGACATCATAGGGTCAGATTTTCATATAGTGTAGGCCATCGAAAGCATAAAAAAACGAAACGAAATATAGATGTGTATTTTAATAATATTGTTTGATAGCCATGGCAATGTTTGGTAGCCTTGACCTATTGACTTCCTTCCCTTGCACCGTCATAGTATTACAGACATCATTAAAAGGGCATACTAATAAAACAACAGTAGCGATACTTGACTACATCCCAATTTCTATTGGTCAAAATTAAACACTTGTGATTTATTGTAGTCTAATCAGTTGGTCGCTTGGTAGGTGGGTAAGACACCGGCTCGCCAGACCAGAGGTTGCATGTTGTATCCCTGCATTGGCCGAGTTCATCAGGATTTTCCGAAATAAGAGTAGGCCATGGCGTTACTGACCAAGTAAAATTCCCCTTATAGCACACTGTAAAACATGTGCCCGTCTTTATAAGCCCAGTAAGAGCAAAACAGTAGCAAGTTAAACACCATTTCATTTCATTTTGGTCGCTTAGTAGGATAGAGGACCTGTCAAGGACAACTGTCAAGCCGTTTGAATTGGCACTTTGAATTTGATATAAGAGTAGGCCATGGTGACGCTGCCCGGGCAAAACTCCCCTCATGGGACACTGTATGGTGTATGCCTGTCTTAATTCTTCAAGCCGGAGCAGAACAGTAGGACATTAAACCCCATTTTATTTCATTCCCAATATAAAATATATTTGCTTTCCTTGTATTGTGCATGTGATAACAGAAAAATATCAATGACTTTTTAGATTAAAGATGGCCCAAGTAGATTAGAAAATCTATCTGAATTACAATTGTATTTATTTCAGATGATGATGACTTGAAATCTATCCCATCTTCCCATAGATTAGCCTCACAACTCGGTGTCGGACCACAGAATATGCAGGTGATGAAAGCATCATTCTTTACGGAAGATGATTACGGGGATCTGGAGAAAGGTACAAATCATTCTATTCAATAAAAAACGTCAAGCTTACTTTCCAGATCAAGGCAGGATAACCACAGGGGAAAAAGGGCTATGTGAGAGAATGATGGCCAAATATTGTTTGATTGTTGGTAAACTGATTTAATTCCTGTGTTCTTCAACAAGTACCTCAGAATCTAGTTTCTCCTTGTCGCGGGTCAACCTATAACGTCACTGTTCAGGCAATATTTCCCTCATAGGACACTACATGGCGTATGCTGATTTCCATTAGGCTGGTCAGAGCAGAACTGTTAAACTCCATAACATTTTTATGTTTGTGTCGAGTTGGCATTAAACCCATCTCTCTCTCTCTCCATTAGGCCAGTTAAAGCAGCAACGTAAGGGATTAAACCCGATTTCATTTGATTCTATGAACAGAAATTTGTCTGATGTAGAGACCGTTGAAAGTATAAAATAATCTGTCTTATGATGATTCATGCACCACTCTGTTAAAACTAGTGATGACTCCATTTTACACCAAACCAAGTCTGAAGACAGAAACAAATGATTAAATAATCATATTGATATTAAAACACTGGTTGACTTGACCCTATGTTTATAATTAAAACAGATTAACAGGTTTTATATCTGTTGTAAATTACACTCTTGTGAAAGTTGAATCTCTACACGTCAAAATAAATCAATCCATTCAGTATTTATAATAGTCTACAGATATAAATAAGCCATGTGACCTATAGGTGTTGTGTAAAATGTTCTGATTGACCTGTCATTACTCCATCCTACAAGATTACCAGGGGTTATTATTTAAGTTTAGTTTTCAAATTAAAATCATTTTGAGTATATTTTAGTGCACTAAGTTATGAAACATTAGATATTGGCCTTTTAAAACCCTAGTTTTTATACACCCACATTGAATTGTCGTCGCCCCTGCCATCCGGCATCCACAATTGCTTGTGAATGCCTTAGAGGGTAAAGTTAATATCTGATTGGCCTTAAATTTATACACAGTGTTTAAGGTCATGAGACGAAGAAGCCTATTGATTTTCAAGAATTTCCAATGATTATGGAAATTGATATTAAATGTTTTGTATGCTAAATGTTAGAATAGGGTAGAACTAAAGGCCAAATGGGTTGTTACTCGTAATCAGTTTTTAATGTGTTGTAAATGTTTTCATTTCTGACAAAAGAAAAAATATGGGTCAACCCTTGTTGACTTCCCGGACGACTTAGCTGCTGTGGGCGTATGTTTTGTTGCCTGGCAACCTATCTTTTTTACTTTTCAGGAAAATTATCAACTTTCACAAAATCATCCGGTCACGCCTCCCCACTTTTAAAACAAGCTGAGAAAAATATGCCAAGTCTTTTTAACCAATCACTGATGTCCAAATATTCATCTCCTTTATCAATACCCAGATCTCCGTTACCAACAGATATTGAAATGGAATCAAAAGGTAATCTTATAATTATAGGTTCAAATCTTTAGAATACAATTATTCCTTATTACTGAGAGATTCGGCTAGTCTTTACTAACGCTGTAACCCAGGTAATCTTGTGTATCAGGAGTAAAGAGTAATTATAAAAGACTATTGGTTCCTTTAAACATACATTATGCAAATCTGCCTATTGCAGGTCTTTCTTTAGGCCTGAAATGTTATCTAAATTATTAATTAGACATTAATTAACTGATCCAGACCATAATCAACTCTCGATGGCATCAGATTTCTCCGATATTAAATAGATTAGAATGCTTCAGCGATACTTTGATTTAATCAAATATGGAGGACCGAGACTTAGCTTCGATCAACCAGTACGGTGGTTGAAATTATTGCACGTCTGTCAAACCTTCAAAGGCTAATATCTTCGTTTGCAATAGAGTAATTTGAATGAAATTTTCAAATTATTCATTTTACATCATCTACTTTCGCACTATTATAGCAAGAATGGCTAGTTCTTTATCTAAATCTTACATAAGTATCTTTAATTGAATTGAGTACAATTACTGAGTAATTTGTCTAGTTGTTATCCCCCAGTAATACACAGTATTTGTGTATCTACTGTGACCTGTGAATCAATTATAAAACACTATTGAAAGAGCGGGGTTGGATGGCCTAATGGTTAGCACGTCCGCGCTGTATTATACGGTCTGTCATTGAGTCAACTGGCATGGTTTTGATTCCCCGATTGTACGTGACAAGGAGTAGGTCACCTGTCCAACCTCATAGGTTTTCACTGTTTCCTTCGGTTTCCTTCCACTGCTAAAGAACCATGTGTTAGTCCCAAAATGACCTAGTTTGTGTCAAGTGGACATTAAACCCCATTTCTCTCCCTCTCACCATTAAAAGATTAGATCTTTACCTTGTTGAAGTGTTGTATGTAGATTCAACTAAAGACCAATGTTCTGTTTGTCGGATCACATTGATTTTGACCATCATAGCTTTTCATGAGAGGAATAATGTCTACACAGTTGACAAAATTGTCTATTAGTGTACTGTCATTAACTGTGTACTTCAACGATCCCCACAAAGTTAGCTTTCAGAAGATCCCCCATACATTTGATATATGAAAATTCCTGATAATCAAAGTATAAAGATTGTCAGTATATGAACTATGACCACAAAACCTCAATCTAGAGTCTTCACAAAATTCTCTTTAAATTTGTAAATAATTTCAAGATGCCTCTCTTTTATAACAGATTAATCCTTTTTTCTTTTTCTTTTTTTAAAAACAAAAAAAATATTTTTATGTCAATTGATGTTATATTTTCAGCCAAAATTCAGAAACTTTTTACACCTGAACCCCGTAAAAATATCCAGCATTTTATATCAACACCACATCCAGAATATCTTCACATACATAGTGGTATGAAGGAGTCGGATTATCCGAGGAGAATCGTAGGATCTCGGATCCAACGAGAAATTCCACCAGTAGAAGAATCAATGGTTTATAATCAACAGAAACTTCTGCTGGATTCTGGATGCTATATGGGCCGATCATTCCGTGTAGGATGGGGTCCAGGTTGGGCGTTGGCTCATAGCGGTACCACTGTCTACCAGTCTATCGAAGGTGGGTGCTCAAATACATTTTACATAAACTGGTATAGCTCAGTGGGCAACTAAACCATGTCCGATTGCCAGAACTGCTTCTCTTCCAATTTTGTAAAAAGGGCAGTTCCTAGCTATTAACGGTTCTCTATAGAATTAGTACATCCAGAAGACATTCCACATGATCTTTTAAATTCTGTCTAATGATGATTCATGCACCACTCTGTTAAAACTAGTGATGACTCCATTTTATACCAAACCAAGTCTGAAGACAGAAAACTAGAACAATCAAAACAACGTGTTATTGAGTAGGCTACATAAAATCTTGTTAATTGTTACCGTTTTAGTCAAGTGTCACGGTGACTCAGTAAGTAAGGGACAGACTCACGAACCAGGAGGCCCAACGTTTGATCCAAGTGTTGGTTGTAAATGTTTCTCAGAATTTACCAGCTTTGTTTCATTTTGCGAGTTGTGCAAGATGGAGAGCCTGTCAAATTACAGTCATTCATCCGTTGGATGGTACAAAAACATTGACATTCACTTAACAAACTTTATCTGCTGCCTAGGAAAATTTTCCTCTTAGTTTATTACATGAAGCATGTCCATCTTAATTGGCCTGGTGGGGAAATGAAGTAGGATGATAAACCCAATTTCATTTCACCTTTTGTATCTGCTGTATATGGCCGGATAATACATAGAGGTTATTTGTCGTTTTAGAGTGAATAACATATTTTATTTCATCGAGAAGCAAGAAAACTTTTCTTACTTAGAGATGAAATAAAATATGTTATTCACGACAAAACAACAAATGTTCTATTTATTTTATGATTTTACAATCATTTTAGGTAAAAACAACATGGACTACTGCTAGCCAGTGGAATAACACTTTTATTTCACTGATAAAACGCGGTATTCCACTACTGATCATAAAATAAATGTATTCATTCAAAATATCATAATGTTCATATCACAAAATTACAAATTTATTTTCACAGATAAAGCCATCAAACAAGCTCCATTTTCACTTCTGCCATCAAACAAGGGAAATAATCAAGTTAAATCTAGTGGTAGAGATTGGTTGGTTGCCATGGAGAAGGTAGACGTAGCAGACTACTTCTCACCAGAAGATAAACAATTTATTGTAAGTTTATATCGTGTATATCATCGTGGGACTGGTGGTGGCTCAATTATTTAGACGTTGGCTTACTTACCTGGAGGTCCCATCTTCTTCAGGTTCACCCTTGTCTGTGGTGCAGTTACAGTTTCTAGTGGCTTGGATTGGACTAAAAACTGAGGTCCTGTCTGCACGTAAAAGAACCCTTGACAGATGGAATTCTCTCTCATAGCACACTGTATGGCGTATGCCCGTCTTCATTAGCTCAGTCGGAGCAGAACAGTAGGACGTTAAACCCCATTTCATTTCGATACGTGACAAAGAGGTTGGTAGCAGGTTCCACCTCATAGGTTTACTGCTGGTCCTCCTGTCATGTTGCTATGACTAAATGAATTATATTGGATTGTTATTATATAAAATGAAAGTAGAGTTTATGTTTATTTATAGAATCATGAAAGAGAGATGTTATCAATACAGTTAAAGAATAGTGTTAATACTATTGATAATGGCTGTCCTTTATTTGCTACACAACGTGGTGTAACGGCTTTACATGAATATTCTACATTAACAGATAAAACATTGAAAGATCTCAGTAAGTTAAATATCTACACTGTATACAGGCCTTAAATATCTATACTCTATACAGGGTTGGATGGCCGAATGGTTAGAACGTGCGTGCTGTATCATAAGGCCTGTCATTGAGTCATCTGGCTTGGTTTTGATTCCCTGGTTATACACGACAAGGAATAGGGTCGCCTGTTCAACCTCGTGGGTTTTCTCCGGGTCCTCCGGTTTCCTCCCACCGCTAAAGACCCCTATGCGCGACCGAATTATTGAAATTAAATTAAAAACCATATGTTAGTCCCGAAATGACCGATTTTGTGTCGAGTGGACGTTAAACCCCATCTCTCTCTCTCTCTCTCTCTCTCTCTCTCATATAGACCTTGTGTAATGGATCAAATGAGATAACTAGTATTTCCATAACAAGATAGAAGTATGAAAACATATCAAGTAATCTAAGAAGATGTGGTGGGGTTGGTCTAATGTGTGCTCTATAAATCACAAGTCAAGTGACATGGTTTCCATTGTACGTGACAAGGAGTAGGGTGGTCTGTCCAAACTCGTGGATTTCTTTCAGGTCCTCTGACTGAAATAAAAGTGAACCATTTGTTAGTTCCGAATGAACTAGTTTGTGTCAATTGGCCGTTAAACTCCGTAAGAAGCTAAGGGAAAGTACATGGATGTATTACAAATCCAAACTGTCACTCCCATTAGCTACAACATTTCACATCTCTTTCTCATTTGAAGATTTCACATAGCTAATAAATTCTGTAGTATTTAAACATGCATTATGCAAGAGCAAAATCTGCTTATTACAAGTCTTTCTTTAGGCCTGAAATGTTATCTAAATTATCAATTAGACATTAATTAACTTATCCAGACCATAATAAACTCTCGATGTCAAGGCTAGCCTTCGATGTTGGCTGGATTAGATTCCTATATGCCGCTTAACGGCCATTGATAATTAAATCAAAACAGTGGATAATCGAGACTATGCTGTTTATATTAATGATTTTAGTAATGATGACCGAGACTATGCAAAAATTTCACCCACTTTTTTCTCGGCTCATAGTGGATCAATTTGACTGAAATTTTCAACAAATTACCTTTACACTATCTAGTTTTTAACTATTATAGCGAGAACTGCCAACTCTTTATCTAATCTCCCATAATGTATCTTTAACAAAGAAACCTTTTGTACTCTTTTGATAAAATGTAATAGTTTAATTAAAGTGATATGATATATTTATAGAATGGCATCCAGATGAAGGTACAATACAACATATGAGTATGGTATTTAATCTGTGTGTAGCATTGTGGGGTAATATGCCTGGTTATCAATATCATAGTAAGTTATAGTTTTATATATCATACACTCTAATATCTTTCACATTCGTTCAATAACAAATCTTTATTGTGTCCATGTTAGTTTGATGAGTTTCTTGATTTCCTGATCATTGTTCAATAATAAACAACCCAATTGATGTATAATGATTAATTGGAACTTTATTTCCTTTAAAACACAGTCGCAGAAAACCAACACATTAAACTTGGCTCGTTTGTTTATCTCTGGCAAAACTCACCAACTTTTCTTAAATCGGTTCCTAAACTCCTCCCCAAGTGGCTTCTGATTAGCTGAATTTATTTGAATGAAATGCTGCCTATTTCTCAACAGTTAGGTATCGGTTCGTTACATCAGTTACATATTAATGATCTTTGTAACATTTTCCACATCTTGACATCAGCAGTGGATTTGATGATTTACTGGGAACTATTTTTAGCGTGCAATGTGAGTGATTTGGCAATGTGAACATAAAATACGTGAAATTTCGGAAGAAATGGGAGTTTGAGACGCATCTTGGATCTTTGTGAAACAATTGGTCGAAAGGATACATCACATGACATTCAAAATGGCCGGCAAGTTTTCCCAGAGATAGATGAAAGGTAAACTTCTCTGGGAGCCGAGATTGCTATGACATTAAACATCATGTATGTTTATTGTTTTAGGTGAAGATGTGTACGCTATACATCAAGCGAGAAGAGAAATGTTATCACAATGGTTATCTAATACTGGGGCTGATAAAATATATAGAGAAGTTAACGAATCAAAATTTAAGGTACATCAATACTGGTAGCTCTAATTAAGGTTAACGGAGGGCGTGGATGTCACTGAATGGTTTAACACTTGTGCATTTAGATCAAAAGATCTCACATTGAGTCAAATACCATGGTTTCCCCACATGTCCAACCTTTTGGGTTTTCTCTGGGTCCTCCAGTTTCCTCCCACTGCTAAAGACCCCTATGAACTAGCGAATTGTTTGAAATAAATGTGTTAGTCCCAAAATAATCTAGTTGATGTCAAAGGTTGAATAGATGATCTGATTACACTAGATATAGGAAGCCACGATGGCTAAGTGAGTAAGACGCTCAGGATTTTCGAGCTTCGTTTCCTCTTGTCAGTGGTGCAGAACAGAGAGGGGCTGACAGGGACAGCTGTCTAGTTGTTTGGATGGTACGAAAAACTAAGGTCCCGTATACACATTGGTATTCATGTAAAAGATCCTCTGGAAGTTGGAATTCAATATAAGAGTAGGCTGTAGCTCTACTGTAGGGACAAAATTTCCCTTATAGCACACTGTATGGTGTATGTCCGTCTTCATTAACCCAGTCGGAACAGAAGTCTGACATTAAACCCAATTTCATTAGATATATCTTTTATTTTATTGTGTTTCAGACAAACGCCCATCTTGAAGCCATATTTAGTCATTTAACAGGAGGTCAGATAGCGGAAGCATGTTTATTGGCCCAGCAGTCAGGTGACCATAGACTAGCGTTATTATTGGCCCAATCAGCGGGTAGTTGTATATCAAAACAATTACTAGAACAACAATTACAAGATTGGAAAGAAGTCGGGGTAAGTCATTTTATATACATTCGGTAATTAAGCAGGGTGTTATGTATGCTTTAAGTGATAAGGCCTGTCGTCGAGTCAAGTTGTGTGTTTTCAGGGTTGCCTGTCCAACCTCGTGGTTTCTTTCTCTCTTCCGACAATTTCTTGTTTTCTGAATAAAATTGTAACGATCTGTGTCTTTCTAACTTGTACAGTGTAATCTATCTTTCAAAAAGAACACGACATTCTGTACAGCTTCAGGTGTGGTTAATATATATTTACCATCCAGATTACCCATACATCAGAGTCATTTGATGTGTAGTCTTGATCACATGAACATTATCTCTATACTTGCACGGCTGACAAAGGTTGATTTTGTCTTTTGGTATGAAATATGAAGTCCTTGATGATATTTTGAGATTAAATCAAATATACTCTGTAAACAATATTCTTGTTCATGGGTACTGTCATATTATTTAAAGGCCTGCATGACCTGCTGTTATTCTAATTTATTACCCAATGTTTATTGGGAGAGAGAGAGAGAGAGAGAGAGAGAGAGAGAAATGGGGTTTTAAGTCCACTCGACACGAACTAGGTCATTTCGGGACTAACACATGGTTTAATTTTATTTACATAATTCGCTTGCGCGTAGGGGTCTTTAGCAGTGGGAGGAAACCGGAGGACCCGGAGAAAACCCACGGGGTTGGACAGGCGACCCTTCTCCTTGTCACGTACAACCGGGGATTCGAAACCACGCCAGTCGACTCAATGACAGACTTTATGATACAGCGCGCGCACGCTAACCATTCAGCCATCCAACCCCCCTGTTTATTGGGAACATACAGTTGAATGTTGAGTCAATCAACTGGCACGTTGTTATGAAGAAATGTTGACCGTTGATTTGTCTGTAGTTTTCGGTTGTACGTGACAAGGAGTAGGGTCGCCTGTCTAACCCCATGGGTTTTCTCTGGATCCTCCAGTTTCCTCTCACTGCTAAAGAACCCTACGCGCAAGCAAATTATTGAAATAATATTGAACCATATGTTAGTCCCGAAATGACCTAGTTTGTGTCAGGAGTGGACGTTAAACCCAATTTCTCTCTGTCTGCAGTTTCTTGTCATCCTGTTAAAGATAAAATAAATGTGATTGTATTTATTATTTTAAAGGCTAATGAATTTATAAAGAAGATGAGATTACGATTATATATATTGTTGTCTGGACAACTAGTATTGTCAACAACGGATGATGACATCATCAATATCTGTGAAGACTTAGATTGGAAGAGAGCTTTCGCTTTACATCTATGGTAAATATCATCGCTACATTGAATAGGGCTGTAGAGTCCATTAATGGTTTGGAGCCATGGTGGCTAGGTGGTTAAGACACTGGCTCGCTAGCTTGGAGGTCGGGTGTTCGATCCCTGCATTGGCCGAGAAAGTTCATCCCGATTTTCCGACGTGGTTTCCCCTTGTCAGTGATGCAGGACGGAGGGCCTGACAAGGACAGCTGTCTAGTCCTTCAGATGAGACGAAAAACCGAGGTCCCGTGTAAACATTGGAATGCACGTAAAAGATCCCTTGGCAGTTGGAATTCGATATAAGAGTAGGCGATAGTGCCGCTGCCCAGGCAAAATTTCTCTCATAGCACACTGTATGGCGTATGCCCGTCTTCATTAGCCCTGTATAGGAGCAGAACAGTAGGATGTTAAACCACATTTCATTTCATTTCCATTAATGGTTTAATTCATGAACTTTCGATTATAAGGTCTGCCATTGAGTCAATTGGCGTGGTTTCGATTCCCTGCTTGTATGTTGCAAGGAGTAAGGTCACCTGTCCATGGGTTTCCTCTGGTTACATCCCATCTGCTAGTGCCAAAATGACCTAGTTTGTGGACTTAAATCTCTCTCTCTGGGACTGGCTAGGTGTAGTTCATTATGTAACGTCTTGGACAACTGCCACTCACTGTGTGTAGGGCGTAATACAACGCCTTGGAGGTGTTTTCCCGAACCTATTCTTAGTACATAGTTCTTTGTCACTTTGTCAAATTAATTACACAATAGGAGTTAGTTAAAGTTTTAAAAACGTCGTGCTTAATGGGTTAAAAGCACATAACAATTCAAATTCTGTGTTGATTGATTTTAAAGTTATGTCCATTTTTATACGCCCGCATTGAAATGTGGTCGTATATTGTCGTCGCCCCCGTCCGTCCGGCGGTCCGGCGTCCACAATTGCTTGGGGACGCTCTAGAGGCTAAAGTTAATATTCGATTGACTTTAAATTTACATACAGTGTTTAAGGCCATGAGACGAAGAAGCCTATTGATTTTCAGCGATTTCCGATAATTACTGCCAGAGTTATGGCCCTTGATCACTTCAAAAAATCTTGTGGACGCTCTAGAGGCCAAAGTTAATATCCGATTGACTTTAAATTTATACACAGTGTTTAAGGTCATGAGACAGAGAAGCCTATTGATTTTCAGCGATTTCCGATAATTACTGCCGGAGTTATGGCCCTTGATCACTTCAAAAAATCTTGTGGACGCTCTAGAGGCCAAAGTTAATATCCGATTGACTGCAGATTGATACACAGAGTTTAAGATATTGAGACAAACAAGTATATTGATTTTCAATGAATTTTTATGACTTGGAACAGCTAAATTCATGATACAGTATTAAAATTTTTGTATACAAAACGTTTGCATGGGGCAGAACTTTATAAAAACCAAACAAATTCTAGTGGTTTTCTGAGTAGTTGCTCTTAATCAGATTTTAGTGTATTATAAATGTATAAATTACCGAAAAAAGTAAAAATATGCGACAACTCTTGTTGACTGCCCGGACGATTTAGCTGCTGGGGCGTATGTTTCGTTGCCTGGCAACCTATCTTTATGTAATGTGATATTTCAACAATTTTTTGTATTTTTGTCCAGGTTTAAATGTAAATCAAACGCCCTAATAGAAGAAGCTTTACAAGAGTATGACGAGGCGTTCCAGGGTTCTGATCAATATCGTAGTTACGCCCAACCTCCTTTACCTCCATATTTAGAGAGTATGAAAGATAAGAGCGGTGAAGAGGAAGAGATGATTTACGATACGTGTTATCATATATTAAAACTATACAGTGATCATATGCACAGATTAGAGAAAATATTAAATCCAGTAACATCTACATCACAACAATTAGATTATAGATTAAGGTAAATATTACACCTACGTCACAACAGGTAGATAATAGATTAAGGTAGATATTACACCTACATCACAACAAGTAGATTACAGATTAAGGTAAATATTACCCCTACGTCACAACAGGTAGATAATAGATTAAGGTAGATATTACACCTACATCACAACAAGTAGATTACAGATTAAGGTAAATATTACACCTACGTCACAACAGGTAGATAATAGATTAAGGTAGATATTACACCTACATCACAACAAGTAGATTACAGATTAAGGTAAATATTACCCCTACGTCACAACAGGTAGATAATAGATTAAGGTAGATATTACACCTACATCACAACAAGTAGATTACAGATTAAGGTAAATATTACACCTACGTCACAACAGGTTGAGTCAAGTGGCGTGGTTTCACTACCCAGCTTGTACATGACAAGGTGTAGATTCATCTATCCAACCTTGTGAGTTTTCTCCAAATTCTCCAGTTTTCTCCCTCTGCTAAATGAATTATTGAAATAAAACTGAACCATATGTTAGTCTGAAATGATCTAGTTTGTGTCGTGGACGTGAAACCCCATTTTTCTCCCTCGCTCTTTCTTTCACACTGAGCAATAACAATAGTTTGTGTCAAAGGGACGTTAAACTCCATTTCTCATTCTCTCTCTCTTTCACCTGGCTCAATAACAATAGTTATTTTGTTTAAACAATGCTTTCTATCAAAGTAAGCACACCATATCTCTCCACACAAATCACACAAGATGTGAGTTATAGTGGAGACAAAGTGGATCAGTGAGTGTACATGGTGCTAGATCACTAACTAGGAGTTGATTTCATTTTTCACAGAAACAAGAAAATGGTTGTAAAAGTTGAAGTAATGTTTAGTGTATGTTTTATATTTTGTAGCTGGCATCTTCTACAAGTATTACAAGGATTAAACTACCATCATCTCTCACCTTATCTAACAGCCGCCATTCACATCAGTTTCTCCGCACAATTAGAATCAATAGGATTATGGGAATGGGCTGTGTTTGTTGTTCTACATATCCACGAAGCACAGAGGTAAAATTTATATCAATTACTGATTCAATAGACGTCGAGCACACGTATGGCGAGCTTTTGTTTTCTTTCTCCATCAAATTCGGACAATCTTCCAGTATTCACCCAGTCCTCCTTCTATTGAGTGTTTTCAATCCAGATTTTCAATCAAGACTTAAAACATACCTTTTTAAAGATACATTATGGGAGATTAGGTATAGAGCTGTCAGTTCTCAATATAATAGTTAAAAAGTAGATATGTAAAGGGAATTTGCTGAAAATTTCAATCAAATTGATCCACTCTGAACCGAGAATTTAGCAATTGAATTTTTGGCCTAGCCTCGACCATCGTTACTAAAGTCGGTACAATAAAAAAACATAGTCTCAATTATCCATTTCATGATTAAATCATGAATGAAAGTTGAGCAACAAATCGGATCCTAATCCACTAAATATTGCAGGCTAGTGATGACATCGTGAGTTGATTATGGTCTGGATAAGTTAATTTATGTCTAATTAATAATTAAGATAACCTTTAAGGCCTAAAGAAAGACCTACAATAGGCAGATTTAGCTTTTGCATGATGTATGTTTAAATGTTATATTTAATTTAAAATTGTGTGTAGCAGGCACATAGACCATGCTTTAAATGTGGAATTTGGGCTATACATATGTTCATATTATCATTATTAAACTACGGCTGACTAGAAATCAAAGTATACATGTAAATCAAACTTTGATAATTAAATATCAAGAAGCTGAAACACACATGCTCCGGCAATATTCTCACGTAAGAATAGAATTTGAAATGACCAAAATATAGTGTTATATGGGATACTAAATTCCATTGAATACCAACTAACCCCAACAGTATTTATATTACAAGGTTTAACCTAGACAACTCAACAAAATACAGCTGAAACCTGAATGAATTATGTAATATTTTCCATTTTGTCCCATCGATTCCACGTCCCTGTTAGTATTGGGAATAATATTGAAGTATATTTAGCAGTGAGTTCTCTAAGGCTACTGTGAGGAGGTCGGGACATGATGCAGGTAGAGAGAGTTGTCGGGACATGATGCAGGTAGAGAGAGTTGTGGGGACATGATGCAGGTAGAGAGAGTTGTCCCCATTTGAATATTTTTGATTTTTATAAGAACAATAATAACTTGTTGTTTTCAGTCGTATCGAAGCTGTGAAGTCTTTGTTAACCAGACATGTTGAACTGAGTACTGATAACGATTATATAGAAAAAGAAAGTTTTATATTGGAAGAGTTACTGGTCCCTTCGATCTGGATACATGAAGCTAAGGTAAGTTACTGGTCCCTTTGGTATGGATGCATAAAGCTAGAAGTGAGTAGGAGATCGGGTATTTAAGTGACAGGCCACTAGCTGACTGGCCTTTCGAATAAACTCATATGTAGGAATGCCTGCATGAGCGAAGAAGAAAGTCAATCAAATGACGCACAAATGCAAAATCCAGCCAGAATTTTTAAAAAAAATTCAGCAAAATCGCACACGTAACCATAGAAACATCATTTACCATTATAATCTCAAAATACCAATTACAATCCAGAATGGTTAAATATGACAGGTGTGCTACTCTTTGATTAGCTATGGTTATATATGACAGGTATGCTACTCTTTGATTGGCTATTGTTTAATATGACAGGTATGCTAGTCTTTGATTGACTATGGTTATATATGACAGGTATGCTAGTCTGTGATTAGCTATGGTTATATATGACAGGTATGCTACTCTTTGATTAGCTATGGTTATATATGACAGGTATGCTAGTCTGTGATTAGCTATTGTTTAATATATTTAAATTGTATTATATAATACAGGCTGTAAAAGCGAGATATGAACGAAAACACGATGAAGAAGTTGATTATTTATTACAAGCTGAGAAATGGAATGAAGCTCATTTAGTTATATTAGAACATATTGCTTCTGATGCTATTATTAACGGTAAAACATCCTGGTTATCTTTATAGTATTCTATCTAAACTATCTCTGTTCCCACAGAATTGTTTACCGTTCGTTTCTCTCTGGGGAATCACACCAGCCATTAATCAGTCTGAATTTGGTTTCTAAGCTCCTCCCCCAATAGCATCCCGATTGACTGGATTTGTTTGAATGTAATGCTGCCGATTTCTTGATAATTAGGCATCAGTTCATCTCATGAGTTGGATCAATTTCAACATCGTGACATCAAAATTTCATTTGTAAACAGCCGATTTGATGATTTCCCCAGAGCTAAATGAATGGTAAACTTCTCTCTGGGAGCCGAGATTGTATGTGAGAGAATCCTCATAGTAATTGTATATCCATAAAATGGTACCTTGCAATATTTCAGTAATTGTTGATTTACACAGATTGTTTCAATTCAATTTATTTATAGAATTATTTGGGTTGTTAATTACCCTGTTGAAGATTTAATTCAAATTATAACATAAAGTACGATCAATGCTGAGTGGCAATCATATCCAAACTTCTTGAACATATATATATATATATGTGACAAAATAGTGGAATTCGCTAGAGCAACATACCAATGTTACTAGCATTCTCACAGCAAAGTTGTTTTAAAAACTGTAATAATACTCTCCCCTGTGTATGATACCTGTTGCTATAATAACACAGTAAAGTTGTTATAAACCTGTAATAATACTCTGCCTTGTGTATTTATATTTTAAACAGAGAATTACGATTATTTAATGAAGTTTTTACAAGAGTTATGTTTTGGTAGTAGAAGTTGTTCTGTGTTAAATTGGTCGACTGGTGGAAAAGTTTTTTATGATTATATAAATCTTTGTTATACACTGGAACAACTCAAACAGGTAACATAATCAATACATATTCATCTCGTCACTCACCTGTCATCATTGCAACACGTCTCTGGTTTGTCTCCCGGTATTGATCATGAAAGTCCCTTAAGATTTTCTGGCTGTGGTGCCGGACGGAGGGCCTAACAAGGAACGTAATCTAGTTGTTCAGATGGGATGAAAACCTGAGGACACCCAAGGTCACCCTGCGTAAAAGAACCCAGCCGGAATTTGATATAAGATTAGTCTGTAGTGCAGCTGTCTGGGCAAAATTTGCCTCATAACACACTGTATGGTGTATGTCCGTCTTCATTAGCCCAGGGGGAGTTGGATGGCTGAATGATTATCATTAGATCTGTCATTGAGTCAGCTGGCGTGGTTTCGATTCCCTGGTTGTAGGTGACAAGGAATAGGGTCGTCTGTCCAACCTCGTGGGGTTGCTCCGGGCCCTCCAGTTTTCTCCCACTGCTAAAGACCCCTATGCACAAGCGAATTATTGAAATAAAATTAAACCATGTGTTAGTCCCGAAATGACCTAGTTTGTGTCAAGTGGACTTTAAACCCATTTCTCTCTCATTAGCCCAGTCGGAGCAGAACAGTAGGAAATTAAACCTCATATCATTTCATTTTACAAGAGATTAATTTTGTAGAGGATTTCACCAACTCCACCACCTTGTTATAGAAAACCTGATTGTTACCTGTATAGGCTATATATATATATATATATAACACCTGATTAATACCTGTATAAGCTGTATATATACCTGATTGTTTATAGGATGAACAAAGTATCTGTGATTTAGATAAACTACAGTTAGATGTTCAATCATTATGTGTTCGTGTTGGTGGATTAAACTGTAGAAACGCTCGGGATAAGTAAGTACAGCTATTTTAACACTTGAATAATTTATATAAGTAAAGACTTGTCACAGGAATATGTGAGATATACCACCAGAATAAGTGAGGCATGGTACAAGAATAAGTGAGACATGCTACGAGAATAAACATATTTAACTCATTCTGAGAGTCATATGCTATTATAAACCTTGATGGAGCTACGGTGGCTCAGTGAGTAAGATGCTGGCTCGTTAACCCGTCTCCGGTTCGCTCCCGGTGTTGGCCGAGAAAATTTGTCAGGATTTTCTGGTGTGGTTTCCTCTTGTGATGCACGTAACAGAATTCTTGACTGTTGTAATTCGATGTAAGTGTAAGCCGTAGCAAAATTTCTCTCCTAGCACACACAGTATGGCTTATGCCAATCTTCATTAACCCCGTCGGATGACATTAAATCCTATTTCATTTATAACCCTTAATGATTTATGATACCACTTTGAATGTAGGTACAGTCTGTTGTTAATTATAATGTTTATATATCAACAGGTTATGTCAATGTGAAATGGCCAAGAAATCAGCCAATCTATTACGCACTCTAGTTACTCTACAAGATCCTACTGGAATAAAATCATTCAGGTAGTAAAATATATAACCTTTCACACTCCTAGTCCATCAAAAAAAACTGAATTATTATAGGTTTATGTGCTTCTCTCCCCTTTCCACACAAAACCATAGTAAAACGACTGTATGTTAGTCTTATACTGGCTCATTTAGTAAGGCCTTGGCGCACTGTCCAAAACCACAAGGTTTTCTCTGACAATAGTGCCTCACCATTTTGCGCTTGGTTTCACCTAATCATTGGTAAACAATAGGGGTCCTAGTAAGAAAAGTTGTTGAAGTCGTTTTTGTTGGATCGATAAACAGACGTCGTGTGTATAACATTGGCTGCCCGTTAAAAATCCCTTGTACCTGACAAGGAGTAAGGTCGTCTGTCCGACCTCTTAGGTTTTCTCCAGGTCTTCAGGTTTCCTCCCACTGCTAAAGACCCCTACCATGTGTTAGTCCCAAAATTACCTAGTCTGTGACCAGTGGATGTTAAACCATCCCTTTCTTTAACCCATTTGGTTCCTAAAATAAGTCCTTAAACCCATTTTAATTCCAATGTAAATCTAGCACCATATTTATATAATTGTATTATTTCAGCACCCTAGCACCGTATATCTGTAAATTACCATTACCAGAAGATGATTGTTTATTGGAAGTCTCTGAACTTACACAGGATTATTTACGGGAGAAAATGATTATTGACAGATAGAAACAGATGATTGTGATATATTCTCGTGAAACGTCTTTAGGACGTGACCTGAATAATACAACCACTACAGCTGGCTTGTTGATGGTCAGTTTATGTATAGCTGCGTGATAAATAATGGCCGCTATTCGTCTGTGGTATAATATCCACGGCCCACCTTTACTGTCATCCGTCTTCATTAGCCCAGTCGGAGCAGAAAAGTAGGATGTTAAATTTCTTTTCATTTCGATCATATTTGACTGACTGGTATTGAAATAAACCAACTTGCATGTCGGACAGTTTGCTTGCCATGAACCTTACAACACAATAATCGATAGTTTTGATGTATAAAAACATTTAGAAATGTAATTTATAAAAAAAATAATTTTGAAATAATGCTAAAAATTGATATATTCATTGGAAAAATAGCGAATTACGTCAATAATTGTCTGTTTGGCAATATGTCAGAGGGAAAGTACTGATCATACAGATTAAAGATGATTGTTGTCTAATCAGTTCTACTGTGGTTCTAATCTCATTGTGTGCAGTGTTCTTATGACATTCAATATCTACTTAATTCGACAGTATGATAATCAATATCTACGTTTACAGTATGACAATATCTACGTCAGTACTAACATCAATCTACAGCATGACATTCAATACCCATGTCAGTACTGATGACAATCTACAGACAATGATCAAGTTGTGTGATGATATAGATATTGTATAAATCCACTTTAAATATCGTACATGTGTGTAATATCTGATTTAACATTATGTCGTACATCTACGTAATATCAGATTTAACTGATATCTATAAAATAGATCTACTGTATAATATCAGATTTAAACATAACGTTGTAAAACCTGTCTTTATTTGACAGTGTATAAATCAACTACAAGTTGAGATTTATATTGTTATATTATAACTGAGACTGATAACATCATCCTATTTCTCTTGTATAACAAAAACTATGTAAAATATGTTACCATGGAACACAAAGGTTTAATTAAAAGGTTTAATTAAAAGGCTGAACTACTATAATATATTAATGTGTGTAAAAAGTTTCATCAAAGAAAGGTTTATAAGCTATGAGGGTGGGTTGGGTCTTGATAATTGTATATTTCTCTTGTAAATCCCTGATAATAAAGATGTGAGGGGCTGGGGTATTGTCTCAGAACAACTGTTTGTTACTAGATTCCTCTTGTAAAAACCTGATTGTGCCTGTATTCCACAGAGTTTCCGTCTTGATTAGCCCAGTCGGAGCAAAATAGGACGTTAAAAATTATTTCACTGTATAGCATAGAATTTTTCCTCATTCTATCATGTTTAACATGTAGAGAAGTATAATCAACATCCCAATCATTGTTTATATTCTATATATCAATATTTATAGATTACCTACTTGTTTACAAATAACTCACGGTTGAATGACACTGGGTGGAGAGAAAACATTAAATGTTGGATATTTAATATAGAACCATGAATAGAAATAATGTTTTACTTTGTCATGCTGGTGGATTGTGATCTATCCACAGGTAGGTTGAGATCTATCTACAGGTGGGTCGAGATCTATCTGCAGGTGGTTTGAGATCTATCTACAGATGGGTCGAGATCTATCTACAGGTGGGTTGAGATCTATCTACAGGTGGGTTGAGATCTATCTGCAGGTGGGTTGTGATCTATCCGTGTGTTGTTTTTTGAACGCATGTTTTGAATTTATCGAGGATCCCTCACTCTTAACATTGCAAGGAGTGTTTATAATCAATATTTTTACCATTCTGATATGAGGTTGTATGCAGCATTTCTTATTTTGGTTATTACAAGATTTGAAAGTTATTTTCTTACAGAAAACTGTGTCTCGAACTAGTATAATTCTAAAAAGAAGGGTTAAAATTTAAAAAAACATAAACGTTTGACATGAACAGTTAGTGTTAAGTAAGTAAGCTGCATATAGATCTTTATAGCAGGTGTAGTAATAATTATATTGCCCGCGTTGTATCTGTTTAATGTATGTTTATTATATATAAATAGTTTGCTGTATAAAATGTTGACTTGATATCATTGTAAATAAATTATCATAAAATATCAACACAATATAACATTTCTCCATTTATTCTCTTTGTTTCTCCATTTCTTCTATGGAGTCATGGTAGCTCTATGACAAAGATGCTGGCTTCCTAACCAGGACGTCTCGGATTTGTTTCCAGTGATGGTCAAGAAAGTTACTTGGGAATTTCCGCCACTGTTTCCCCAGTGTAACTGGTGCAGGATGGAGGGCCTGTGTTAACATTGACGTGCAGGTAAAAGAACCCTTAACAGTTGGAATTTGGAATAAGAGTTGTCCATAGTGACGCTGTTTGGGCAAAATTGCCCTCATAGCACTCTGCATTATGTAAACCTTGGCCCTGTTTCTCGAAATTTTAACTAAAGATAAATCCAAATTTTAATAGATACTTCAATTTTGATTGGCTAAGCACTAAAATCAATCAAATTACTAAAATTTGAATTTTATCTTAGTTAAAATTTCGTGAAACAGTCCCCTGTCTTCGTAAGCCCAGTTGGTTTGGAAAGTCCTGAAATGACCCAAGTATTGGCCTAAAATCAACACCATTCTATTGTATGATGGTGCCTCGTTAGATCTTATCGTTATTGGAGTTAATAGACCTTATGGTGTCCCTTTAAGCCCCATCGTGGTTTCCCTTTGTCAGTGGTGCAGAACGGAGGGCCTGACAAGGACAGCTGTCTAGTCCTTCGGATGAGACGAAAAACCGAGGTCCCGTGTATATATTGGAATGTACGTAAAAGATCCCCTGGCAGTTGGAATTCGATATAAGAGTAGGTGATAGTGCCGCCACCCGGGCAAAATTTCCCTCATAGCACACTGTAGAGCGTATGCCCGTCTTCATTAGCCCAGTATAGGAGCAGAACAGTAGGACATTAAACCCCATTTCATTTCATTTCCTTAAACCCAATCGTTATTGGAGACCTTATGCCGTCCCTTTAAACTCCATCGTGATCCGTGAACATTTCTCGGGGGAACTAGGTTTGACGATGGTTTCTGATATAAGGGACCCTAGTGAAGATATTTGTAGTTTGCTACATTGTTGGTGAAGTGCCCGTGTAATATATCATTTTGGGGTTTTATTTCCCCGAGAAATGATCACGTATCTGGGTGTTGTGCCCGATCTTTATTGTGGAGATAAGAGACCTTATGGTGTCCCTTTTATACAAGTTATTAACATACCCAATGGTGTCCCTTTAAACTCAACTGTTATTGAGAGCTGACTGCGTCCCTTTAAACCAACCGTTATAGAAGTTATTAACTTACCTGATGTTGCCCCTTTAAACGCAACTGTTATAGAAGTTATTTAAAGATACATTATGGGAGATTCGGTAACGAGTTGACAGTTCTCATTATAATAGTTAAAAACTAGATAACGTAAAGGCAATTTGCTGAAATTTTATTCAAATTGATCCACTATGAACCGAGAACTAAGCGAATAAAATTTCTGCCTAGCCTCGGTCATCATTACAAAAATCAGTAGGATAAACAGCGTAGTCTCAATTATCCATTTAATCGTTTAATCGAGAAGGAATGTTATGCAGTAAATTGGCTCACAATCCACTTAAGATCGAAAGTTAGCGATGCCATCTAGAGTTGATTATGGTCTGGATAGGTTAATTAATGTCTAATTAATAATTTAGATAACATTTCAGGCCTAAAGAAAGACCTGCAATAAGCAGATTTAGCTCTTGCATAATGTATGTTTAAGGGACCTGATGGCATCCCTATAAATGCCAAAGTTATTAACTTACCTGGTGATGTCCCTTTAAACCCTATTATTATAGAAGTTATTAACTTCTGGTGGTGTCCCTTTAAACTGTTATAGAAGTTATTAACGTACCTGGTGATGTCCCTTTAAACTGTTATAAAAGTTATTAACTTACCTGGTGATGTCCCTTTAAACCCTATTGTTATAGAAGTTATTAACGTACCTGGTGATGTCCCTTTAAACTGTTCTAGAAGTTATTAAGATACCTGATGTTATTAAAGTAGGATTAGATTGTGTTGTATATTTAATCTTGGTTAGTGAAATCAGTAGAGTATATTCAATAATATCAGTTAATCTTATCTACTTATATTAACTTTATATACTCTCTACTGTATATTATATACAGGCCTATAATCACTGGCTTCAGTAATACTATTGTAAAAAGGCAACAAAAATATGAAATGAATTGGGGTTTAACGTTCTACCAGGGGATCGTTCAGGAATTTGAGTAGTAGTGGGACTGGGGTAGAGACAACGCCAAGTTTGGCGTGTGGTCTGGGAAATTACCCCGCGAATTTGATCAAATCAGAACCTCTGAGACCATTTCTGCTCATACATGTACATGACTAGCATGGAATGAGAAACAAAAGTTGCTCTGCGCGCGCAAGGCAGACACCGGACTCCTCCAGACATGCGCCTGCCAACTTGTCTGCTCCGACCGGGTCAGAGAGTCTGCCCAGTGCCGTCATGGTTGCCATATTTTTATCCAATTTGTACGGTTAATAGATCAGCATTTGAAAAAAATCAAATATAGATGTCGGTGAACACGAACGGAATGATAGATCCCATTTTGTTTGATTTTCGTCGTCATTCTGGCATCTGATTTGTCTATAGATAGGCCTACTTATTACTGATTAATTCATACTTCAAACATATCAATTCTATACAATATAATTCATACTACAACCATATCGAGTTTATATTTTGACATGTCTATCAGTATTTGATATGTTAACAACTGGACAGTTAGTGGTAGTTATGATGACATGGTCATATTAATAAACCATTGTTTGGGATACCGCTGTACACACTGACGTGAACGTTAAAGAGCCTTCGACACGTAAAAATCAAAGATATATATAGAGAGAGATGGGGGTTAACGTCCACTGGACACAAGCTAGGTCATTTCGGGACTAACACATGGTTCAGTTTTATTTCAATATTTCGCTGTGGTCTTTAGCTGTGGTGGGGGGGGGGGGCGGAGGTTGGACAGGCGACCCTACTCCTTGGCACGTACAACCGGGAAATCAAAACAAGGCTACTTGTGATTTCACGCACACGCGTTACAACACCCTAAAAATCAAAGAAGAATTTGTGTAAATGCCATGTACAGCCCTAGCAAAATTCTCCCACTCTGCTTTGAAATAACATTACCATATGTTAGTCTCAAAATGACGGTAGTATTGTACTAACGAGATAATAGAGCCTGGCTCACAATCCGCCGTCACGTACGGGCAGTCTACGGGGAAATGATTTTTAGTAAACCCGTGCGTGCGACTTACGCGTTACTTGCCCGTTTCTTACGGCTGGTCTGCGAGCTACCAAACACTACCACCCGTGCGTGTCATAACACATACGGCAGGTCGTGAGCGAGGCTTTAAAGATGTATTGCGTAGGAGTCGCGGCGGCTCAGTGGTGTTGGACGGAAAACCTGAAAAGAGGCGATGTAGTCGTTCGGATGGGACGAAAACCGAGGTCCCGTGTATACATTGGCGTGCACGTAAAAGAACCTGGTCAGTTGGAATTCGATACAAGAGTATAGGCCGTAGCCCCGCTGACCTGGCAAAATGTCATTCATAGCACACTGTATGGCGTATAGCCATCTTCATTAGTCCAGTTCGGAGCAGAAAAGTAGGACGTTAAACCCCATTTCATTTAATTTCGTGTATAGGAAATAATGTTGCCTATTTAGTAAAATAGGGTTGCTATTGTGATAGTAGGCTATTAAAACAGGATTGCTATTTTGGCCATAGATGTGAATTGAGATGTGTCCTTTTTGTACCGAGCTCACCAACAAATCAGGTATGATGATCGGTGTACACGCAATAAGCCTATCAAAACACAATAGATCAATTCTCATATAAATAACAAGTTGTATACTCGTCATTCAGAAACAATATATCTCGCAAACACGGGCGCACAACAAGGGGTGCGCCCCCCCCCCCCCCGAGCTTAGTCCAGATGGGCAAATGGGCCGAATTTTTTGCCGAGTGGGCCGGTTTTTCGGAAAATGGGCTTGTTTATTAGAGTCTCTTAACATTCAATCAAACCAAAATAGGCCTATAAATTAATAATTAACTGATTCATTTAAAAATTACATGGTGCTATACTTACTAACTACATTTCGACCTAGCTGAGGGTAATATTTGATTTTCTAATGTTGTGTGGGCCGATTTTATGATGACACGCCCCCCCCCCCCCGATCGGGAAAAAATATGTTTGTGCGCCCCTTTACGTGACTATATATTAATGCATGAATACAGAAAAGTTATTTAGTACATTGAAGAATGTGTAATCTAATAAATAAAAAAAAAGTCATGTTCCATAATCTTAAAACAAAAAATCTGCCCGTTTTCTCTGGCATTAATATGTTTAATTATAAAAGTTATTGAATTTTTTATTAGTTGTGTATCGTGCCCCATAGTTTAAACAATCTATGTGAATGTATTTGTGTATGACAGTTGATTGAATGAAGAAACGTCAAGTCAGTACTTGTAGTTAGTATATCATACTATATCGTTGGGTTTGTCACGATATATCATAGTATAATACACGCTCGTGATAAATTGTACTATTCAATACATAGTATATTCCAATTAAACACTGAATCACGCAATATTTATCACGGCGATTTTATATATAAAATATCCAACTGTATAAATGTTGAAACTGACTTGAGCTACACAAATACTTGGACTCCATGTAGCAATATTCCTGGTTATGCCCGGTTGAAAAGTTTATAACCCCCGCAGTCCTGTCTGAATCTTTAGCTGTGATATTTGTTTTAAGTTCAGCTTATGAATATTGTTTTGTTTTATAATTTAGCCTGTCTCCAAGTTTACCATATATTTGGCGCAATATAGCCCGGTTGCGGCTGACGTGTCATAAAACAACATTTTATTCATTCATTTCTATCTGAAGAATAAAACCAAGATTTCTGTTGGGATTTTGTTTTTCCAATAGTTAATATCAATATTGTAGCATTGGGCAGTCAGATTTATTTCTAAAGAAAACCACAGACCTCGATTAAAGGTCATGACAGCTAGGCTTGCTAACTAAT